TTTAAACATCGACGAATGTCATGCTTTTCTATCCAACTCAACCATGATTTTCACATAGGTTAATTATATATAGCAATAGATTTTTGTTCTGCAACTAGTGCTCTGATCTGATAAAATGAATTATGTAACATTTTTACAGTTAATTCATTCAGTTACTTGCACGTCTTTCGTGTTGGTTTTCGCAAAATGAGTCGAAATGTCATTTTTTTTCAGATGCTCTAAAGGAAATAAGCATCGTTGGTAGACATTTAGAAAAAGTAATAAATGAAAATGCACACCTTTCTCATATTTTCCAGAGTCACTCACTTTCTATAACTTTTTTATTTTCTTTAAATTGTTTTTTTATAATCCCAAATTTATTATGGGCGAAAATATTGTTGTCACTAATGTCCTCAGCGCTTACCTACACAATCATTTGTGAACGCTTTATAGTCAACATTTCCCATATTGTTATATTGTCTTTATATCCATGCGGCCTCGTAATCTGACAAAGATTCGGCAACTATTACCCATGACTTGGCTAGAAGTATCCTAAGAACGCGATAGTCTTCATTTCTCATCGCATTTTGTACCCGACTCATTAGTTAATCGCGGAGTAATTGCAGCCATTGACTAAAAAGTGAAGGTGATCTATAATTTTCATCCACTTTAATGTAAACTTGAAATCGTCCCTTTTACTTGATTCAAATAGTCGTTTTTGAAAAGCTAATATGAAATTAGGCCTTGTTTCACTGCTGACATTTCCGAAACCTTGTCTTTTTATAGTACAATTTGTATGGGTGTACCCTCTTCAAGAAAAATGGTGCGTTTTTGTAACAAACAATATTCACTCCATTTTGTCAGTAATAATGGAAATGATTGATAGAAATTTTACTGACAAAAATAAATAAATGACGATAACACAAAAACTGCAATAAATAATTCAAGAAATTCGCTTTGAAAAAAATGTCGAGGATTATGGATAATACTGAGTTAGAGATTTAGCTACTTTCAGTTTTCAGGGAATTAACTGCAAGAAAATTAAGATCGCATTGTATAACTTTATACAAAGTTTGTGGTTTCAACTCTATTTTTACAATATGCATTGTTTTAATAAATTATTTTACGGAAAATAAACCAAATGTCAATAGGAACGACTAAAATTCGAAAAAAGGGTTTACAGATTCCTTATGATTGGGAGTGGTGTGAAATTGCTTCCAGAATTTTTGTACGAGCAATTTCTGATTACTGACACAAAAAATCTAATAATAACAAAGTTATTTGTACATACTGTCTGCAAATAGAATGGCATGACGCATCCACTCGACATTTTCTAAATAGGAATAGTTACAAACAATGGACAGACATTGACCGTTAACAATTTAGTACGTATGAAAGCTTTTAGAGATATAAAAGAAGTTCCATTAAATAATGTTTCCAATTTATAAACGTGGTATAGCATGAAAACAAGTAAATTAAAGATAATTGGTGTGATCGATATATAATATAAACAATACTAATATAGTTCGTGAGTAAAATATGTTGATTAGACATCAATTGACCCTACCTTACTTTGTTGAGTAGACATTAAATAAATTCGATTACGATTTAATCAAAATTCGATTACGATTTAATCAAAATTCGATTACGATTTAATCAAAATTCGATTACGATTTAATCAAAATTCGATTAAAATTATTTGGTTTTATACTACACCGGAATTTAGCATTAGGAATAAAAGTGAGGCAATATGCATTTATTAAATGATTTTACTCAGATTGGACGAAACTATTTTAAAAAACGATTTATGTTTGTCAATTATTACTTATCAGGTAAATTATTCTGACCCATCTATTGGTCTTCAAACCTATTAATGTATATATTCCCAGGGTATTTCCATGTGTTAGAATAAGGGCTTGTTATATATCATGTTTTCTTTTCTTTTCTTGTTAATGGATGCATATTTCATAGACAACGAAAAGATAATTATATTATTCCACAGAAGTCATATATCCCAGGCATAGGCAAGAGATACGAGAAGAAAAACATACTTCTGTTATTAGAATATGATTTATAGTATTTCTATTTTATGGCCTTTGTCACCAAAATATTCCTTTAATTATTCTTTATTCTTAAGTAGGTGTCATGCAGGGTGAACGCATCTACCTCGGCGTGGCCCGAGAAATAGCATCGGAAACCTTTACTTTATGTTCCCAATTACCCGGGGCGGGAGGGGGTGGGGGCGTCAGTGGTGCTAATGATGATACAGATGCCTTGTCGTTTGAATGCTACGATACACCAACTATCCAACTGTCTACAGATTGGTGAGTATACAAAAGGACCCTGTCGTATTACGCATGTACGTTTTATAAGAACAAACGTTTTGTGTTGAGGGGGCGTTAAAGGACATTATGCTGATAAAATGCCATCGCTAAAGAATATTTTGGTAATGCTGAATGTATTGTGCATTCACCAGATCTAGTTTCCTTTCATATCTAATACACGTAGTTCTAACGTCTCTGAGTTTGTTTTTATATTTTAATACTTTATCTAATGGGTAGGTTTGTCCAATTATAGTTGATAAATTAGTCTGTAAACGCCATCATGACCAAAGTCATAACAATAAAAGCGACAATATTTTATTATCTATTTACATTAAAGACGTAGCTTGTATTGCTACATTATTTAGCAAATAAAGAGATCTGTGTACCACAATACTCAACTATACATTCGTAATATGCTGCCAAGTTTTTTTTTTACAAGGATCCGCTTTAAATTATATTGTTCGTATCTTTGTGCCATACGTATTAGATTAAGAAAGATTCTGGATCGGCTGTCTTCGTGGATAACTCAAACTGGGGAAGAATTGTATTATGACACATGAATCGATATTTTCTTCTGGTCCCCTGGAACTATCATGGTAAATACACAATTGCTGTGTCATTATGATATCAGTTTCAGTCAATCCAACAATTCAATCGTTGCTATGGTCTACAAAATGTACATTTGCTGTGTTTATTTCAAAAATACTTGGTCAAATTGACTTGGGTCATCAGATGATAAACTGACATCAAACTATAATATGCGAGGAGTGGTATAAGAATGGGTTCAATTAAAAACTATAAGTAGTGTAAAACTTAAACTAGAACTAGTGTTTTTAAAATAAAACGCCTCCAGGGTGCAATGTTAGACGTTAGAAAGTGTTTACCACTATGAGTGTTATACTACAAGATTGTATACCTTATTTTGTGATGCAAAAGTGTTTGTGTACTCGAATGCATTTGAAGTGTAACCAGGGCTGGATTAAGGCACAGGCCCACTAGGCCATGGCTTAGGGCTCTGCGCTTTTAGGGTCCCCGCGTATTCATTATCTATGTTTCCTAAGCTCTCCCTTGGTTCAATAAATCCTCTCAATAATCTGCTGGTACAGTAGAGCCCTGATAATAAGCAACGGATCGGGGGACAGTTTGGAATTGCATATATCCGATTTTGCTTTTATCAGGGCAAAGTCTAAATTACTCATTTTATTGGTTTTCTTGTTAAATAAAGTCAAACTTTTAGAGTGTGGAGGATTAAATAGGCCTATACTTTGCTGTGTTTCTTTTATTACGTAGAATCTACAGTGCACTAGGACTAGGAAAAATAACAGATAGTTGCACTTATTTAACACTTAAACTAGCCACACTACATGTGCTACTTGTACAGGTGTAACATAAAAATGCTTATATACGGACTTGCATTGCTTATATCTGGGCAAATTTGCAATGAAATAAACGGTTACAAGACAAAACCATAAGCCGGCCCTGGTTGCAACACTCCTACATTTCTAGTGTGTCACTGGAAGTGGCAACGTAGCTGCAACTCGAATGAATGTAGTCTGCATTATTATTTTCACCCATATTATATACACAGAGAAAAAGGTATATTACAACATCTCTAGTTGAATATACATGTAGTGCTAGTTTTTGATCAGATATATTAGCTAGTTTATGTTCTGGAAGCTATTAAATCTTCCAGAACTGCCACGAGGAAACACTGAACCAGCAAAAGAAGACATATACTGAATTTTCAGTCAATTAATGTGATTCTGTCGAAAAAAGAGTCGGGAAATAGGGAACACCAAGCACAAACAACTATGGCTAGTACAGGTCAATAGGAAATCCCACAGTTGTGATTATGTTCCATTCCTGGTGACTGATCCAGATCGTCAGAATTCTGCACTGGTGGATCCCTCGGACGTATTTTATGCCCAAGAATATCTCAGATACGCTTAATTGAATTCAGGTCAATGCTTCTGTTTGGACAAGGTAGAGATGTAACGGCCTTTTGACGCAGAAAATCAACAACGGGGCGCACCCTATGTGGTCTAGCTTGGTCGTCCATAAGGACTGTCCTTATGAGAAGATGGTGATTGTCAACACTGTCCCGAGGATTTCTCTTTGGTACCTTTGAGATTATCTCGGTTACCAGTGGAAGCCTACAGTCATGTGAAAGGAGAACCCTATATCGTGATAGACCTGCTGATTTCACAAACGTTCTTCTCGCTCGCCAATAGCTCAACTAAATATTAGCTTTTGAATGCAAGGGATCTGCTGATGTGATTCTATACCCTATTATTTGGAGGCAGCAGCATAGCCTGATTCCTGGCCAGATGAACATATCTATAGAACACCGGGTGACATTTCTGTCTTTATAAGAAATTCATAAATAGTTTATGTTTTCTTTCGGTGACAGTAACATCCCATGTGATATTAATATGATGTCTTTAAAAATGGATAGTGGTGACATCGATTACTATTATGGATGACAACTTGTCAAATATGTAACGTTATATTTATAGCCAACAAGAAACTGTTTCACTTTCCATCGGCTTCGCTGGCTTTGAGAAGATTACGTTTAAAGGGAATCGACTTGATTGCCATGAACAAAATGACAGTTATCTCGCTCAATCTTAAGATGTTCGAAGTTATAAGAATTTATAAGAGTCGGTTCTATAAGGTGCTTACAATAAGAGGCTTACCCCTGGTTTATAAAGATTGGGGTGTAATATTCCCTGTCATTATTCAGAAAATACAGGAACTATCATCATGTTACTTACTTTAGTTTTGATAACCTTGCAAGGTAAGATAACATTTTACACACACAAAATGATTTTTTTTTTACTTTTCTGCGCCGACTGGACTGATGAATACGGAAATGCGCCATGCAGCGTCCTATGAGGGAAATTTTGCCGGGGCATCGGCGTTACGGCCTACTCTTATATCGAACTCCTACTGTCAAGGGATCTTTGATGTGCACGCCAATATGTATCCGGACTCGGGTTTTCGTCCCATCTGAAAGTTTTACACACAGAAAATCTTAAAGGGGCCAAACCTCTAACACAATATTGTCCATAATATTTGAAATTAAAAACATGAATAAGAATTCAATATTTGTCCATTTCAATCAATATTGATGTTATCTTGACGTGAAAATGAGGGATCCTAATATCCAATATTCAAGACAGAATGAACATTTTACAGTCAGTACACGAGTCGTGTTTTCTAAAGTTTCGGGTGTAATGAACAAAGAAAAACATACCCTACAAGACAATGCAGAAGTAATTAGCAATGGCTGGTTCACAAACGATACGATAGTAATTAAAAAGAATGTAGAATAAACTAAACAAGCGTAAACGAGTGTCGAACAATTTGGAAAGTTCACGTATTTCGTCAAACATAATTGATTAGAAATTACAATAACATTTTTAAACATCTGCGTTCATATTACATTAATATGTGAATTTAGACCTATTTTGCCTGTGTTAAGGTTAATTATTTTCAATGAGATTAAATATTCATTGGTAGCAGTGCACTAAAGTTTGTCATGGAACAAATGTATTAAATACTTCAAATAGAAGTACCGTATACTTGTAATTTGAAACAAGACTGAATCATGATATTAATACAACCGTGGCAATTCAGCATTTTAAACACTAACAACATATACATTTGTTGGGGGTTTTTTTTTTGAAACATTACAAAGTATTTTATTTGGTCCACATGTTATTAATGAATGGAATACATTATCATGTAATATCTTACATCAAGCACAGGATTATGGTCAACATATTGTAGCTCTCGAAACAATAACCACTAAATTGAATGCGGAATCATCTATATTCTTTGATATATTTATGCCGCATGAATAATACTAAAATATGCAATAAACTCCTTTAGTTTCAGGAACTAGTGGAATAGCTTTAATACCAGATTACGTATGGCCGCTGGGAAATGACACGGCTCGATTCGAGGTTATCAACGGACATGATGCCATTATGCCAGAAAGTGGAAATTGTTATGAATACGCAGAAGGCCATCCAGAGCTTCCTTATCGTTCCTTGAGGTTAAATGGTAAACCTGAAACTTATGTGGATATATTATTGGATGGGACAGTAATATTTAAAGATCTAACGATATCGTTTTACTTATACCCTGAAGGGGTACCAACTGGAACTTTGGTGCACTACTTGTACGATACTGGTAACATCCTCCGTGTATCCATTATGGAAAGTATATTATTTATATCTTTCTGGGATGAGTATGGTGTCTCTGTCGGTGCCACGGCTTTACCAGAAGTCATTCTTCCCGACCAGTGGAACCATTTAATAGTGTCCAGGGAATTCTCTACGGGAACAGTCACTATCTATCACAATGGTGCTCTCATGGAACAACTCGATGATGATTTTCCTAATAACATACAATTGCCGATATCCGGTCATCTGCGTCTCGGTAGATCTCACGATAAAACTGATGATGGGTTCCTCGGACGTCTGACATGTTTCCAACTATTTGATGTCATCCCGACAGCGTCTGGTGTCGCAGACATTTCCAAATATTGTCAACCTGAATTGTGGACAATTAAGCCAGATCGTAAGTATAGTCCACTTGTTTTCTTAAAAATAAAATAGTATCTGAAATGTTTAATAGACAATGTACCGGTACAATATGCACGCTTTCCCAAGTACTACCTCCATTCAGTAATATTAAGATGTAAATATGTAACCTTGCTGGGTGTCATGGTATACTTGCTCTTTTTAGAACACTTGATACCAATTCCCCCCCCCCCCCCTTTACTTGGGAAACCACATCACTAACAGTTCTGATTGAACTTTCGTGTTTAAAACACCCGGTTTGTTGCTAAATATGAGTAAATTATATTTCCTTTGGCCATAATTGCACTGTGGGTCATAATATATCTCATGTACGATTTTGAATTCATCCTTTTCCAGGAATCCATCTGCAACAGTTTGTGGGGGTTTTAAAGTGTATAGTTTAGGGCGGGAAATGTCCGGACATCTATCACCGAGCAATAGGCATTATTTGCGAGAAGAATAAAACTCCTCTGCCCTGGCGAATTTTCCTGCCACTTATTTGTTGTATAATTTGTCTGATTTTAGTGGTTTATGAAGAGAAGATTGTGGACGGTGTAACCAAACAATGTTTAGCCAACTTAACAGATGGCAAAGAACCGACTTGTTTAGAAATAATTTCACAAAGATGTCTGACCAATGGCGTTTACTGGCAGGAGCTCATCCGGCAAAACGAGTGGAATGAAAGCAATCGAGATGTCGCGTATTTTCGCTCCATTTCAAAAGGATTTAAACCTTCCGATATTGATGGTCATCTACTTGCTAATGTTAAGACTGTAAACGGCAAGCTTTGTTCTAGACTATGCATGAAAATCGACGGTTGCCAGTCCTACATCACCAACAAAATCAGTTCTTATGTCACGAAATGTTTGCTCTATGATGCGGTTCGTGATGCTAACCAGGCTTATGAAGGAGCCAAATATTTTGTCATTAGATCTTAAATTACAGACGGCAAATCAGCTTTTGATCGATCACGCAATTTATAATTGATGACGGACAGAATATTAAAATAGTTTGTATCGAATGGAATATGGTTTTGCTTCTAAGGTTTATTAAAGAATATGTAAAATCAAATCGCTATGTGACCATCGGCGTAGATATCGATTGTTTTGTCCCCTCCCCCCACGGATAATTTTTTGAATCTAGAGTCCCTGAAATGCAATTTCCTGGACTTTAGGAGAAGATGGTCAGAAGACACTTATATTGAGTCAATCTGTTTCACAATGTATTACGAAAGTCTTCTAATATTTCTGTAAAAGATGACTGCCTTCAACGCATGACGTCATATCACGCGGCGTCAATCATTGGCTCAATGGCGCGTGCATTGATTACATAAGACGTTACTGATTCGAGCAGAATGGCACCTTTTACACATTTTAATACCCATTTACACTAAAATAGGAAATAATTTTTACCTACAAATACTTCAAACGTCGTTATTTATTTTTCTAATACATAAAAAAAATGTTTTAGAATTTAATTTGTCGCAGGAAAAAAGTTAATATTTCTGGCTCATTAAGTCACATCGATGTCATCCTTATTAGTGATTGTCGCGGCCTAGCGAATATTCACTGCGGATCAGTGTGATATTTAGTATTACGCATGGGAATTCATGACAACGTCTGAAAGTAATAATTACATCATTTGCATGGCCCTATATCTTCGATATATTATTTTTGTGGTGAATATACATAAATTAGCGAAGATATGACTATGTCCTCATATTTTCATCAAGCATCCGCGCGTATTCAAGTTTGAACACCGATTGGCAATTTTGTCAGGATCGATCTCGCGTCCGTCAGGCCACGCTCACACGCAAGGGTCCTGTTTCATTACTGAACAGTTTTTACTAATTTGAGCTTTTAAAAACTGACAGTATTATGATACCTAATCAAAGCAATCATATTCATACATATCAAGTATTTGGGGTTTTCCCTCCTAATTTGGCATTTTTTTTAGACTGACTGCACTTATATTTAGATCGACTATTTTTATTCATGGGGTGATACCCCCCACCCCACCCCAACCAATTGCTGAAAGTAGGTTACTATCGTCCAGGCATCTGGTGCACAGATTAGTACATTTAAATAGAATAATGCTGACGTAAAACGGTGCTCATACGAAACACTTACCCCAAAATGGTAATTGCCCCGCCCTAATAGATGACACATCTATAATTTCTATATAAAAGAGCGGTGTTAAATTTCCCTTAAGACATCATTCGGAGTTCCTAGGGGAACATCATTACAGGGCCTCCTCGGCTTAGAGGCTAGGGTGAAGACATCGTTCAGGCATCATTTGGAGAGACACCAGGTGGGCTTCCTAGTGAGATATACCGTTAGTCGCCTTGGCTTACGGGCCGGGATACCGACAGCATGCAGGGTTTTTAGAACGTACTCTCAGCCTCTGGTTCGAGTCTGGGATAGAGACAATGTAGTGTTTCAGTCGTTAGGTCTGAATTCTAGGCTTGTTAAACTCAGTCTGTAAATATTATAATAACTCCTAATGTACTATCATAGATGCTGTAGTTTCCTGTATTTGATCTAAAAACATAGTTATAAAAACAAACTGTTCCAGAGTCAACTGATCCTTGAAGATTTATATCCAGTGTTAAAGACATGACTAGATAAGCTTCACCCTAGTGCAGTGGTTCTCAACCTTTTTTTGCCAACGGCACACCATGGAACACATGACAAAATAGCGGCACACCTGGATAAATATATATGAAAAATATTTAAATTTTACAAAATAAAAATATGGCAAGTCATAGTGTAACAGTGTAAATCTTCGATAATAACTAAAGACTGGAACTATCCTTGAGACTATTTATTACCGGAAAACATTTAACATCATATACGGAGAACAGCACGTCCGACAAGCAGAGTAACTGTCCTGGAAACGGGATGAAACCTAGAATCTATATAAATGTACAAATCGGTATTTATAATAAAATAGTATCTAAGGAATTAACAATATACACCAACTATACTAATAACAATTAAAGAGGTAAGATTAAAATATAAAAGAGATTGCAATAAAATAAAACAATAAGGTAGTAATTAAACTCATTAATGTGTCAGCTGTCAACGATCAGTCATTAGATAAGTTGCTTAACGTCTAATTAACAACGCAGGATTAATAGAAACATAAGAAAAATAGAAATGTTTAAATGAAAGAATGAACAATGAATAAATGATATATTGAAAGAAGGAAATACCAACAATTCACAATATTATCACCATTATAATTTCCTCTGCGGTGAAAATGATTCGTCCTCGGATCATAATAACATAATAGAAATAAACATTGATAGTACTGCTGAAAATTCGGAGGGTTGTTTTAAATGTATGAAGCCTTTTCACTTTAATATACATTAAGTATATATACAAGATAAAGATATAATTGGGGGGTGGGGGGGTAAACAATAATTATTTTGGTTACTCGCTTATGTAGTGACAAAAATAAACTCTGTGAATAGGCAATAACTGTTCATCATTATGGATATAATCTGAATGGCTTATGACGTCATATATATTTGAGTCCGCGATAATAATAAATAATTAAAATAATAAGATACTATACTATGAATTAACTAAAATTTGAAATTAAATAATTAAATGAAACATAATATTCAAAAGAAGCTTTTGTGCTGAAGTGTTTATAAATTAATCTACGTCATCGATAATATCGATTTATTGCTTATGCAGAATAAATAAACTATAGCAACATTCGAACTGGAATGTAATAAAAAAAATCTTATCCAAAACATTATAAATTAAAGGCAAATAATTAGAGATCAGTGAATACATAAAAAGTCAGTGGTTTAAAACAGTTCATACAAATGCACATTTATTAATAACACAACATAAAACAATATTCAATCACTTTAATGAATAATTCCCTGGGGGTAATGTGTGTTTGATACTCCGAAAGAATACTGGATCTTCTTTAGCAATAATGTCCCAGTCCTCTAGGTCAAATCGACTATAAACATCTCCCTCATTCGGACCTGGACCCTGCCTTTCTACATTTAACTGTAATTTTCCAGATTTTTGATTGATTTCCATTCGGGTAAATCCCGCTAATTTCAAACTTGATTTATCTGGATATGTCCACCTGCCTCTCGGGAAGACCTTAAGCTCTTCCTGATTCCGTTTATCTTGATTTATCAACGTTTCTACAAACCACTGCTCTGGGCCAGCAATTTTATTCGGATAATTAGCTATAAAGGAAACAGCTTTCTGGTCCAATTTGTCTTCCTTCACCCACAAATTTTTGGTTGCGGGTTGATTCTTCCATCGGATTAAGTATTCAAGCTGTCCCTTCTTAACACGCCTTTTTAACACCTTTTTCTGTTTCTTGGATCTGTGGCGTTGAAGCTACCATGACATCCGGTTTGACCAAATCTGTATTGGTTTTTATGTCAAGGGTTTGGACACTCTTTGTATATGTGTCCGGAATAGCCATTATACATTTATCCGAATGTCCAAGACAATCAGTTTGACATTTACTAGATTTGGTTGACGATATCTTGCTGGTCTGAATAGAGATGTCGGCCTTTGTAGAAATCGAATTTATTGATGATACGCTCGATCTTTTTGCAGAAATCATCTCCTTAAAACGCTGACATCTTAGAAAATCTCTGTTCTGTTTGCTAGTAGATTTTCTATTCGATATATCTGAATCACGATGAAAACTGCACTACGTTAAAACTATGGAAGTGTTACTACCTTTATGGTCTATCCTCCATTGGTTGGCCTTCGAGTTGATCTTCATTACTTTCATTATTTCCGCCAATTCATCTGGTATCACTATCTGTTCCATATCTGATTTTTCTTTGGGATACTCGCTTGAAAGAGGTTCCGAGATCTTGCCTCACAAAGCACTCCACCAATCTGTAACAGTGTAAATCTTCGATAATAACTAAAGACTGGAACTATCCTTGAGACTATTTATTACCGGAAAACATTTAACATCATATACGGAGAACAGCACGTCCGACAAGCAGAGTAACTGTCCTGGAAACGGGATGAAACCTAGAATCTATATAAATGTACAAATCGGTATTTATAATAAAATAGTATCTAAGGAATTAACAATATACACCAACTATACTAATAACAATTAAAGAGGTAAGATTAAAATATAAAAGAGATTGCAATAAAATAAAACAATAAGGTAGTAATTAAACTCATTAATGTGTCAGCTGTCAACGATCAGTCATTAGATAAGTTGCTTAACGTCTAATTAACAACGCAGGATTAATAGAAACATAAGAAAAATAGAAATGTTTAAATGAAAGAATGAACAATAAATGAATGATATATTGAAAGAAGGAAATACAAACAATTCACAATATTATCACCATTATAATAGACGGCATACAACCGTAGACACAGACTAGTCATAGACACATAGAATGACGCAAACTTAATAAAGCAAAACACAGCTATTAACTTATTTTTTGGCAGTCAAATAGCTGGCTTCTTTAGTGGGAATTTTTCTTAGTGTGCCGTTCAAAATTTCGTGGCACAATTAGGACGATCTCGCGGAACATCTGTGTGCCACGGCACACTGGTTGAGGGTGTCACGGGCCGTTTTCTGGAAGTTTCTAAGCGATCGTAGTGTCACAGCATAGGCTATGTTGGTTTTTTTTTTTAGCAAACATAGGTTATTTCCAGGTTCCGAATAATAATAATAATTTATAAGTATATAATGGCAATGCGCCCTAAATATAAATCAATACAAGAACAATAAGTACACATAAAATAATAACCATTATTCTCGATAATACAAGTTATTTACTCGAAAAAGTACAATTTATCCCAATCAAAGATATCATAAAAAGGTTCAATTTTAAGTTTACGTTTTTAGATTTGAAATGAAAAGCTGAACATAATAATTAGCATACGAGCGATCGCGATCGTCTACGTCACGGGTTTCGACCAATCACAGTCTCGCCCAATTTCAACCCGTCGCCCCGCTAGACAAATAAATGGAACTTTCATCTGGAATTTAATAGTTTTTTCTCTTTTTGGCATGAACACCGGGGACCCTACACCGCAGATCTCTGAATCTGGGCTTTGCAGAGAGGTACGTATGACCAGAGGGATCATTTATAAAAACATATTTTAAATTCTGTTCAACTGATTTCAGAGGTGATGTGCTCATTATCACAATATGGGCAGCTATATTTGTAGTTCTTTTACTATTATATTTGGAGAGATTTGTTATGATGATGATAGATCAACGAGCTGCAGTAGTCCGGTTTTTATTTTTAAAAAACCAGTAACTAACATTTTGCCTGCTTTTAAATCAATATGAACTAATTTTACCTGAGTTATTGAGATGATACGATTTTTTTCTGTAGTTCAGACAAATTTTTCAGTCATCAACATGCCCTGACACAGCGGCAAGATATGTAGCCATGGCAATAAGTAGTGTGTCATTTTTCTTATTTTCTAGTCTCAGGTTTTGAGCTGTAAGCTGTAGAAACTAGCAACGGCTCTAGCGGATGATACAATCATCTGTCTCAAATAAATAGGAGAATTTTTAAGTATGGAGGTACCATATTTTCAAGTACTGTAGCCACGGGACACATCATATCTCTATCTGGTACGTATGGTATGTAAAAGGTTGGCAACAAAATCAAAATACATGAACGAAACAGCATTTGAAGTTTCATATATCTCTGAAGAGAGAGAGAGAGAGAGAGAGAGAGAAGAGAGAGAGAGAGAGAGAGATGGGGTTTAACGTCCACTCGACACAAACTAGGTCATTTCGGGACTAACATATGGTTTAATTCTATTTCAATAATTCGCTTGCGTGTAGCGGTCTTTAGCAGTGGGAGGAAACCGGAGGACCCGGAGAAAACCCACGAGGTTGGACAGGCGACCCTACTTCTTGTCACGTTCAACCGGGGATTCGAAACCACGCCTGTTGACTCAATGACAGGCTTTATGATACAGCGCGCACGTGCTAACCATTCGGCCATCCAACCCCCTTATCTCTGAAGAATTTTCAACTTAGTGATAATGGTCTTGATCATTTCTTAAGAAATACTGCGTTGGCTATGGGTCAATATTTTATAAAGAAAAGGGTATAAACTAATAAACTAATGTGGAAACAGAAACACAGCCAAATATTCCTTGTGGTCCAGAGGTCCCACAAATAAACATTTGAAGTTGTAGTTTTAAAGCTTTTTTTTTTTTTTTTTTAGATATGCTCCACATCATACTGAAACACGGACTTGCCTATTCAAGGTTGTTTTTTTTTTTTGGGGGGGGGGGGGGGTCTGAAAGAAGTAATATCAAGGAACTTTTAGCCGTCGTCTGTATGAAAATGTTTGGTGTGCATGGGCCTTTATAACTTTGTGATTGTAAAGGAAATTAGATGTTTGTTCTGAGGGCTTATCATTACAGCAAATATACAGAGAATATACGCTTGACAATGACAACAAATTCACAATATTTTTCTTGTGTATTAGAAAACCAAACACAACATGTTAGGAAAAAACAGTCAGACCACTTCATATCGATTTCTTGTCACAGATTTCTAGCTAAAGTAGGGTGTGAGTGAGCTAAGTGTATTTCCCATCAGATTCCCGGCAACGAGAAATCAGGCTATGAGTTGCATTTAATCTTTGGTGTGTACAGAGCAAATGATATATTTTAATTCTAAATTCACAAAAATATACAATCCTTGTCGAGAAATTTAATGCATGGAAATTTACAATACAATTATTACCAAGTCTATAAAAATATTTAAAAATTTATATTAAAATACTGAGATTCTGGAAGATAAATAATGTATATAATTTAATAATACAAAATAAATATATAACAAATAAATACTGTAGAATGGTATATATAAATAAATAACATATATTTCAGTTTTGAGTTTTAGCAGGATTATTGCGATATAATTCTCTTAGCTGTTTTCTTCTATCATTGTGACAACCTGAAATTATACAATGACACAATTTCCAATAAACCACTGTTTTCTTTAACGTTTCATTTCTCTTGGCTACAATCAGCATTTTATATCCGGTTTGTACCAGGGTTCTTAATCCATTTTTAAACAAACCGGTCAGAATTGGGTCAAATAAGGTCCCGGTAGGTAATAGGGTATACATGTAACTGTAAGCTTCTATTCCCCTTAATATAACCATACTTAACCATAATTCTTGGTAATTTGTTAATAGAATGGTGTATTCTAATGTATTTTATTACCACAAAAATAGGTACACCTTTCGAAACAGTTTCCATATTTAATTTTACGTAGCGGTTTAAGGTTCACGTCAGTAATATTCCTGAATAAATTACTGTGTTTGTTAATTCGATGTAATAAAGCGTGCGTGTATAGTACATATTGTCTACAGTGCTTTTTAATTTCATGTGCAAATATGTTTAAAATACCAATGAACTCGGACACTAGTGATGCTTATTTTAATAGACAGTGCAACATTAACCGCCAATTTAAAATATAAAAAACATAAAACACAAAAAATTCAAAATATTTACATATATAGTTTTCTTATAAAGATGAAACAAATTACATGCCGGATAAAAGAAAGTTATTTTTGTGTAAAAGTCTGATTAACTTATGGATAAAGATAGTTACCCAGGTATGTAGTTGTTGTAGGTACTGTTATAACTTCTTGTCCATCTGGAGAATCATCTGGCAGAACTGGTCCATCATCCCATAATAAATCGAATCCTCCTATACGTCTCTCTTGTCCACTTAATCTATAAATAAACATGGTCCCATAATAAATCCCATACACATAATATATAAATTAACATAGATCCATAATAAATCCCATACAGATTATCTATAAATAAACACCATCCCATAATAAATCCCATACACTTAATTTATAAATAAAAAGTATCCCATAAAAAATCCAATACACTTATTCTATAAGTAAACATCATCACATTATTAATCCCGTCCACTTAATCTATAAACAAAGATCATCCCATAATATATCTCACCCAATTAATCTATAATAAAGAAAGATAAAAATATATGATTACCTGTTTTCTAAATCTAGAACATTTAGTACATCACATAATAAACCATATTTTAGTTGATAATCTTCTTTACCACTAGCTGTCAATGATGGCGAAGCATTTATCTCTATTAACCATCTGTTGTAGAAGTTTCATTATATTACATATAACAACTGGGACTTTTTGTAAACAAGCTGTTGCCATGCAAGATACTTCCTCATTTTGCAAGAGATGGACAGAGATCAAGCAGTTGCCATAATCCAGGAAGCATGGAACTAAATAGTTGTATGCAGGAAGTTACAGTCTTATATGTGCTAATATCGAAATGAACCGAGATCTTTGGGTAATAAATATATATTATTTAAGTTTCATAAAAATCGGATAAAAATTGTGACCTCTAGAGTGTCCATAAGCTAAAGACGTGATTTTTTGTACAATCAAGGGGCCATAATCCACGAAGTTACAGTCTGATACATGCCTATATCGAAAGGAACCGAGATCTCTTGACATATAAACCAATATTTCAAGTTTCGTCAAAATCGGATAAAAATTGTGACCTGTACAGTGACCACAAACAAAATGTGGAAGTCCGGACAGAAATGGGCGTCAGCATAATATACTACGTGAAAATATGAGCGCATAATATAAGAGAAATTGGGGACACGGCACGCCACAGGCATCTCTTAAACCTTGTTATTAAAAACAATTAAACTGAGTAGGTTGACTACTTACGGTTTAAGTTTAGAATCTAATATAACATCAAAACCATACATCTCAAAACAATGTTTATCATTGATGATAATCTTCTGTACAGATTGTAAACTTTTAACTATTATATTATCTATTTCTTTAAATGTCTGTTGTACCTACAAGCAGAAAATATTACACACCTTATCAAAATAGGTGTAACTGCATGGGAGTGATGTTTCCCATTTAAATATAAAGTGGTACTAACATGTACATCACAACCCAATGATGTCCCACAGTGGGTTAGTGTTTGGTCGCAGAATCCCACTCTGACCTTGTATACCATAATTCACTATGATGATATGGCTAGATCTCATACCATGTGTATCTCTAGGACATCATTATGCATGTTAAGCTGTAATCAAGTCTGGACATAAGGCACCTGTCACAGATATTGTCAGGCACAAGGCATCACACAGCGTATAAATTATAACATACGTTCTGTAATAATTTGTACCTGACAATGTCTGTCATAGGTGCCTTATGTGTGTGTGAAATAACTTTATTTAACGTCCGCTTCCAACGAAGTGATATCGCAGACAATCACAAGTTATATATATATACAATAAGTGAAATATTTACAAGGTGTAATTAGCGTTAAATTTAAGTGAAATATTTATATATCTGTACAGAACAGATGAAATATTTAATGACGGGACGATACACATTTAAACAGACGGACGAGTACATATGTATATAGTTAAATGTGCTATAACAAAAGTGCAAATTGAGACAGAGACATTTTACAGACACACACACACTGTACTGGACAAAGCGAACATCTCACAAAACAAACAATAGACAAGTAGACATAGAGTGTACATATAGATTTATACAGGTCTTTTTCGTCGTCTGATCGGTTTGTCCGGTTGAATGACAGGGTGGTGCCTTATGTCCAGCCAGACGTGTTTATATAAGTTGCGTGATAATCTGTACTGGACAAAGTCTGTGAAAGGTGCCTTATATCCAGGATTGGCTGTAGAGAATCTAACGGCATATTGTCTTATACTTACTGCTTCAACTCCATGTTTAGCTAATAAAAATTGTCGCAATCTGTGTAATGACCATTTACAACCCTTTTCGGGATCATAATCAGGTGCTGTTTTTTGTACTGCAACATTTGTTAAATGAACATCTATATTATAGGTTAAGGAAGATAAAACTTTTTCTTTTTCATAATATACATATTCTGTTTCCATAGAAACACTAAATACTATGTAAAATAATACAACTGGTGGTAGTTTTTTCTTTGATGTGCATACAAGTTGTATCTCGAATCAACCAGTCACGACGTCATCACAGGTTGATATATTCGGTTCATATCAACCTCTGACGACGTTGATGAAATATTACAAGTAACACAGAAATCACTTTTTTATTCTCTTGACAATTACAAATGTTTATTGCTGGAACTTGACCCTCTTTCATGTAACAAATCACTTTTGTTCCTTGTGTATACTCTGACACCACCTGAAAAATATGCTCACAGTAATTAAAGGATACAAAGGTTTATCAAAAATATCAGAAGAAAAACGTACCATCGGATAATTCATTCGTACCAATGGATAATTCATTCGATATGTAGAAAGTAACTATATTATAAAAATATCTGAAGGAAACTTTCAACTTACCCTCAACATTTGGATTATCCATGTCTAAAATATCTTTGACAATTTTCTCTTTGTCCACATAGAATTATTTCTACACGCACTCCATATCTTTAAAGTATTTATAGCCCAACAGTACCTTCTGTTAAGTATTTTTGGGGACAGTCCCCTTAACACAGCCGTTAAATTCTTCTCTGAACATACTGAAAACCTTTCAGGTTCAGTCAGAAAAAGCGGAACACATTGACTTCTTCTGAACAAAATTTTCTTCAGCTTTTTGACTAGCAACTAGTAGATCCTCGTAAGAATTTGCATTCACATCTATTTCGCCTTCAATCTGTTGGCTAAAAGGGATTAATTATTCGTCTAACATAACCTATTACTATCCATTAAATTTTTGCTTTTAATTCAAATGAACCTGTAGTGACTCCAAAATGGCAGACATTATCCAATCATTGTTCACTTAAGACTATGAGGATATAAACCTTCTCCCCTACGAATTGATATGATAGAGAACACTTGGGTTCTGCCCGCTGTTCTTTATCATAGCAACCTCGGATAGGTTAATATCCTATACATAACAGCATAATAAAGTGAGACAAGGCAGCAAGGGCAGCAAGATTTGGAGTAATTACCTGAAGCAATAACTATATACAATTTATGTGCCACTCGGAATTTCAATAGGATGCCTCCTGATAACTAGCCAAATAATCCAAATAATTCAGAGTAACAAATAGCTAAAACTCTAATGTGTAATGTGTAAACAAGAATTGTAAACAACCATATATGCAGATCAACAAAAAAAGGATACATGTATCATCAATAGAATCTAGAGAAAATCTTGTATTAGAAAATCTTGCAAAACCTTCTCTATATAACCATGCTTTTATTGGATTAAACTGAAATATACATTGATTATACTCATTTATTATTCTCATTTATTTATAAAAATATATACATCAGTTTTAATTTGTTTTATAAATATCTTTGAATATTAAGAAATTGGTTTTATTGTAGTATAACTGTTTACTTTTTAAAATTGCTGTCCAACACTTTTCAAAATTGCAGTCCAACACTATTCAAAATGGCGATCCAATTATATAGAGCAAGTAATGTTAGCACTATAAAAATAAGATGCTCAAGAAAGATAATCTTGTGTCACTCTCAGGTTTCCTAAATCTCAGAACATTTCTTTTTCTTCTCATAGTTTGATAGTTACAAAGCATTCCAAACACCATCCCCCAAACAATGTATATAAACAAGCATTCCAAACAAAACCCTCAAACAATGAATAAACAATTATTCTTAACATAATCCCTCCACCCAAACCCTCAAACAATGAATAAACAACTATTCTTAACATAATCCCCAAAATCTATAAACAAGGAATAAACAAGCATTCTAAACACCCATCCCGAAATCCCTTAAACAATGAATAAACAAGCATTCTAAACACCATCCCCAAAACCCTTAAATAGGCATTATGCAAGAGCTAATTCTGCCTATTGCAGGTCTTCCGTTAGGCCCGAAATGTTATCTAAATCATTAATTAGACATTAATTAACTTATCCAGATCATAATCAACTCTCAATGCCATCGTTACCTTGCAATATTTAGTGGATTTGAATACATTTTGTGATGGATAATTTACTTTAAAAATGGATAATCCAGACTTGGTTTATTATCATACCAACTTTAGCAATATCTCAGTACAGAGTAAAGCAATTTGACTGAAATATTCGGTTTTCATTATCTATTTTTTAACTATTATAGTGAGAAATGTCAGCTCTTTATCTAATCTTACCTAACCTAATGAATAAATAAGCATTCTAAACACCTTCCTCAAAACCTTCAAACTATGAATATACATACTGGTATTAACATATTGTCTTAATAGTACTTACAGATAAGACTAATACATATACACGTAAATCAAACTTGCGTCCACCAACAAGATAAGGATCTGCTATATATCTCTGTACAACATAAAGTTCTGGAACTTCTTTTTGCGTCTGATCTGATACTGGTTGATAATCTCCCTTGAAACAGTCAACAAAAGATAAAATCACATCATTTGAATAAAGTTTTGCATGAATATGTCTGAAATCTGTTTATTCATATGAACAAGTTCAGCCACAGAGAAGTGGGTCAGGTTTTTGATTTGGACTACATTATTAAAACCATGTGACACATTTGGATGAAATGGTGTTTGGGTTATACTTGTTCAGAGATATGTTCACATAAAAGTTGCTTGTTCCCACGACTCTTTATATCCCTTGAAAGGACAAAAGAAAAAGATAATTATGCAGATTTATTTATATGATGCAGTCCCAAATTGACATGACTAGGTACCTTGAAAATTTAATTTTAGACATTTTAGACTTATTGCCTTAAAAATTAAGTAGATATTTGGAATGGGTGCTGTTTATTCACATCTAGATCTGTTCAAATAAAGTTTTTCTATGCATGGCAGAAGTATCTCAAAAGGGAAAGATTGCCACTATTTCTACCACTTTGCTCTGTCTTACCTTTCTCCAATTTGTAATATCTTTTAATTTACGAAACAGAAAGATTCCATGTCCCTGGGATTTAGCTGCTGGTTTCATTATCCATATCGCACCAGGATTCTTCTTGAATTCTTCAACAAATATATGGTATTCTAACTGAAAAATAAGATTTGGTTGGTATTAAAAAAATCAGGTATATAATAATATACATGTGTCTTCTGTAATCACAGATCTATTTCACTAACATGTTGTTTCTGTATACTTATCAAGATTATATTCTATTATGGTAGTGGCAAGTGTTGTGAAAAAAGAAAGAGTATGCTTCCCTTTTCAAAACATTTGATACTACTTTGTCAGTTTTTTAGGCACATTTCCTAGTTTAGGTTCATATACTATCACATAATTTTGTCACTCTTGCTTTATGGGTTTTGAATTTGAATGCCACTTATGGGATCGAGGAACTATATTTTATTGTCCATGACCTCCTATTGGTAATTACTAGTGTCACTTTACTTACTGGCAATTCAAAAGTACTTGGGTAAAATTCAAAGCTGAAAAGAGAAATAATGGATTTAGTAATCAATACCATAACCAGATTCTTAAAGATACATTATGGGAGATCCGGTAACGAGTTGGCAGTTCTCACTATAATAGTTAAAAACTAGATAATGTAAAGGCAATTTGGTGAAAATTTCATTCAAATTGAACCACTATGAACCGAGAATTAAGCGACTAAAAGTCCCATAAGCCTTGGTCATCATTACTAAAGTCAGTACGATAAACAGAATAGTCTCGATTATCCAGTTAATCATTTAGCCTAATCGAGAAGGAAAGTTATGCAGTAAATCGGCTTACAATCCACTAAAGATCGCAGGCTAGCGCTGCCATCTAGAGTTGATTTTGGCCTGGATAGGTTAATTAATGTCTAATTAATAATTTAGATAACATTTCAGGTCTAAAGAAAGACCTGAAATAGGCAGATTTAGCTCTTGCATAATGTATGTTTAATATTTAATTAAGTTCATGATTGATAATTACAACAACAGCAAAAATATTTTGCTAGCCTTTAAATAAGAAAAGTAAACTTTATGTATATTACGCATGTGTGACATTTTTTGGTGCACAAAGTGACTATATAAATTTACCCCTGAGCTTCCAATTTTCCAAATTCTTTTTCTGTTTGTCTTTTAAATCTCTTTAAATTTTTCACCATTAAATTCTTCCTAGTAAGCTGTTTCAAAGAAATAATTGTAAAATTATAAATTGTGATTTACAGAATAATTGTATCATAACCATACCACCATTTTAGGTTTTGATAATTCATTTGATGCCTGATTTGAATGCTCTGGCACAAAATCTTCTATCAAGGATTTCATTAAATACTCTTACTAGCTATCCTGGTCACATCCATTATGTACAATTGGTTTTAGACAAATTCTTGCTCTTTTCTAAAATTTATGCTATGCATTTTCATGAGCAAGTCCCTTATCTTTCTTACAGGGTCAAGTAAATTTTTTATAAATTTTTTCTTTTAACACTGATAACCAGGATTTAAAACTTTTCTTCTCCACCATTACCTCATAATAATTTCTAAAGTGTAGAATTTTCTGATGTTCTTGTAAAAATGTGGTATCATAATTTTGATGAATCCATTCTCTGTCACACCAAAAGAAATCCCATTCACCATCTCTGAAATGTAATAACCCAATTGCATACTTCTACCAGTGGCAGTGCTTATATTTTGTAAAATCCTCACTATCAGTGAGTATGAGGTTCACTCAAATCCTGTTATCTCAAACTTGAGGATCTGACACATCTCAAGGAAATAATACCATCAAATTCCTCTTTATAATTCAACTAAAATTCTCTCTTTATTTCTAGGCTATGAACTCGATATGTTTGCATCCACTTCATCAAAATGTATGTCACTCTATATACCTTCTTTATTTTGACTGCAAACTAGCTCCTCTTCTGGATTATGCATGGCTCGAATGTTGTTTATTTCAAATATAGTGTCATAGTATCTGACATTACGAAAATCTGGCCCATATTTTTTAAATGTGCATAGGTTTTGATAAAATAGAGATAAAATTTGCTTTTCCCTATTTTGCCTTGCCTAGCTTAACTTGTCTCTGCCTCCATCCATCTTTGATGATTGTGACAGTCAAAAACTAAGCTTATCACATGAATAAGAGATAAACTGGATATTACCCATCAGCTTCTTGCCAGCCATGTCTAGCCCGTAAAACATCTAATATAGTATTCTGAAGAGATGTTCGAAATCTTATTTCTCTATCACTAAAACAAAAAATAAAGAAGAAATCATTTTAAAGATTTGGGAAGTTTCTATTATACATTGAAAATCCTAAGTTAAATTTGAAATGAAATGAAATGAAATGGAATGGAATGGAATGGAATGGAATGGAATGGAATGGAATGGAATGAAATTAAATGAGGTTTTATGGCAGGTCAGCAGCAACCAGTCTATATAGCACCAAACATATATGAGACAAACTAAATAAAAATCACAATAGTAATCTATATATATATACATAAATAAAAACAAATATCACAGTGATTATCAATTAAAAACAATTATCACAAAACTTTATGTATATATATAATTAAAATACAACAAATGAAAATTACAAATATTCAATTAAAATTTTGTGTAAAAATTTGTCTCTTTTATAAAGTCTAGTAATTTACTATACAGACTGGTTGGGCAAACAATTGATATAAGGAGTGGCAATGGTAATGAGTTAATCTAATATCCTTGAGATGCTTGCACTCAATCAAAATGTGCTTAACTGTCAAAGAACATGACAGTGTTCACATTCTGGTTGAGGCTCTCGCTTTAATATGAAAATATGAGTTAAAAAAGTATGACATATGCGAGAGCGGTTAAATTAGAGTGCCAGTAAACAATAAATGATTCCAAAAATTTATTATATAAAATAATGTGACACAAAATTTCTAGAGTCTATAAAAATTATATGTATCATATAAAGAAACTTTATTTACCATATAATAGCTTTTTGCCTTTGTGTTCCTTTAGACTGCATATACCCTGGAACCTGAATTAAAATCACGAAGAGACAAATGATTTAAAGCAAATAAATTGAAGGAATGAAAGAAACAAACAGAGTTTTAATAAATTTCCATTAAATATACTTTAAAATCAATGTTCAGAAGATGGGTCTGAGCTTAAAGTCGAATTTAGCAAACTTAATACACCAATATAGATCACAGTATTGGAACTTGATATATTTATGTCAAATATTGTGCAACCATAACAAATTTTGTTGAAAATCAGAGTAAATTAAAATGATAAATCATAACCATAAAATCTTTAAAAAAGTTCTTAGAACTAGAATATATTACATGGTTTGCTCTTTATCCCATCCAAAGCCAAAACTATATAGGGCCCAATCAATACTATGTGTGCACTAGCTACGAGAACGTAGTTAAAAACATTGAGATATACTGATGTGCTTGTTTTTAGCTACCACGGAGAGCCTTTAGTTTCACCTGGCAAATTTAATTTCTTTATTAATGCATGTAATATCTTAAAAATAAGTTAATTCTATACTATTAGAACTTATTACACATATGCAGCCCAATCTATTGAAACAACTTTCATTTATTAGCAAATATTGACAATAAAGTAAATCGAGCGTTGTTTTAATTAAAATTTATACGGACATTCATATTCATAATTACGGTGTATTACTCCTGCGCAACTCGGATCAGGTTAGTACTTCGATTGGCTGTTGTACACGGGGCCCAGCTTTTATGAGGTCAAGATGTCAAATTAAAAATGTTGGGGAAAGCAATCTATTATCGCTTCATTTTAAAAAAGGGGATTTGTACCGGTGTCAGGATTCTTAATTGTAGTTGGATGTGGCAGAAATGTTATAAATAACAATAATCAATCGTTGTTTTGAAGAAAAAATTGTCAATTTTGCTTATTTGAAGCCCGATGTGATTAGCAATGGGGTTTGTCAGTTGGATCTATATAGTATTATACCATCTTTTATCTCGAAACAAACGTATTCCCAAAATGGAAATATAGTCATACATCTACATATAGTACATAGTACATACATCATTTAATGTACACGTAAACAGGCATAATGGTATATGACAATTTGGATTTTAGTCATAAATATCTCATCACTCTAACCAAAGTTGAAATAACTTTAGGCACCTGTGTCACCGACAACATTAGACACAAGTTCTGGCATTCAGGCACAATTTTTCTATCTAAATTGTTTAAGTGGCATTTAGTAATTGGATGAGAATAACACATGACACAAGTAACTTGTATTCCATATAATTGTGTCATGTGTTACAATTTTTCTAGTCTGTCATTTTGTCAGGAGGGCGCAAAGTTTAGTGGTAAGGGTCCTAGAATTGTTTATTGATGTGTTTGGGAATAAATCAAAACATATCTCCGATTGATAAAATTGGTGGCTCGATCAGCTTGCCAATCAGTGACGGTGTCAGTCAATCTCCCAAACAGAGTTGTCTTCCCTTGCAGTTCACACTAACCTCTGCTAACGGCTCATCTGACTCACACTGCTCAGCAGTGAATTTTCGCTAGGCCGCTACAATCACTGATAAGGATGACATCGATGCGACTTAATGAGCCAGAAATATTAACTTTTTTCCTGCGACAAATTAAATTCTAAAACATTTTTTTTATGTATTAGAAAAATAAATAAAAGCGTTTGAGTTTGACGTATTTGTAGGTAAAAATGATTTCCTATTTAGTGCGAATGGGGAGTAAAAGTCTCCATTTTGCCCGAACTAGAACGTCTTATGTAAACAATGCACACGCCATTGAGCCAATGATTGACACTGCGAGATGAGACTTCACGTGTTAAAGGTAGTCATCTTTTACAGAGATATTAGAATTCGTAATCCTCTGTGAAACAGATTGCATCTGACTATGCCACCAATATTCTTGGTTTTGATAGACAATGATAAACAATACGATGAATAGCAAATAACTAATAATACATTTAATTACTATTACTATATTAAAATAAAAATGGGGTCATATTTATTGAAAGATAATAAAGTATTTATACAGGGAACTCTTTCTCGTAAGATTATGGGGTTAATTGGTCGTAAATAAGAACTGCAATTTTAGAATATAATACATGTTGATCTGTTTACCTTCATAACGCAATTGTAAGGCCTTATACATTTACACACGAAACATCCAAAATTAGACTGTTTTCTTTCGAAGGGGTAGTAATTGATGACATTTTTCCCTAAAATTGACTAAAACTTATCAAGTGTTTATAACAAGAGGAACGTTTCTGACAGATGCCATTGTTGGAGGTGTAGTAATTGATGACATTTTCCCCTAAAATGGACTAAAACTCATCAAGTGTTTAAAACGAGAGGAACGTTTCTGACAGATGCCATTTTCATCATGTAGTTATAATCACGTGACCAATGACCTCTAGGTCAACCGGTGTAGTGCACGAGCCGACAGCAGAGTTAAATGCTGGATAGCAAGGCATGTATGGAGAATGGGTCACTCGGCAAACCTCTGCAGTGCAGACTCAAGTACCCTACATCTATAGCCTCGGCTGTATGACGAAGTCCCCCATTGGAACTACTTTCAAGTTCTCGGATTACCAACGGCGTCACCCATGTTGATGCATTTGAAGAATGTTTTACCATACAAAGCTTTCAACGTCTGAAGCTGTTTTTCTTCCTAGTTTATCCAATTTTCTTAAAACAAGGACAACTTTGCAATGAAAATTCTACACACTCTTCGAACGACACAATTTTGAGAACTTCTTTCTAAAAGCGGCAAGTTTTACAAAAAGTAAACCGGTAGCCGCATCACAATTGTATAGGTGTAGGTACATATCACTTACTGCCATACAGCCGAGGCTAGATGTAGATTACCAGAATCTGCCGAGATTTGCCGAATGGAGAATGAGTGCCAGTGGCAGTAGTGGTAAATAATCAAATACACACCAGGGCTGGAGCCATTACATTGCCAATGTAATTAATTACATTACCATTACTTCTTAAATGTAATCATTACAATTACTTTCTCATTTTTAGCAATATAATTAATTACCATTAACCATTACATTAAAAGTAATAATTACCATTACCCATTACCCTATGAGTATATAAATAAAAACCAATTTTCGTAGAAATTAAAAAGACAACCTTATTTTTCTGCCATGAAGCACCTACAAAATCAAACTCAAAATAATCCTCGATTCACAATAATAGATATATGTGTATGAATTGTTATTTCTCTATATTATAACATCAAGGCAAATTTTCAAGTGACGGGCAGTGGTGACAAAAACTGATGTTTTCACTGTATGACTTAAAAAAATGAATTGACAATATTTTTCATCAAAACAATGATTGATTATTGTTATTTAAAATATTTCTGCCACATCCAACTACAATTAAGCATATAATCCAACCTGAAACAGGTATAAATCATTGTATTTAAAATTGAGGCGTTAAGCCGTTACTAGGTTCGCCATTTTAAATAGGAGACGTGTGACACCAATGAGATGTATCAAGGGGGGCTAAATATAAGGCTTTTATAACAGCCAATCAAAAAGGCAATCGCAAGTGGAGAAAATGTAAACAAACATAATGACATCTACCTGTTCTAATCTATCCGCGAATCATTTTGGAAAATAAAATCAAATTACGGCTTTAACGTTGAATTAAAACCCGAACAAGAAATTATTTGGACCTGATAATAAATGGCAAGGATGTTTTGCTTTATGGTAAAAGGTGCGGGTAGGGTTTGCGCATGTCTAAAGCATTGTAACTATTAATGGACTTCGATTGGAGTGTACCGTACATCGGATAAAAAACAACGCTTCATTAATTTAAACGCGAATATTTGGAGTTAGGCGATAGTTGTGCCACTACATTGGCCTCTGTAAGTTTAATTAGTCATAATAGTATAAAATTATCTTATTTTTAAGATGTTACATGCATTAATAAAGAAAAGGAGTTTGCCACTTGGAACTAAAGGCAGCCAATTGTAGCTAAAAACAAGCATGTCAGTTAGGTACGCCAATGAAGCGGTGAGCCGCTGGCGTAATTTCGTCATCGCGAGTCACGCCACAGATACGCCAGTGCGAATTGCGTATTGGCTTTTCTTCCTCGTCGGATTGTCCATTGGTACGAAACTTCGGCTTCAAATGTGGTTATTATCGTAAATAAAAGACTAGCTTTTCGCCTCTTTTTTCAAATTTTTACTCTAGCTGCTCCGAGTGCGGAGAAAGCTAAACGTCAAAATGAAAGTAGAAAACAACACAATTCTTGGGACGGATACCAGAATAGCATATAGGTTTAATATTATATTGATTTGAAAAAATATATATAACTTTAATTCTGCGAGTTTTCAATGAAATCGGTAGGTGCAGAGCCAAAATACATAGTACAGAAATTTTTTGATCCAGTTTCGAAGTGACTGCCATGTAAGAAAGTTAGTGGAATTTTACCGCTATATAGGCATAGCGACTGCGCGCGACTAATATATATAGCGACAATTAATTAGGCATAACTCCATTAATCAATATAGGACCTTTCAAGCTCATTTTGGTGTCATAGTAAAGCTGTTGGACAGCCAAACGGGATAGTTGAATTTTTTGTTGTCATCCCGATCATTATCACGTTTTTAGACCGGTACGTTCTCGTAGCTACCATTATTACCCCAGCCCTGAAACACGCCCAGGCCAATGTTTTCATTATTTTGGTTTTGTTAACTTTTACCTTACTAACGACATTGCTTTGGGGCTTCGCAAACATTATTGCGCGATTTGCTTATATGTGCCTAATAATATTCTTGTCCTTGTAAAACATTTTTGCGTCACAAAAATTCGGTTTGTTTACATTCGCGACTGTGACGGGAAGTAGCAGGTGGCGCTACGAACTCTGTCTATATGGAAATTCATACATGGATAGCAGATTTTCCCATTGAATTTATATTTAATTTCAAGATATAATAACATATGTCCACATTATTGGGACACGCAAACTTGTTAGTTTCATGGGGGTGATGATTGAAATCGCAAAATGTAAGCGAGGGTGCGCGTGCACAAGGAGCGTGAAATTTAAAACGGAAGCAGGTAGACGCAGCACAACTTCGCTTCCGGTGTAAATATGGTAAGAAACACTTCAGGAGCTAGGGTTGTATAACTTTTGCAAGTTTTGAAAAGCTTTTTGTTACTTGTGCAACTATTTTTAGCGGTAATAAACATTAGCATCTCACTTATATTTGATAAAAAGGATTGTCAAGCAATTTAAAAAGCCGTTTTTTTCTGAATCACCAATGGAAACAGCAAAGTTGTTACTAACTTTTTATTATTCCAGTAGGGCCTACGGTATTCGTTAGCCTAGCAAGTGCCCCTTTGCCTTTAGCTTTAGGAACGGTCTCTGAAAACGCCTGCCCGCTGACTGTACCTATCCTCCCCAATATAGCTGCAATAAGAAAATACCGCTCTTCCCCACCTCTGTTCTAAGGCTATTTTGGAATCCTTACCTTCTATTTTCCACCGTGATTCTTTATTTTCCGCCAAAAGGAATCATTGCTCGCCATATCTGACACAAATTTTTAATAATTAAGCACTATTTTCAAGGAAATGCTTTTGAACTGATCTGCCATTACGGATCTCAAACATGCGCATACCTCATTTTTTTTCAATCATAAAATTCTACTTGCAAATAGTGGCGAGAAAATGATATCTTTTGGCAAAAAAAGAAGAATCCCAGTGAAAAATATAAGGTTAAGATTCCAAAATAGCCTTAGAACAGAGGTGGGGGTAGATTGGAATTTTCATATTGCAGTTTAATAGGAATGAATAGGAAAGGTCAGAGGACAGCATACTATCCAAAAATGCCTTATCTGTTGCGACATGAATCATAATTATTTATGACTGTTATGGCCAAACAGAATTGATTATATAGACTACTATTTTTAGCACAATAATGTTAGATATTGTATCTCTGTGACCAATCTGACAATAGACTAATTTATAATTAATTATATGTGTAAGCTTATGGCCCTCAGGTGCAAAGATTCTCTTTTTAAAATTGTGTAATTTTTTTTTCCAGTATAAGCTTATTACTACGTATGTATTTAAATGATTCCTGGTTTGTCTTTTCAGTGAAGAGAAATCCAGCTGTTGTTCATTAAAAATCCAAATTTATAAACGCCATCATGGGGAATGGTATGAATAAGGTAAATATATGGACTTATTGCTTGTGACTACAGTACATGTACAAAATGTGGCTGATGTTTCTAAGTTGCATTTGATTGGTCAAAATCAGACCTTTTAAACAGCTTTTAAATATTTGTTAGATCTGCACTTGTGGAACAATAGGTGTGTGGAATGAGACAACATTTTCCATAAATCACCGCGTGAGTGTAGACAGGATCAGCCAGATTGTCGTTCAACATATTTACGAGGGGTATTATATCATCCTAACTAATAATCGTTTTAAGTTAAAGTGGCAACGATTGAATGAATTGTCATTATTTTAAATGTATAAGTTTATTGTGTTTTTCTTCAGATTATTAAAGGTGTATATATTGGTAATTTTCGAGATTCTAAAGATCAAAAACAACTAACAGAGAATAACATAACACACATCCTTTCAATACATGATAATGCCACACCGATACTGCCTGTGAGTATTGATAATGAGAAGTTAGGAACATGTTTAAAGAGATAAATATTGATATAGTCATTGAGATTTTTTAAATAAATTGATATTATTTAAAAATTGGATTATGAGGTTATATTAGATTTACCATAGCGCATGCCAATAGTTTCTGTCCTGAGCAGGTCATTTGAAGGCTAAGTTCGTAAACAGGAACATCTTTGACCATATTTTGTATTTAATTTAAAAGGGCATACTGTTAATACTTGTTATACACCAACATTATAATGTGGTTTTATATTCCTGCCATATTGTCCATCTGTCGTACTTTTATTATGAAATCTTGTTAGTGCCTTAACTAGAGGCTTCAAGTATGATCTGATAACTGCTAGGATGATTTAGCAGGTGATGATGATGGGTGTATGTGTTGTGGCCTGGCAACCGATGTTTGACTATTTAATCAGTATGTACTTATGTTCTTTACTTAAAGGACAAGGAATATCTGTGCCTTATAGCTAGTGATCATCCTGCTCAAGATCTCACTCAGTTTATTTCACAATCAAATGATTTTATACATAAAGCTCGACTCAGTGGAGGAAATGTTATTATTCATTGGTAAGAATTAATATACATTACACTTTATTTTTATGGGTAAAAAAATTTCCCAGGAAAAAATTTATAGGGAGTTATTTCCAATACAAATATGTCATATTTGGTATATGAAAATACAGACTCCCAATCTTACTTGAAAAATGCTGAATTCCCTGAAATAATTGAATTCCCTGAACATTAAGAAACTTAAATGACCAGTTGCCTCTACAACTAAAAAGCAGAAAAGTTGGCAAAAGATAACCTAAGAATTTACTTAGGATTCGATATTTATGGTAAAAGTACAGCGACTAACGACAAATACAGGCTGTAAATGGATTCTCCCTCAAATAAGTCACATGGCAAACCAGGCTTCTTACAATAGATTTATGCATCTTATGGGGTAGTTTCTTGCAACTAAGATGTTTTTAGTCCAAGTATTATCATCAAATCACACAGTGTGTTTGCGGGAAGGTATCTTCAAAGAAATGTACCAGTTGTCATAGGACTGGAATAGTCATCTGAAATCTGAGGAAAAATTTGAAATAAATCAGTTCTTAATACAATAAAAGTGATATTTTACTAAACATGTATTTATCTGTAAATTTATTTATGATTTTAGCCTGGCTGGTGTATCACGTAGTGTTACATTAACAGCTGCCTATATCATGACAGTAACAAATCTTCAATGGAGAGATACCTTAAACTCAATTCGTGGTGCTAGAAGTTGTGCAAACCCAAATTTTGGCTTTCAAAGGCAGCTGCAAAAATTTCAGGAAGAAATGTTAGAAGAGGTTTGTCGTCATCTGAATAATTAAATATGCTCTATTAATGACTTACATGTATGTTTTCTACGGTTATGTCCTGGCTGGATCCTCAAAACTGCAGCTACAACTTAAGGGAGATTTACCAAGCATGTGATAATATTAGTAAAAAGTTTTTTTATATATACAAATCACTCAATTTTACAACTTTGAATTTGATGTACATTACATGTACAAAAATATTTCTATCTAAGATAAAACTTTTATGTGTAAGGAACCGTACAATCTTAAAAAATAAAGCTGCCAAAAATTTCAGTGTTGTCCAGAGTATATGCACTAGTAACATTGGTATTTTCCCTGATTTCATTGTAGAAAACTGCCATATTTAGCACCCTGCATGGTTAAAATAATTTATAGTCAAAAATATACCCAGAAAAGATCTGGGTCTGTCTTAGTATCAATATTAAGAGTTGTGCCCCTTGATCAACTGTATTGTAGAAACATATTTAGACATGAAAGAATACAAGTAGCATTATTGTATCTATACATTCATGTGTAAGTAACTACTGATTATGATATAATTCCCTTTGGTTTTCAACCCAATGTCGTAGGAAATTGATTAGAGTATATATCCAATCTATCTGGGAAACTATGGTATATTTAGTCTTCTGACTTATATCATTCAAGCTTTTTTCTATGAAACTCTGTAGGACTTGAAATAGAGGCTAAGGGAAATAATGTCATGTGGTGTTGTGAGTTGACCAGTATCAATCTCCCCACACTGAGAATAATAATCATTGCAAAATTCAATTATTTCAGGAAAAGAAACGTTTTTTTGCTCTTCATGGAAAAAGTCCTTTTGATGATGAATCCGATTGTAAAATAAATCTTAGTGCCTACCAAAAGTTTTTATTAGGTAATGCGGAAGATGAGTCTACATATCCACTACCACATAATGCCTACACTGAGAAAGAAAAAAGACAAGGATCTAATGAAGATAAAAAATCATCTTGAACAAAATCCAACTCGCACAAATTAAGAAAACCAGGTATCGATAAGATTTAGAATATAGGAACTGTTTTGTATATTTGGTAGAATTACCTTAATGTGTTTTATTAAGGAGTCTGTAAGTTATCGGTTGTTTTTCAAGCAGCATCATACATACTCTTAAGTCAAGGTATATCTGTAATAAATGTAGATAAAACTGGTGTACAGTTTGAGTTATTAACGACTGCCAATAGTTTATAAATGTATGAACTTTATATTAAAGTACATATACTCTACCAGTATTTTTCTTTTGTAATTTATCATCTTTGAAAATGAAAGAAGTCATTGATGTGATTGATATGTTGTACACTAAAGACAGTGTTACTGTATACTTAGATTATTGGGTTTACATTTTTCTTTAATAATTCTTATAACTGATTGCTTTTTCTTCAATATATGAGTGAGAAAAGAAAAAAAAAGATTGGAAACCTCATTATTATACATTTTCCATGTAGCATTATTCATCTGTTGTAAGAATTGTTGGCACATTGTTTCATTAAGTAGTTTTTATTCCAATCATCCATATTAAATGGATATAAATATAAATGGGAAGCTTCATCACTTTAATGATGATTTTGAAGTAAATTATAGAGCTATTCATGGTATAACATTGTTCATTACTTTATGTTATTAATGTTTCAAGAATTATAAAGACACCTGATAAGCTTGGGATATTACTGGCAGCTAATGCCCTGGTTTCCATGTTGCTGGTTTCTTTGGAAAGTTTGCTAGAGCTTGAAATATTTGGGTTTCTACAGTTATTTGGGCCAGTACTCTTTAATTTTTGATAGTCACCCTGATGAACATTTATTTCAATAATAAAGTACTGCGTGTATTTTACATATAAAGTTAACTTGTACATGTACAATGGTAATCTTATTTTTAAACTATGGTGCTACTTTTTAAAAATATCCTTGTTCAAATTTTGTGTAAAAATATATCAAATGTTTGTCAATATTGTTTGCTAGTATCAGTGGTGATCCTAGACCATTATTTGCATTTATTTGTTATGTCTTTAATTAGATCACATTTTGATGATCATTTTTGCAATATTCAACCATTTTATTTGTTTTCAACAAATTTAGATTTTTATTATAATAACAATTCATGAAAAAATCTCTAATAGTTTGTTTGATTTACTGTGTATATTTTCTGGTTTATATGTGATAACTAATAACTAATAATGATTTTTCTAATAAAGATATTAGATATGTGTAATATTTACTGAAATTTAAGAGGTCAGTATACAACAATTTATGCAATTTATTGTGAAAATTTGTGAAATTATGCAATTGTTGAAATTGTTGTTTATAATATTTTCAAGATACTTTATTCAATATAAACTAAATATTGTTGATACTATTAAGAATCTCATACAAGTAATTTTATTTATATCAAATACATCAATGCATGTCATTTGATAACAAAAAAGTCAACACTTCACCGAGATGACATGTTTAATATTTATTGCCAAAAAGAAATATTGAAATCAGGGTGCCCAATCAAATGGTTTGGTAAAGGAATATCTTATCAATGAGAGTAGTAAAATGATTATCTCCAATCAATAATGATTCCCTTAAAAACAAGTTTTGATATAGTTATCACTGAAAATTGTTTTTAAACATAATGAAGAAAACAAATAATAATCTGACTGACTCATTAAAGTAGCAATGTTTTTTTGGGTTTTTTTATTTCATGTCCAATCTTAACATGATGTAATAACATGTTAGTTTATAGCCATATACTGCTTACTGTTTCCTATATATTCCGACATTTCTCAAGTTAGAAAAATTCAATTTCTTTAAAAATGTGGTAAACAAGAAGGGTACGATGTAACAGAATTTGAGAATTACTATCTAATATTGTTAGGTATATTTAACAATAAATTTGTTTACAAGCTGACAAATTATGACCAATTATTCTGATATGCATAAACTAAGTGCTACTTTAAATAGATTTGTAAAATAAAACTTGTAACAAAATAGGAAGAAATGTCTGTTGAAGAAATTGTTATAGTTTTGATGAATGTCAGGTTTCAAACATCTCATTTTCATGTACTTAATATTAATATCTGTAGTTTAAAACCACAATGGAGAAAATCAAACAAATGATGTTGTAACCAAAAGGTAGAGCCTTTTGTGATTTTGTATGTGATATGTTTTTAATTTATTTTTGTAAATTTTTATATCCTCTGGAAGAAGCATTTGATTTCATTTTAGATAATAATAAATGTGTGCAACAATTTCAGTTTTATGTCTAATTCTTTGGAAGGTGTCCAGTCAAACCTTGATTTACCATAAAAGTCCTCTGTTTTCATGGTCTTGCCATTGTGGAGCTCACAAAGCAGATCCTGTTAACAAAATATACTGTGAACTATAAAGGGTTTAAGTATTTAAATATTAGGCCTACCAGTAAGACTTCTGTGATGATCTATAATTATTGAGACTTGAAGTTATGTTTTTAAAATGATATTGTTTCTTTGACAAGGAGATATAGAAATATATTTGTAAGTTTTTTTTATTAAGATCTTACTGTTTTAATAGTGCCAAATATATACATTATTTGTAATTTACAAGTTTGATTGTTTGGATAAAGCTTTGGACATTTATTAAGCTTGTGTTTTTTGGGGAATGATTTTTATTCTTGTATTTAAAGATGTATTTCCTCCACAGTCACTGAGATTCTAAATTCACAAACTTTGACTGGAAAATACAGAAAAAAATAAAATATTTTTGCCAGACTCTATAAAGCTAAAGTAGATTAGAGGGTGTTTGGAGGGTGGGGGCTTTAAACTCGGAATTTGTCCATTGAGTTTGGGGTTTTTTTTTTGTACGATTGATAAAGGCCTCTCAAAGGTCCAAATCGGAAAATACTAGTTTTTCGGTGTACCATAACTTATTTCCTATAATCGTCCAATTCGTATCAATTAGATGTCATGGGGTAGTCCATCGTTTGTTGTTTTGATCTGGTGTCATCTGATTGGGGGGGGGGGGGGGCTTTAAAAACAGAGCTGGTCCATTGAGGTTTTTTTGTGTTTTTTTTTGATGACAGAAAAAGGCATCTCAAAAGGTCCAAAACGAAAAATACTAGGTTTTCGGCGTACCATAACTTATTTCCTATAATCATCCAATTCTTATAAATTAGATGTCATTGGGTAGTCCATCGTTTGTTGTTTTGATCTGGTGACATCTGATTTATTATTATTAACACTACTTCCGCTATACGGATCATTGTCGGGATAGTTTTAACAATGATCCATTACATTAAGTGTCAAGTGATCTGATAAAATCCCTCTGAGATATCGCACGTTATTATAGTGTGCCCCGTGCAGAGAAATTTTTCACTACAGAAAGTTGAACTCGACACGCCGAATGTGCACACTTAGTGGCTTGTCTCAAAGTGATTTCTGGCTAATTACGCAGTGCGATAACAGTCTATGAGTCTATAAATAGCCATCGCACGTGAAATTCTCTACACATCTATCAACTATTACAGCCGTAAAAAATCTATTGTTGACGATTCTGAATAGCAGTAATATTTAGCTTTTTGGTTATTACAGCAGCTATAGAAATTACGTTCGTTTTATTTTCTAAATTGCTTTATCATTAACTATACCGTTAGGAGCCGCATGGTTTGGTTTAGTACAAATAATATCTCTGAAACACCCAGATTAGGGAAGAACATGAAACTAGCAATTGTTTCATTTACTTTTACAAGGTTCTTAAAACAATTGTTGAGTTTCCTAACGTGCGTGTTTCTAAATTCAATTTCTTGTTCCAGCTTTCTGTTATGTTTCGTAAAAAAAGTAGTCTTGGTTATCCCGGCCTGTCAATCAGACGTAGAATGGTGGATATACTGGTTAAGCGAGACTAATTTCAAAACAAAGGCACATAACCTATTTTTTACTTTAAAGTGCCCGGATGTTATGTCCGACACTCGTAACCATTTTTCAGTTGATTATTTATGGATGGTTAAATGGTCATAGCTTATTAAGTACAACATGACCGTTTATTTAGTGACTATAAATGAAATGAAATGAAATGGGGTTTAACGTCCTACTGTTTTGCTCCTATACTGGGCTAATGAAGACGGGCATACGCCATACAGTGTGCTATGAGGGAAATTTTGCCCGGGCAGCGGCATTATCGCCTACTCTTATATCGAATTCCAACTGCCAAGGGATCTTTTACGTGCATTCTAATGTATACACGGGACCTCGGTTTTTCGTCTCATCCGAAGGACTAGACAGCTGTCCTTGTCAGGCCCTACGTTCTGCACCACTGACAAGGGGAAACCACGTAGGAAAATCCAGATGAACTTTCTCGGCCTAGTGTTTATAAATGTGCGAAATTGATTTAAGGTTTGGTATATTGTGGTGTAATTGTGGAGATATTTATTTATGGTGGAGCACCCTGACGTTAAAAAGTGCTAAAATGCCAAATGTCAAAATATCGAAAATTAAATTTCAGTAACTCAATACATATACATAGTTAGAATTGTAATTATATCAGTTATCTAAATATATAAATGTTTTTTGGGGAAATTTGAATAAATAGAAAAATGAAAGATCATTTTTTGAAATTTAAAGAATTTTCGACATTTTTTTAAAGTTTGAAGCCTTTTTGAAATACTTATGTCATTTTCTGTCTTTTACTTATGGATTCCTAATAACTTTATTTGAGAAGGATACAGGATTAGGCTGCAGAAGTTTTTCTACCATCCTGCTCTTTATGAAAAGTATAGTATGACGTAGACCGTTTAAATTTTTGGATCTAATTTGAGATTTGTACAATGGTTGCGTAATATAAATAGAAATTTCACTGCTTGGATCTTTACAAGATCGGGTGATTTTTAGTACACACCTCCGAAACGTAACTCCACACATATTAAATTTTGAGAACTATATTATACTTTGGCATTCATCAGTTTCATTGTGACAACTATTATTCCAATTAATTATGTGAACCTTTTATCTGTTTCTCATTCTGGTTGTTTCCATTATGATAATTATAGCACAGTATAATATAATAATATTCACTTTTAATTGGGTTATTTCCTCCTATAACTGTATAACTAATTAGCTTCTCCGAGGGGTCGCTTGATATCAGCTAATTCGTTCCTCTTATAGCTAGTTCGTCAGTAAATGAAATTGTGAATTTATTTATAACACCTAGAAGTCAAGACATGTTAAATTAAATTATAACTGTCGTGTAACAATTTAAATATGATAGGGAAAATATAGTATTGGAAATAAACACGTTATGAAAGTCATAACGAGCCAGATTGTTAATCTAATCCCCAAATAAATAGATGACACTCATTAATTACTTGCACATTAACCTTTTTTAAAGCTCAAAGCAATCAAATTGTCCATCATGTGCACTTTGGGCAGGAAATACTCATTATCGAACTTAGTCAAAGTATTGGTGTAATGAAATGAAATGAAATGGGGTTCAACGTCCTACTGTTCTGCTCCTAACCTGGGCTAATGAAGACTAGCATACGCCACACAGTGTGCTATGAGGGAAATTTTGCCCGGGCAGCGGCGCTACGGCCTACTCTTATATCGAATTCCAACTGCCAAGGGATCTTTTACGTGCACGCCAATGTGTACACGGGACCTCGGTTTTTCGTCCCATCCGAACGACTAGACAGCTGTCCTTGTCAGGCCCTCCATCCTGCATCACTGACAAGGGGGGGGGGTCACGCCGGAAAATCTGGATGAACTTTCTCGGCCAATGCAGGGATCGAACACGCGACCTCCAGGCTAGCGAGCCAGCGTCTTACCCACTTAGCCACGCGATCCCCTATTGGTGTAATAATGAAACTATAACTTGAATAGCTATAATTTAATAAAGTAAAACCCGGTCGATTTGAATAATATTTGAACCATAATTATTGTAATAGAAGTACTTTTGACTGTGCATGGGTTTAAATTCCATATTAAGTTGGCAGGATAAGGTTTTAAAAAAATGTAGCAATTGAATCAATAGGCATTCATAATTGTTCATTAAGTATTAAAATTGTTGCTTACTGTGTCGTTTTATATCTATGAAACCAGGGGTATAGCTGACCCGAATTTAGAATATTGTCATGAAAAGAATTCATTTGATCTAATCACCGTTGCTACATTCTTCATTCTAAAATCTCTAAAATAATATTTACAATATTAGGGGCGGATCCAGGAATTTTTGTAGGAGGGGGGGGGGGTCTGCCAGGTTTATTAAATTTGACAGTTGACAATGCATGATGCCATTATCGTCTCCAAATTACGTAGGCATACATACACACTGAGCTTTTTAAAGATAGAATTCCAACACCCCGTTTGACGTCAATTTTATAATGAATTATCATTATTATTATTATTACAGCCCTTTCATATAACATGCTCAGGGGCATTTCACAAAGTGACAATGTAATCATAAATAAACAACAAGATTATGGACATGTTAACGATTGTATACAGAGTCATTTAAAAGCCTGATTAAATAAATGTGTTTTAAGTTGTTTTTTTAAAAGAATATAGAGATGTACAATATCTTAAACTAAATGGTAGTTTTATCCATAAAACAGGTGCTTGATAACTAAAAGAGCGCTGACCATAAACCTGATAGAAAGTGTGCTAAGACGTGCATCTAAAAATGTGCCTTGTCTGAAAGAACTCACATACGGAGCAAAGACTGAAGAAGCTTAACCTTCCAAGTCTAGAATACAGACGGATCAGAGCAGATCTTATTGAGGTATATAAACACACACATGGGTTCTACTCAGTCAACCAGGACTTATTCCAGCTGGACACTTCTGGTGTCACCAGGGGCCACCAATTCAAGCTGTACAGCAAAGATGCAGCCTGAGTCTCCGGCAGAACTTCTTCACATTTAGAGTTGTGGATAGGTGGAACAACCTGCCACCATCAGTGGTTGACTCCCCATCACTACAGTCCTTCAAAAACAGACTTGATTCGCATATGACCGACAGCAAATTTGCTACGAAACTGGAGTAGTGAGCTTGCCACCCACATTATTCCGCCCACATTGATGCAAAGTCACTTGGATAAGTGTAGTCGAAGAAATCGGCTTAAGTTGAACAGTGCTTCAACCAGGAGAAAGTCCCCTAGGCCTACTAGATCCTGAACCTGATATGATATGATATGATATAAGAGACTAGTTGAACAGTTTTGGGCTTCAAAAGTAGTTTATCTGATGTACGCAATGTTCGGTCAGGTGTATAAAGTTCTAAAAGATCTGAGAGGTAAACAGGAGCTAAATTATTTAAACATTTAAAGGTAAGTAATACAATCTTAAAATCAATTCGATATTTAACAGGTAACCAGTGTAAACTCTGTGTAAAACATTGTGATCCAGTTTCATTGATATCATTTGTCTATCATTATCTCGAGCTTTGAATGCCCATCCCATATGATAAAGGATAAAGCACACGTCACACATTTCTCATAAAAAGTGTTGTTTTATAAAATAAATTATGTAGCTGAGCGAACCACCCCACCCCCCTCTCCTCTGGATCCGCTCCTGCATATTAAATTTATCACACATAGTAGTTCTTTCATCACATGTCATTGAGAAATAGTTTCGTTTTCACAGGGAATCTATCTTTATTCGTAATGACTCATTTCCTGTTATTGTAATACAAGTCACCAAAAAAAATTGATTTTTTTAAGTGATATGTTCATCGGATATTTTCCAGTTTTGCATTGTTATTTCTTTTGGATCTTGATAAATAGCGATATTCTTGTTTTTAATTTTAAAACTTAAAAATTTGAAGCCAAAGGCTTTTGTAAAGAGCAACTAAACATTTGTTTTTTAAAAATAAATTGGAAATGCAAATAATATATTCTTTGGCCGGCTCAAAATATTAATACTAAAAAGAAAAAAATAACCTCAACCGCACCTCGTCTAGTGGTATAGTTATGGTCAATAACATTTTATTTTTTCAGGGGAAAAAAATAACATTAAGAGGGTATAAGGCGGGCAATATTAAGGATAATTTTTTGCGATATCAAGTATACGATTGCTTAATCCCGGAAAAAGAAAAGAAACTTCAAGATGAAATGCACAAATTGTATTTTGTTTTATTTCTAGGAGCCTTTAAATAAGTAGTCATAACTGAAAATCATTAACACTACCATCCCCCACTTTAGGGGCAGACTGGGGGCTACAGGACCCTGTGTATGGCCCTGTGAGTGGTTCATATACTGCATCGGGCTTTCGGTGGGGGTCTCTTGAAGAAATGACTGTAAATGTTGCTTTCCAGATTATATCCTGATGTGCCTAGTTTATGCAAATATTAAACGTGCATTATGCAAGAGCTAAATCTGCCTATTGCAGGCCTTTCTTTAGGCCTAAAATGTTATCTAATTCATTAATTAACCTATCCAGACCATAATCAACTCTAGATGGCATCGCTAGCCTGCGATCTTAAGTGGATTATAAGCCGATTTACTGCACAACTTTCCTTCACGATTTAACGATTAAATGGATAATCGAGACTATGCTGTTTATCGTACTGACTTTAGTAATGATGATCAAGGCTAGCCGGAAATTTCAACCTCTTAGTTCTTGGTTCATAGTGGATCAATTTGAATGAAATTTTCAACAAATTGCCTTTACATTATCTTGTTTTAAACTATTATAGTGAGAACTTCCTCGTTATCGAATCTCCCATAATGTATGTTTAAGCGCGTGACAATCTTTACAATCTATTATTCATCAAAAACGACGTAAATTATTCAAGACTAAAAAAAAGCAAAAGGGCCCTCAAATTATGGAAGAACATTTATTTCTTTAGGGGATCCTTGCCTACCATATTAAGGCTCACAGTGGGGGATGGGATTGTTTTTAGCAAAGTTTTCCGACAGATTTTTCCTTTCGCCAGACTTTGACAGGAATGCCAATTTACTGTTCTATTTTAAATGTTCTGCAATGGTGGAATTCGTATTGTCTGTCTATGTGAGTTGGCTATAGAAATATAATATTCTTATATAGTATTCCCAAACCCTTCTTTACAAACCGACAATTACTCATTTACTCGTGTTCTAAAAATAAAAACCACATGTTAACAAATAATCTATTAATATTAGTATAATAAAATTCGAATTACTCAGTAACTTCCGATATAATAAGAGCTTGTCTATGATGAATAACGGTAACGGAAACAACGAAGATTTACCGGTAAGAGAGACCAATTCACATCATACAAATTCAATCAACCAACTTGCCTGTATTACAGAATATATAGAAGAAACATATCCTAATACATCAATATGATGCCTTATTACAATCCATTTCCATTTCAAAACGTAAGTCTGTTTTTGTTTCATGTCACTTAAAATTAGAAGGGAAAGACTGGTTCCATTCAGTGTTGTTTTCAAGACAAAACCAGTGCCCAGAATGCGTTTTATTTAAATAAATGCCTAAATTTAAAGTAAAGAGAACACTGAAACACCCTACTCTATAAAATATTTCTATTGAGTTGAGCAGGATATATAAGCTAATATAAAGGAGATTTTGTAAATCAAGTTTAATTTGAAAATTAAACTTTTCACTTTTGATAAAAGCTGAAAACTGGACAGGTGACGTCAAAGGCTCATAATGCACCGCTTAACGAACAATTAATTAAAGGACGTAGTGTGGCTCTATTTTTTGGAACTTTGAAATAGACAAAAATGGTTCTAATAGCACATATTAATGTAATATGAATGTACGTAAAGAGAGTTATATTCAATTTTTTGAAAAAAAATATTATAATTTCTAATCAATTATGTTCGATAAAATACCTGAACAGTTTAAATTGAACGGCAGTCATTTACGCAAGCTTAGTGCAGTGCATTCTACACGTTTTTTAAATTATTATTTTTTCGTTTGGGAATCAGCCTTCACTAATTACTCCACATTGTGTTGTAGGATATGATTTTATTTGTTCATTACAAAATTGCACCTGAAACCTTAGGATACACGACTCGTGTACTGAATATAAAATGTTAATTGTGTCTTAAATGTTGGATATTAGGATCCTATAGTTTCAAGGCAAATATATTTCGAATAATAGGCCTAAAAATATACAAGGTTGTATTATAAATATAGATAGATGTACATATACCTGATAACATTTTAAATGCATTTGGTAGGATATATAATAATAGCTTGTAACAACATTGATTTATTGTTTCTTAACGTTCCCCAGAAAAGCGGATGCCCCAGAAAAGTAGAGTTCTAGGAAACCATATAGGTCACGGTCATACAGCAGGTCGGGTCATAAAATATTTAGCGGGGAGAGATGCATTGAGTGCACACACATATCGATATCGCCATGACACGGACCCGAAGCCAGTCTGCTGGCTGCGGAGGGGCAGTAAAATTTTCTGCTCTGGTTATGCTCTGCCCAGAAAATCGTTCTCTATAGCGAACTGTGAACAAACCTACAAGACAACACGATAGTCAGTACATCTATATGGAAGATAGATGTCAGAGCATAACCAATAATATATGTAATGTTTAATAACGTCAATACTCCAATTGATGATCCCTGACAATTTATAGGGGGTGACCCCCCCCCCCCTTGCCCCCGGTTAGCTGTATATTCAAAATCTGAATAGTGTCCATTATGTTGTATATTAAACGAAGACGGGCCTAATTGAATCAATAATATTTGTATGTCTCGATCGGGACTCAGCTAAAATAAAAGTAGTCTGCTTAATGGCTGTTGGCTAATGTCAAATAATGTAAAAAGAACAGGCGCTGAAGAAAATGGGAATACCCAAGACCCCCACCATAAGAATATGTCGTGCATAAACACGACCTATATATTATATTATAACCCGTCATGTAAATAACATCATTATATTACATAGCCACCAAACTGATCACTATCAAGCTAGGTTGATATTGCATTTTATATTCAGAATATTAAATTCAATACATAGGCCCCACTTCCGTAATTTGACAAGTATAGGCATATTATTAGTCTTGCATATTATAAATAGTCAAGGGCTTATACAATGTCTTCTTTACATTCATTTGAGGGGTTTATTGATAAGCTCGGTCTAAAAAAAGACACTTTTCGCTGAATGAGTCAATTTCGGAGAAACCGAAACTAAAACTAGATCAGGGTATTGTCTGAGCTGTGATTCAAGTAATCCACCCATACCTGTAGATTACGTTATTAATCAACAGTTGAAATCGTGGAAGAATAAAACCGAAGGTTAGTTACTACGTTTTTTTAGATAATACTTGATTACGTTATTGTACGTTATTTTGAAATTACGCATTTTGATAATTAAATTGCATCTGTATGTTTTTGTCCACAAGCAACTGGTTAATGGAAATGAAATGAAACGAAGTGGGATTTATCTGGAATTTCTGCACCACCTGGGCTAATGAAGACTGGCATACGTCGTGAAGTGTATTAGTGTACTGTTAGGAACATTTTGCCCCGGCAGCTGTGTTTCCGTCTAGGTTTCTTATATTATACATACTAGCGAACGTGAACAAGGGACCTCGGAGTCAATTTTATCCCATCCGAACGACTAGACGCTGCTCAATGCTCCGTTCAGCGGCACTGACAAGGGGAAATAACGCTGAAAAATCTTGATAAAATTTCTCGGCCAACATACGCGGATCTAACCCGGGACTGCATTGGTTAGTAACTCCGCGCCTTACTCTCCGAGACACCATATTATGGCCCCACCGGTTAATAGAAATGAAATGAGGTTTTCTGAACGACGCGGCCTAAAGAAGGTTTGCATACGTCATGCAGTGTGCCATGAGGGTAACTCCGCTTACTCCTCATGGAATTGTAACTGTCCATGAGTGGTTCTATTATGTGCCCGCCAACACACGTCCTATCCAAACGAATGTTCCTTACCAGGTCTAGTACCACTGGCAGGGGGAAACAACGATGAACATTCTCGGGCAACACTGCGAACGAACCCTGGACCTCGGGGTTAGTAAGAGAGCGTCACCGCGGCTTTCATCGGTTAATAATATAATATTGTGAACGGTGTGAACTGAAATAACCAGAGTTTCTCCAACTCCTGCTTGGTCGTATTAGACTTAATGCTGCGGGAGTCAACCAATAATATGCTGCAATTATTGTCCCATTTGATATATGAATACTTTGACTGAGTTCGATGATTAACATTCCCTGCTTAGCTAAGCCGAAATAAGCAATTTCATTGATCGATGCTTTGGCACACGATGATTCTAATTGATTGAGAGTGGTAAATTTTGGTGTATAGATTTATTACATCAACACCATGACTAAATTCGATGGAAAATTATCAACTAAAGTAGCGATAATCGCTATGATTGCGCAGGACTTTGGAACACAATAACCCTGCTTTTAAACTATGGAAGACCAAACAGCTCTTTATTTAATGTTCTTAGTTTAATGCATAGCACTTAATTCCTTACTTTCAAATACCCTTATAGAGAAATACCTCCACCACCCCACCACCCTCTGGTACCGCCATCAAATAGCCCCCCCCCCCCTCCTCGCGAACAAATATCCCCGCCGGTCAAATAGTCCAAATACCCACCAGGACAGATCCCTTCATCGACACTGTTTAATGATTTAATTTTAAAACGGAGAAGCGAGGCTAAGACTCGAGTGGCCAGTACGGTGAGTACGATCTATGCACAGATCCTGTCAAAACTACAACTATTGATAACGTCGCTCAAAATAAAGTAATTTGAATGAAATTTTCTATTTTTAAAATATTATATCGCGGAGAAAAGGTTTACACCGCGGAGAAAAGTTTTCTCCAGTGGAAATAATGCTCCTTTGATAATTATGTACACTTTCTGACATGAAACCTTGTAACGGGGGTGTTACGCCTTTTAAATCTCACCATACTGATCTGTGGGCTATATTTTTATTTTTTACCCGCTTAACGTTATCCACATGAACGTAACTTATGTTTACATGTTTACATAAAACCGGATATTCACCAGCACAATTTAATATATAGACCCTTGAAGCAGATAAAATGGGACTGCTGTGTCTTAAGTTAACATACAAAGCCAGAACCGTGATAATGATATAACTATATCGATGCACAATAATAAAACCTTGAAAACTACTATGGCCTTTTAGTGCCATACCTTGATTTATACATTTTTCTTGAAATTTACCACATATGAGAAATCGCAGTGAATCCGAAAAACATTTCCACTGGAGAAAACTTTTCTGCGCGGTGTAAACCTTTTCTACGCGATATAAACCTTTTCTCCGTGGTGTAAACCTTTTCTCCGTGTAAACCTTTGCTCCGCGGTGTAAACATTTTCACCGAGGTGTAAACCTTTCCTCCGCTGTAAAGATACCAAAAAACAAACAACGACTATACTATATTTAATTTAAAGAGTCATTATCAGCGAATAAATAAAATAAAAAATATGAAAAGTTCAAGTTCTTTATCTATTTTAATAGATGTAAAATACTGAATCAATGGACACCAAACTCTACCTTCTGTCCTTGTTAATTTCATCAGTTTCAATCGGCAAGAACTCGAATTTTTAAAGCTATTATTAACATCTGACGATGATCTGATTGTGTGATGCGCACCTTTTGTATTGAATTAATATGTATTATGAAAGTCACGATATCAAACTATTTCGATTTTGAAATATTAAAAGACATTTAAAACAAAATTGACACATTGGTTTATTCAACCCACTATAGAAATATCTTAATGATTTATTGGCGTGATTCATGTAATAACATGAACACATTTTCAAATTTGAATCGGATCCTGTTTTATCATTTTTTTTCTATGAATTAAAAGAATGCATGAATGGATATCGCACATCTCAATTAATAAAATATGACTTGGTTACATTATTTGGTTTATTTAATGGTTTCATCTAACTCCAGGATATCCGCCAGACAGGCATTAGCATCAATAAAAATTTAATTAAGTTTCAAACGAAAATATACAATTTGTCGAAATAATAATATTTAATAACTTTAAATAAGAAGGATTATTTTCATTCCACACCAGTTTGTGGTAGCACGAAACAATAATATAAGAAATAAAAATTATAATGTATGGTGATATGAGAAGCATTACAGAGTTATGCTATGGGACAAGAACAGGGCCTTTAGTTTTTTTACATTTAGACCAGTAAATCTATGGAACAGACCCACTAGGACCTGGAATAAATTTGCAGAAAGCTGGATTCAACTGTTTTTGTATCTAGGGTACTTGCTTATCAAAAAACCAAAAATCTTCCAAAATCGGATTTGCGGGTCTATGCGAAAATCGATAATCAATCCAAGATGGCGGACGACGACGTGAAATGGCTTAAAATGCTAAATATCTCGGAAAGGAAGCGTTTTAGACCATATAAATGTACTATGAGTTAATATAAAAGTGATACCACTGAATCAGATGATGGGGTCAAATTGTTGCTATGACGTCATAGTGGCGTCATAACGCAATATCGAGTCAGAAAAGGAAGTAATTAAATATAAAGTGACGTCATAACGCAATTTCGAGTCAGAAAATAAACAAATTGAATAGAAATGGATTTTAATAAATTAAAGTAAGAATAAATGGAGGTACTATCACACTTTATATATTAAGTGTCTTATTTAAATCATACCGGTCTTCCTTAGCCCAGTCGTAGAAAAACAGTAGGAGGTTAAACCCCATTTCATTTATTTAAATTATACACTATGGAATGTCAGGTAGTGCATCATTATCCTCTCCATCTGCATTAATATCGGGTTTAATGCTATTATCACAACTGTCCGTTTGACACGAACCACATGCGCTAGTGCAGGAGAGTCCGTATCGTCGTCACCCACATCTCATACTGGCACAGTGTGTGATGCAGTTACAGTGAACTATTCTCAATAATTCGTCAGGTGCATGAAGTTGATCAGTCATGATTGGTAAAAGTACGAGTTTATCATTAGACATGTTCCATCCCCAATCAGTCACCACCATATCACCAGATACAGCCTTCCAAGTCATTATTTGGTGATATGTTCTCAAGCTGTGAAATATCGTCGCAGACGCAGTCGGGGGCAACCGTTCAGGCGTGACAACGTTTTTCGACGAGAAGACCTTGCTTGTCAGCTGATTATGGCGTAATTTCGCTAAACTTTCTTCTTTGCTGTTGAATAACGTGAGCATTGCTTCACAGTCAGCTTTCGAAATTTCCTCCACATTCTTGCCACTAGTAGTGAACAAATCCGCAGATTTTCCTAGTTTAGTGGATTTCATAAGTTTGGAGAACGCCGTCGACTTCCCAATTCCGAAAATCCTTGATGTTGTGTCACACCCTGTAAAAGCGTGTAGAAACAGTAGTCGCTTACAAACACGTTCTCCCAGGATTTGTCTTACCAATGCTATATCATAAACCTTAATGTTTTTTGCTTCTTTGTCCGTCCGAAAGTATAGTTTTTCTGACTCTACTGGGTCTTTTAAGTGGTACAACAGTAGAACTAGGAGATCAGTGTCCTCACCAATCACAGTTGTGGAATGTATCAGCGCCGTGTTCACTGCCTCCAGTACAATGTCTAGGTCTGCATCTCCATTAGCATGGACAACTTGCCCTCCAGCTTTCTTAATCTCTGTTCCTAAAATCGTAATGAAGAACTGTTTGTTGGACGAATTAGACAGAAATTCTTCCTTTTTTCCGTGAAATATGCTATCGATAGTAAAGTGTACTTTATTAGCTTTACAGGGATGCCGCCGTTCTTGTGTACAATATTTGGTCGTTGGTCCACTGACGTAGCCATCAAAGACGATCGTTGTTTTATCTAGACCATACTTATCCAAGAGTTTCACATACGACTTTATTATTGAACCATAAGAACTATCTGGTGTCCATTTGATACGGTGCAGTAATGAACCACCGTCCATAACATACCAGTCAGTGCTTGGTATATAATCTAAAATGGCTTTGTTGTCTTCAACTTCTTCATTGTGAATAGACTTTGCGAGGGCTTGCAACAGTGCTGGTTTGTCGGGCGCCCTCATCACGTTTTTCTTTCAAACAAAGAAGTAGGGAACGGACAAAGTTCGTACTCCATGGCACCACTAAGTGACACTTCACCAGTCTGCGATACTACAAGAAGGCGTTGGAATAATGCAATTGGATTAATAGATCTATCTTCGTCTATTTTCAAGCTGGCAGTAGAAGCCATTGTAACGGCACGATCTTTACGCTTGAATGAGTAAGAGAAGACTTGTTGTCCTACCATTTTTTCCATAATTCTCCTGCCCACTTCTTTAAACTCAGTAACGTTCACTTTTGGATTGGCTTCCAAACCAGAGATGATATTCCTCAAAGAGGGATATGTGATCAAAGGCGGATAGTCGTTGAAGGTGGTGGTCGTTTTAATTATAAATATCGCGCGGTATGTGTGTAATAACATGTATTGTAATATATAGTGTTGTTGGTCGAGAGAAAGGGGGAGAAATGGGATTTAAAGTCCATTCGACACAAACTAGGTCATTTCAAGACGAACATAATATGATTCAATTTTATTTCAATAATAGGTCCACAGGCAACCCTACTCCTTGTCATGTACAAGCGGGGAATGAAAAATGTTGTTAATCAACAAATCAGTTTTCTTCAAAATCGTATGACGTAAAATATTTAATGTAGAGGGTTGTGCATGACTAAAAATCACCAAATCGACATTTTAATTATCACACAAAGATACACTGTTAAAATTATTATACAGTATTATGTATTTTTACCCTTTTTTAACTGGCAGAAATATTGCCATCATTATAACTGTATTTTAACATTTCATGTTATTTCACAATCTGTAATGTAACTTTACCTCTAGTTATTATACATCCAAGGTAAATTTACATATCTGTAAATGGAGTACATGTAAACTTATCTTGATGTTAATTTACATAAATTTGTACAATAACATTTAATACAAAAGAATATTGTGTATTTTGACAGAGTTTATGTATTAATACCTCATAACTATTGTAGAATTATATATTATGTAATTTGCCAAGGTAACATTACTAAAAGGAATGTGTTTGTCCCCGCTTGGCTAATTAGTCCTAGGTTCTATCCTGGCGAACACAGGAAGTTTTGCGGAACTTTCAGCCGAGCACGTAACACAACATTCGATATTGTAAAGAAATTGTGTGAGTTAGTTGTATTTTACGTCCGCTTCCACCGAGGTGATATCGCAAACAATAAAGAAATTAAATGAAATTGGCTTTAATGTGCTACTGTTCTGCTCCTTACAATGGAAGAGTAGGTGGCATGACACCGTCCAAGCAAAATGTCCCATACAACTCAATGTATTGCATATGCATGTCTTTATCAGCCAGTTCGGTGCATTCGGATTTTGAATAACCTATTTCTCTAAAATGGACTAAAGTGACTGACAGAACAGTCAATATTTTGCACAAAATTCGATATGTGGTCAAAGGGGGAATAATCGATGTGACCACTATTTGACAGTAAATTTACAATTTTCTGTAAAAATAATATTTCAAAAGGCATTTCTGTTAATATACAGCTCATATAATGTAAACTAACATATGGTTGTATTACTACATTAAATTTGATGTAATTTTACATAAGCCTTGTATTCATATGCATCGACATCGTTTTAAATGTAAGCTAACAAACCATGTGATTTGACAAATCCTGCACTGTATTTTTACTACTGTAAATATACATATAATTTTAACAGTGTATAGTGTGCTTTATAACTTCCCCGTTTCTTTTCAATAACCATAAAGTGAGGCATATTATGAGTGCATACAAGAAAATTTGTTTTCTCCGAAAATTCTAATTTTAGCCAATCCCTTAATCGGGTCGTGCGCTTACTAAACAATGTAAATTGATATGAATGATAATCTGCTATTAATGTTTTGCGCGTTTGGCATTACTATTGAGGCGATGGGATATAAATAGACTATGAATACTATATATACACGCGTAGCCTATATTTTTGTAATAACCAAAACCCCCGTATTCACTTTTAAAAAAAAAAAATATATAAACAAAAGAAAATTGCTTATATATTTGGGTGAGTTTTATACATTGGTCCATTTTACTCCAGAGCTTTCGGATGAAGTGAGCTATTGAAATGTTTACTAATTTTCAATCTTGTGAAACTGTGTTTTCATTGGGGTTGAACAGTTTTCAGTTTGAAATACATATTTTAAGAATTAAAATAGACACACTATTTTCAAACAAGATTGTTTTTTAATGACTCTTCATTCATGTTTGAAATATGGCCAGAATGTTCGTTTATATGTCAAAAGCGCGTATTCATAACATTAACAACTTCAGGTGAGTTTTGACATCCTAGGATATAGCCAACTTTTAATTACAGGATATTTTTATTATTACAGTTTTTTCCTGGAAACATGCAAGGGAATACTGAATACCATGGCCGTCAACGACTGCGTCCTTGGCTGATATCAAAAGTTGACAGTCAGAAGTTTCCAGGATTGATGTGGGTTAATAAATCAGAGGGAATGTTCCGGGTACCATGGAAACATGGCGGGAAACAAGATTGGTCAGAACAGAACTCTTTAATTTTCAAGGTAACGCCCTTCATCGTATACTCAATTTCAAAATAAACTTTTGTTAAAATGTGTTTGGTGGGGGGGGGGGGGGGTATAGCAGTTTATGTGGATATCACTATCCGTCTTTTGGTACCTTCACACTCTCGTGTAATAATATTTTGCCACCGCCTTGCCTGTTCAACGTAGAATATTGCAATAGCAAATTACTTGTTTTGAAATAGATAGATCTCTGGGTGCAGACTGTTGTTTCAATTGAATGTTACAATAGTGAAGCGAGGTAACCCACAGAATTTCAATTATTTCCGATATTTAAAGTAAGAGATATTGTACTTCAGTTTTTTGTGAAGGAAAGTTATCCGACCTAGCCAACCGTAATCCTTGATCTTCAATGATTGTCATTCTTGATTGACAATCGCCAGTCCGAAGGGGGTAAGAATTGTTAGTCCTCTAGTCTGACAGCCCATATCTTCTGCGAAAAAAATGAAAGGATTTACATCTTTGTTGTATTTGTCCACGTTTCTATTAAAGGAATGGGCTATGCATACCGGTAGACACCAAGCAGGCGTTGACAAAGATGATTGGCCTGTATGGAAAACTAGATTTCGATGTGCTTTAAACAAATTACCGGATATCGAGGAAGTCAAACAGTTAAGTCAGTTAGATGGAGAAGAACCCTACAGAGTTTACAGATTTCTACAAACAACTAAAAGTAGTAAGTATTTATAGCGGCCGTAGTGATAAAATCGTAGACTATGTTACTAATCCTGGTAACGGAGCCAAAATTTAATTAAATAGAATCCCCTCTGATTGTTTATTTTGTCTTATAGTCCTGTTAATATTACACCGGAAAAGCCAAGAAAACACCACTATCACTGGAAAACAAAGCTGGATATAGGTTAACATGTCAATTCTCATAATGTATAAACATTTTTCATAAAAAGAAAAAAATATTAATCTTGTAGAGTGTATTCCAGACCGAACCAATGGTAAAACGCCTTGTATAAAGAGAGAACCAAGCTATCAAAGAATTCCAGAGGGACCAATCAATCTATCTATGTCAAAGGTAGGTTTTCCTCACCTTCATTATAATGTATATCATCAAGGTTGTAGAATAATTAGGCATATCTCCTTCCCCCCTTAACACTAATTCAATTACTGCACTATCCAAATTTTACTATCTAGTTAAAACTGTTAGATATGAACAAATTTTGACTTTGTCATTGTCACTCAACACTATTATATTAAGGAAATCATTAAACGTCAGGTCGTCCATTTATATCTCAAAAATCAAAAATATAGTATATTAAAACTTGTCTAAAATGCATAAAGATAGCGTTATATGAAATCAACAGAATCCAACTTTAAAGGGTCCTAACTTAATTTAGAATTGGTCTATTTGAACGATTTTTATTTAAAATGTTCTTTTTAATAAAAGTTTTTTTTATTGTGTATTGTAATAAACTCTGTATTAAATTTTCCCTTTATTAGGCTGCCCCATGCAACCCAAATTTTCCCTACTGAAAGTTAACTCGACACGGCGAATGTGCACGCCTCAGTGGCTTGTCTCGAAATGATTTCTGGCTAGTCGCGCGGTGGATAACACTCAGCACAAGAGTCTATGAGTCTATAAATAGCCATCGCACGTGAAATTCTCTACACATCTATCAACTATTACAGCCGTAAAACAATCTATTGTTGACGATTCTGAATAGCAGTAATATTTAGCTTTTTGGTTATTACAGCAGATTTAGAAATTACGTTCGTTTTATTTTTTAAACTGCTTTATCATTAACTATTCCGTTAGGAGCGACATCTTTTGGCTTAGTACAAATAATATCTCTGAAACACTCGGATTAGGCAAGAACATGATACTAGCAGTAGTTTCATTTTACTTTTAAAAGGTTCTTAAAATAATTGTTGAGTTGCCTAACGTGCGTGTTTCTAATTTCAATTTCTTGTTCCAGCTTTCTGTTATGTTTCGTAAAAAGTAATCTTGATTATTCCGGCCTGTCAATCAGACGGAGAATGGTCGGTAGACTGGTTAAGCGAGACTTATTTTTACTCAGAATTGCCCGGATGTTATGGACGACGCTCGGAACCATTTTCAGTCTACTATATATTGATGGTTAAAGGGTCATAGCTTATGAAGTACAACATGACCGTTTATTAAGTGACTATAAATGTGCTAAACTGATTTAAAGATGGGTTCCCGCGTACAAAATGGGTGATTTAATGGTATATATGGAGTAAAAACATATTCAAACTAATTAATTTGTCATAATTTTGCTTCAAATCCTTCTCAAACATTGTAATTGCGAAGGAATGTCCTGCTATAAAAATTCGATCAAACCAGGTCATTTTACGTCACGGAACTTACCTCGCTTAGAAGTCAGAGGAGAATTCATTGCATACATAAGACGATGTTGTCTTTAATCGCTTACTATTTATTACAAATATCGAATCCTAATTAAATTCTCGGATTATACACTAACCGCGTCTTTTTCCGTCATTTTTATCTCAGAAAGTGTTGTACGTCTAACTCTTCATAAAATTTATCAACTTGTACATCACGCGCTCAATGTTCGCGTGTGACCTTTGACATCACGCATGCAGAAATTCCTAATCGTCGGGCTGTTGATTAGGGGAACCCTTACATTTTTGTCCTGTATACGCTCCATGAGTGTTTTTCGGGGAATCCAGTATTTTTCTAGTAAGATTGGATATCTCTACTTTCCATATACATGTATACCAAAATTACCATACTTTTATTGGAAATAACCACCCGATAAATAGTTTTCTGGGAACCCATCTTTAAGGCTTGATATATATAATATATATATTGTCGAGATATTTGGAGATATATTTATTTATGGTGGCGCGCCCTACCTTTATGCTGGTATATTGGGGCTTTAACGGGAAAACATAACAGAAGTCTAATAAAACTTTCCATATTTGAATTATAGAAAATGAGGACTGAAAAGGGATATTTTGATGTTAGTTTAGAAAATTAAGATAACAAAATATAGGTTACAAAGTAGCTTGGTTGGGATACCAATCAAACAGTCGCATGTTTTTCAGGAGTTTTATTATAGCGTCCTGTGACTTTGAATAGTCATGCTTCTGTTTTTGTTTTCAGTATAATCCATCGTGTATACCAGAAACTGTGAGAGATATAAACTTTACCGATCAAGGTAATATTGATATGAAATAATTCTGATTTAGTAATTTTTTATACGAGAACATTGAAATGTATAGTAACGTGGATTTTATGCACCGGTCAAAAAATTCCTGTGGGTGCTTTTTAGTTATTATCCGTTCTATGACCAATTTAAACATTAGCGAACCAAGGAATTCTTTTTTTTTTCTCTTTTTTTTAAAGCAATTTATGAGTTAATACTCTTCATAACCCAGTAATAGACTAATTATCGATTTCTGACAATTTCAAACAAAGTATGCCCATTTGTTAGGATTTTTCACATTTTTATTTATGTTTGTTATTTTGGCATTTTGCAGAAGAAATTAAAGTGCCTATTGCCTTGACATCAGATCTTGGTGATATAGATGTATGTCAGCTTGTTGGTAGTTCACGTCAGAGATCTAGTGTGCTCCCACAGACTGTTAGTCAAGAAGAGGATATGGACACGACAGGTAAACAATCTAATTCAAGTCAGGTGTTTTATTCGTTCCGTTTATTAGGAAAGTTACACCCGTTCCAAATATAATTTTATCACAGAGATTATTGCTACGATAGATGAATAATGAAGGTTTCAACAAACGGAAGTGACGAACGCAAAAGGAAAACACGAGTTAATCTTCTATATAACTGACTGAAGTGACGAGTGATAACAGATACACGGGCGAATTTCTTCTAACTAATAATTTCTTCGAAGACCAAATACTGTTCTGCTCCGACTGGGCTAATGAAGACAGGCATACGCCATATTATGTACAGTGTACTGTGAGGGAAATTTTGCCTGGACAGAGGCGCTACAGCCTACTCTTATATCGGATTCCAGCCGTCAATGATCTTTTACGTGCTCCTCGATTTTTCGTCCCATCAGAACGACTAGACAGCTGTCCTTGTCAGTCACTCCGTCCTGTACCAATGACAACGGGAACCACACTGGAAATCCCGAGATCGAACCAGCGTCTTACTCACTTAGCCACGATGGCTCCGCGCGTACGCGATTGGCTAACTAAGGTCCCGGGTTCGATTACAGTGTTCGATTCCGGTGGACAAGAATCTATACAGCATGGTTCCCTCTGGGCAGGTCGGGGTGTCTAGTCATTCGAATGGGAAGAAAAACGGAGGTACCGTGTACACATTGGCACGCACGTCAAAGAACCATTTTGACGTAAAAGCAGCGCAATTGTACGAGCAAATGTTCCTTATACCCCGATCAGACAGGGGTGGCGTCCTTACTACGCTGCTAAGGCGACGGAAAATGGTCTTGGAGCGCGTCAAGATCGCCATAAGCGTGGTAAAAGCGTGGTGGGAACGCCAGATATCGTGCTGTGGTCTCCGTGGTCACTATATAATAATCGCCGAGTGACGACGTTTATTTTGAGCATGTTCAAAACAAACGCGGGGTTCTGCGATCTGACCAGGAGAGTTGTGCAAACACGGCTTTTTTTCAAGTTTGTAATTTTTTGGGACGTTTTCTCGCGTTGTGTTAACGTTTGCCGGCGAACTTGCGCATTTTCTGGTCGCCGGTCGGTCGCAGCAGTGCAATAAGGACGCCACCCGGGTCTGACGGGGGCATTACAGCACAGATCATTGCGTATGTCCGTCTACATTATCCTGGTTGGTGCAAAAAAGAAGGGCGTTAAACCCACATTTTCATTTATTTCATGTCCCTTCGTCTCTATTACATATTTTATATATTTCGGGTAATTCTTTTTGTAAAGACTGTCTGTTTATACAATATATGAATCTCAAAGAGCATATACCATACATTAGTATGTTATTCAGATGGTAGGTTGATGATTGATGAGAAACCATATCCAACAGATATTACAACAGGTGCCCCAAGAGGTCAACGAATATACAACTTACCACCAAAAATAAACATACAGCAGATACGAGAACCACAAGGTAAATGATTTAAATATATATTTAGTATAATATAAATACTTAGATTGGTATGTGTTTTTAAAGAATTGTCATATAGACCACGCAGGCTTGTGTGGTCGTCTGGTATAGCGACGTAGGACGGTTACCGAGACTCGAGATGTTTCAACTTTAAACCACCACATCAATTTAACTTCCTTTCGTTTAGAACGCCATTAAAAGTGATAATATTTATTTTTACGTTATCGTTGATATCTGTGTCTGAGGGCCCCCGTCTAATATCAACTTTCACCATGATTATTAGACACAAAAACAACACAATAATTTTTGATATCAAACTCCACACGGATATTTAATAAGGAAATTAATATTCTATTTTATTAAATATTTGATTTATTATGTGTATAATATAGCGACAGTGAAACGTAAAAGTAAAATGTAACTGGTCAATACTCGCTGTCCCGAGAAAAATTCTCCCCAATCCTCTTTCCGTCTGTCAAAAACTACCACATGTCAGTTTCAATATGTCATGAATACTATGTTTAAACGTTAAATGTCATTCCCATTCTTTCATTTACAGACCACGAAATCTTGGTAAGGATACAGTTTCGTCAAAAAGTAGTTGCCCAGTATCATGTTACAAACCCACATGGACTTCGTCTTTATTATGGACAAGGGCCCAGTGCCTTTGTTGATCCAAATCAGGTAGGTATCTAATAAGTTCTATTAATTTTCGAAGATCTGAAGGCAATTGTTATTTGATGGTTTTTAAGTGTAATATATCATTTGAAGTATTCAGAGAAAACTATCCGTTATATTATACCCCATAGTTGATGTCGTCCGTCGGTCCTGCGTCGGTTGATAATCACTTGTAACGATTCTACAGCTTGAAGTTCTCTGTATTGTTTTCAAATTTACAGCAATTGCTCATTTGTTCATTTGCGAACATTCTACAGCTCAGAGTGTTCCGTGGGGTTATTTAACGGATTACTTTCAAACTTATAAAAGCACGCGAGCGCAATACAGGGCACCATTCTTGAATTATTTTATTTAGAACTTGGAGGGATTGTTCATAAGGGAATATGCAAGAATCCTATGGAATTTCGAACGCGTTTTTGTAGACTTATCTTTCTGGGCACGTTTTAACATTTTAAGCTTTCGAACACGATATAGGATCCAGGACAAACTTCTTAATGAATTTATTAAAAACTTGATTATAATGACTGTTCGTTACTAAGGAGACACCCTATCAAGTTCAGTTTATGGTAGTTTAAAAGAATATAATTGAATGAATGAGCCAAATGAAAAACAAAAAAATTGCATCTTAAATTTCGAATAGTTATCTTTCTATTCACATTTTAACTTTACATCGTGGGACAAAGTTCAATGTGGCGTTTTCATTATAAACGTGTCCTGTGTTTCAGAGCAGCTGCTTGTGGGCCTAACTAGGAGATCACAAGACCTTGTTTACATGTATATCCCGAAGACTGGGAAATTTAAGTTAAGGACGGGTTGGGTTAGGGTCTATATTATAGCACATCTTCCGAAAGCTGAAAATAATCGAGTTATATTGTATTCAGGGCCCGGCAGAGTGGGGGAGGGGTCAATAATTTGGCTGCAAGTACTGCCTTCTCCAGGTTATCACATGCAAGTAACTATCAGTTAGATACAATGGCGTAACTGAAAGAGGTCTGATTTTAACATAGAAGTGATCTATAGGGAGACTCTTTTTGAAAGAGCCGATAAATGCTGACTTTAAGCCAGAATTGGAGCATATTGAATTATTATCTAATCGCTCGGTTGTGTAATTTTATTTTAAGTACGAACGTAGACTTTCACAAGAAGAAAAATCCTGTTATGCTCTTTACTGATCCCTGGGTTAAGTGACGACACCCATACGGACAAGCGAATTATTGAAATAAAACTGAACAATATGTTAGTCCCGCAATATGTCGAGTGAATGTTAAACCCCATTTCTCGGTACGCTTATGGAAACTTTAAATTCATCGCCGAGTTAATAATTTATTAACCAGAAACACCCTTCAGCTTGCAGGGCCTATAGGCGGTCCCTGAAGTCCTAGAATGATAGCCCCCCCCCCCCCTATTTTCTTGTCTTGACGAGGTTTGGGTGAGCTCTTTGTTTTACTAGAATTTGTATATATCTTACAGATGTATGGTTCAGGTTTAGCTCAACCAATCGAATTTCCATTGTGTGAACTAACCGACAATCCCGAGCAGCGGCGATATACCGAAAAATTACTGAGCTGTCTAGATAGGGGACTCACACTGGAATGTAGAGACGGCGATATCTATGCAATTAGAAAATGCAGGTAATGGAATTACTTAATCGTACCATACTGTCCGATCATGTCGGTGGACAACCCGAATGTACACAGCTTTCAGTAATGGGTAAAAATTTAGTACCAACAGTATATAAGTAAGAATGCGGAAGGGTTTCGATATCTTTTGTGGTCAAGAATACCGAAAGCTCTCAATAGCCATGTTAACCAAACCTTCTCAGCCGCGATAGTACACAAAATACCGGACGGTTCTGCAACAATAACGACAGTATATGATTTCGATTCCAATAGATGGGAAACGGTTTTGGTGCAACTGATACAGGACTGCCGAACGGCTCTGTTGCAAAAACGACAAATTGTTCCAACTAATCCAACGGTTTTGACAACTGATATTAAGATTTAGGCGTTTAGAATGCTAAACGGTATCGATATGACAAAGTCATCTGTATTGAAATCGGTGGTAAGCTGGACGCACTGGGCGGTGTAATATCGGATTTAATGTTGCCATCATTATAAATACATTCATTCCCACATTAAATACATTTCTTGGTATGCTCAGAAAGCGAGCTGAAATATTTTTCTGTAATCTTGATTCCATTCCTCCATCATGTTAAAGATACATTATGGGAGATTCGGTAACGAGTTGGCAGTTATCACTACTTACTGGCAATTCAAAAGTACTTGGGTAAAAGTCAAAGCTGAAAAGAGAAATAATGGATTTAGTAATCAATACCATAACCAGATTCTTAAAGATACATTATGGGAGATCCGGTAACGAGTTGGCAGTTCTCACTATAATAGTTAAAAACTAGATAATGTAAAGGCAATTTGGTGAAAATTTCATTCAAATTGATCCACTATGAACCGAGAACTAAGCGACTGAAATTCCCATAAGCCTCGGTCATCATTACTAAAGTCAGTACGATAAACAGCATAGTCTCGATTATCCACTTAATCGTTTAATCGAGAAGGAAAGTTATGCAGTAAATCGGCCTACAATCCACTAAAGATCGCAGGCTAGCACTGCCATCTAGAGTTGATTATGGCCTGGATAGGTTAATTAATGTCTAATTAATAATTTAGATAACATTTCGGGCCTAAAGAAAGACCTGAAATAGGCAGATTTAGCTCTTGCATAATGTATGTTTAACTGTGAAAGCTGCATGGTATGGATATCAATTATACTGTCATTTAGTTGTGGCGGGCGTTTCTTTAATGCTTCACTATATATTTCAGAGTTGTGGTGTTCGTGGCTAGTCCCGATAGTAACAGACCAATAAAAATAAACCGAGATTCGTCTAGCTGTAAAATATTCGATTACGCACAATTCAAAAAAGCTTTAGAAAACTATGCTGGGGGACAAGGTTCAAAACCCTCCGCCCAAATTCTACTTGGTTTTGGGCAAAATTGGACTAATTCATTAGAACCCTACCAAAACCTTCTTATATCCGCAACAATTTATCACCCCAAAGCCATCTACGACTTGTCTAAGGTAAATACATCTTTTTTCAAATTCTCATTATTTACTGCCTTTAAATTTTTATTGGCTGAATATCTTAAAAATAAGTTTATCGATTTAATTGAATTAATGTTGATTTATGTTGCGAGGGGGGTATCTGTTTACCTTATTCAAAACTGCATTTTTTAAATCTAAAATCAAAGAGGTTTAGAACCTTTAACGCTTGTGGCCCTCTAGAGACCAAAACAATTTCTCCGATTTAGAGGAAACTTGGAAAGTGTGTTAAGGACCAAAATATCTTGGATGAATTCGATTGTGGTGTCCATCGTACCCTCCGTTACGCAACTATGTACCCTTATCCGAAAATCCTGTTATGGCGATAGAAGCTACAGTTTTTAACGGATATATTTCAATGTGAAGCATTGGGTTTATGATGGGACGAACACTATCTTCTGTGATTTTCCGTTCTGTAGTTATCGCTTCATTGAGAGGCCGAACCATGTCGATCTTTCACGTTTTTCGTCCGTCTATTCCAAAATGTGGGCGTTTTACATAACATAATCGGGCACCTTCCATTTAAAAATGAGTGTGGCGGGTGCCAGTGCCAGTGCCAGCGCAAGTCTTAAGCTTGCGGTTCATAAATATATAATCTAAGTTATATTTATAGCACGGCTTTCAGGAGTTAACAGGTTTAACCAGAGGGCGAGGGGTTAAACCTGTTAACGAATGAAGCGTACTATAAATCACTTTCAACATGCTTATTGTTATTGCACAGAAAACCCAACCCACATCTCTATATGATTTCTACCAAAACTAGTGTAAACTAGCAAAAATGTGCAATAACATTGAACATGTCTAGTTATTGCACGGTTACCCTTCACCCGATCTACTAGAGGGAAAACAATCTGCTTATTCAACGAAAAATGAAGATTTCCCATCCATGTTAAAACAGAATAAATTGCAGTGTACATTAGATATACGTGGCTAAATACGTGTTAACAAATCGATTTGGGCATATTATACTGGATATTTTATTAGAAAACTTGACTAACCATGTTTATATTTACAGATTGCAGGCAGAGAGCTATTATCACCTCCATTGCAAATATCTGATTCTGATGAAGTGGACCGCTACATCAAGATATATAAAGATATTTCTAAAACAATCCAAGACTGAAACTTGTTTATCTACATACTGTCACTGTATCAATATTCATTTAGTCTGTGCTAATTTGGACTTTATATATTTGCATACTTCGGGGGGGGGGGGGGGTTACAAGTGCAATGAATAAAACACAACGGGATGTTTCTTGCAGACAAGTTTGTAGTTGTTATTGGGAATTATTCGTTTTAATAAGCTTCATAAAATATTGCTTATGATTATAATTGATGTACACATAATTTTACAGAAATGTAATATTTTTCAGAATTATATTTACCAATAGTGTTTTCATAATGTTCTTTATTGGATATATTTCACTAAACTATAACACATACTTATGGAAGAACAATTACTGATTTATTTAGGCGACGTTTCGAAGAGTTTCGAAGAGTATTCTCTCGACGTTTTCAAGCAAGTACGTTGAGAGAATACTCTTCGAAACGTCACCTAAATAAATCAGTAATTGTTCTTCCATAAGTATGTGTTATAGTTTATTGCTCTATCCAGTTACTAAATGCCCCTTAAAGATCGATATATTTCACAATAACGGTTTATTGATGGGGTTTTAATTTATCAACTATTTTGTTGTAAATATATTTCATTTTGATTCATCAATTAAATAATACATACAGTTTCAGAATTTTGAGTGACCATCTTTATTTATATAAAATTGACTGTTTCATGTCTAAAGGATCATCACTCGATTTTAGAATAAATTTGTTTTCCTCCGAAGTATTTTTAAAAATGTATATGTGGAGTATGAAATTTTATGTACAATTTAAGTGTTATTTGCCGTTAAAGAGCACTATTAATATCATTATTACATAATTTCATTTTTTAAGCCTATTTTTATTGCTCTATCCAATTACTAAATGCTTCTTAAAGATCTATATATTTTACAATAACGGTTTATTGATGGAGTTTTAATTTATCAACTATTTTGTTGTAAATATATTTCATTTTGATTCATAAATTAAATAATACATACTGTTTCAGAATTTTGAGTGACCATCTTTATTTATATAAAATTGACTGGTTCATGGCTAAAGGGTCATCACTCGATTTCGTAATAAATTTGTTTTCCTCCAAAGTATTTTTAAAAACATATAATATGTTATTATGTGGAGTATGAAATTTTATTTACAACTTGTGTGTTATTTGTCGTTAAAGAGCACTATTAATATCATTATCATTATTACATAATTTCATTTTTTAAGCCTACATTAAAGCAAGAAACCGCTTTAGTAGGTTTTTTTTCACACCCGGAAAAAAGATTATACATTTTTGTTATTTATTACCAAGACCACCATATACCTATTATGCCATATAATCAGACCAAATCTTTATGTACATTTTGACATGTATTCTTGCATTATTGAAAGTTAAATATCTCTGATGTAGTTTATGTTTCGTTTGACATTTAATCTTTTTTTTAACATTTTAAATCGAAATGTTTTTAAAAATATCAATTTCATTTATAGTAATAATGTAATTGTGACATACTTCAATAATCACAATGGTATGAGATAAATATAATGACTCATATAATTTGTCATTATTCAAGGACAGGCATCCATGCAATTACCATGTTTTATGGGATCTGTATATCATCCAAATTAATGAAATGAAGTGAAATGAAATAAAATGGGATTTAAAGTTCTACTTTTCTGCTCATACTGCGTTAATGAAAATGGAGCATATGTCATGCAGTGTGCTTTGATGGAAAGTTTGCCCGGACAGCGGCGCTACAGCTTACCCTTATATCGAATTCCATCTGTCAAGGGTTCTTTTACCAGCACAACGTGTACACGGGTCCTCGCTTTTCTGTCTCATCCGAACAACTAGACAGCTTTCCCCCTCCATCCTGCAACACTAACAAGGGGAAACCACGCCGGAAAAAGCCAGAGGAATTTTTTCGGCCAACAACGGTAGCGAACCCTGAGTAATAATTTAAAAGATAGGTTGCCAGGCAAGGAAACATACGCCCACAGCAGCAAAGTCATGAAAATCCAATTTTGAGTAATAACCTATGAAGTAATTATCAGAAAAGATTAGAATTTGTTTCAATTGTTTGTCTCATGACCTTAAACAATTTATATTAACTTTAGCCTCTAAGAGCGTCCACAAGATTTTTCAAAATGATCAAGGGCCTTACCTCTGGCAGTAATTATCGGATATGGTTGAAAATGAATAAGATTCTTTGTCTCATGACCTTAAACACAGTGTATAATTATCTGCCATCTTATCTGAGAGAGCTTGTGGTACCTTACATGTACATGCCATCGAAATACCTAAGATCAAGTACTAAGAACGTCCACAAGATTTTTCAAAATGATCAAGGGCCTTACCTCTGGCAGTAATTATCGGATATGGTTGAAAATGAATAAGATTCTTTGTCTCATGACCTTAAACACAGTGTATAATTATCTGCCATCTTATCTGAGAGAGCTTGTGGTACCTTACATGTACATGCCATCGAAATACCTAAGATCAAGTACTAAGAACAACCTTGTTGTCCCAAAATATAAACTCAGCTCCGTTAAAGCTCGCTCATTTAATGTTATTGCTGCCAATTTGTGGAATTCGCTACCTGAAAATCTTCGAGCCAGTCCATCATTAGACTTCCTTAAATCCAGATTGAAAACATACTTATTTGAGAAATATTTGCAAGAGTGATTGTATTTTTGTGGCGCTATATGTGGACTTATTTTATCAAAGTCAATCAACTTCTACAAGATTTTTCAAAGAGATCAAGGGCTATAACTCCAGCAGTAATTATCGAAATAGTTGAAAGTCAATAGGCTTTATGACCTAGAACACTGTGTATAAATTTAAATTCAATTCGATATTAACTTTAGCCTCTAGAGCGTGAACAAGATATTTCAAAGTGACCAAGGGGCATAACACTGGTAGTAACTATCGGAAATCACTGAAAATCAACAGATTTTAAAACGGTTTTAAAACCAAATAAACATTATGACCTCTAGAGGGTTCAGAGGCTAAAACCGCTATATTTCGTACAATCTGGTGCTATAATCCAGAAAGTTACAATCCGATATGATATGCGCCTATATCAAAAGAAACTGAGATCTTTGGAATATAAACATATGTTTTAAGTTTCATAAAAAATCCGATATAAAATCTATTTTTCGTACAATAAGGGGTTATAATCCATGAATTTACGATCCTATACATGCCAATATCGAAAGGAATCGTGATCATTGTGATATAAACATATATTTTAAGTTTCATCAAAATCAGATAAAAATTGTGACCTGTAGTGTCCACAAACAAAATCTGAACAGATGGAAGGACTGAGGTGAGACAGACTGAGGTGACGGCATTAAATGTCCAGTATAAAAAAAACTTAAATGAATATAATATATAGGGTAAAATTGACCATGAAAGATGGGATGTTGTGAATGCTTAGAATGAACAATGAACAATGAACATTTACATAACATACAGATAACATAAAGATAAAGAATCCCATGGTACCATGGTGGTTTTATTTTTTACTTCATCATGAATCAACCTTTATTCCACTCCATATATATTCATTCTCTATTCCAGAATAAAATACAAATATAGACTTTTAGACCATACATAATAAAATGTAGTATTAACATAACTATCTTGCTCTGTAAGCTATTAAAATCAATCAATCCTAATATAAGTTATGGACATGCCCATCAAAATTCACACTGCATTCTATCTATACATTTCTTTATTGTCTTAGAATGTTCATTCAAGGTATGAAAGAAAACTCATTTCTATCCATGAACAATGAGCCTTAGCTAGATGGTAACTAACCTAGGTTGCTTGCTTTAATCATAAACATTGCTACCTGAAGAACTCTTATATTTGTTAAATTTATGTAAGGAAAATCTTTATTAGCCTTCTTGTACATTGAAGCTTTAAAATATAAACTCTGTCAATCATCACCAACCTATTCCTTTCTTTTCACCATATTTATCATACAGTTCCCGTAAATGTATCAGTAGATTGTCAATACCTATCTTATTTTTACCAGAAATCACAAACACAGGTAAATTAATGGAACTTTTTAAAACTTCCAGTTTCTCTTCAGCACCTTCTAGGTCTATTTTATTACCAATTATGGCATGAGGCCGTTCTGATAATCCAACCTGATATTGTTCTAATTCATACTTTAGGGCTTCCAGTTGATGCCATGGCTCCTCCACAGATAAGTCAAGCACATATAATAGACATGCACAGCGTTCGATGTGGCGCAAAAATGATATTCCTAATCCTTTATTTTGATGTGCTCCTTCAATTAAGCCTGGTATATCAGCCACTATAAAATACAAGAAATAATAAACATCACTTGAAATCACCAATAATGAAATATGGATAGCCAGAGGAATGAGATTTATCCTAATCTTTCGTATAGTCTATATGAAATTGACAAAGGCACAAGATAATATTTTATACACTCCAGTGTATTTTTGGTGTATATAATGTAATCTACACTTGGTAAGTATAATATTAGAACCTGACCTGCTATCTGTTCATGATCATCATAAATCACCATACCAACATGAGGATTTAGAGTTGTAAATGGATAGGATGCCACTTTCGGCCGAGCTCTTGAGATAGCGCGAAGCAATGTAGATTTCCCAGCATTAGGAAAACCAATCTGCAAAATATTAAGCCGTTAAACTTTTCATTCCATACATCACTCCAACGTAAAATAGATTTCAATATTAAGAGCAAGACACATAATTTGGTAAAATCGGCTCAAATATTCCATATCTAGAAATAACATAATTCTAAGTCACAACTATAGTCTATTTCTATTTCTGACTATCTGAAATGAGATATCTTTAATTGACCAACATTTTCCAACTATAAAATCTCACCAATCCAGCATGAGCCATAGTTCTAAGTTCTACAAATAGTATTTTCTCTTCACCAGGGGCACCCATTTCAGCATAATTAGGTACTCGTTCTTCATTGGTTAAAAAGAAATGATTGCCTTTCCCTCCGGCACCTCCACGCCCAGCTATATAATAATCACAAGTATTGTCTAAGGATGATAAAACATCACCTGTTTCACTTTTTACTACAGTCCCTACAGGTACCTTTAAAATAAATATGATATTTAATCATTGTTTAATCCAGTAAGAGTATTCATACAAGAGTATTCATATAACTATAAGAGTATTCATACAAGAGTATAACATAGATCACCCTACTTAGCCACAAGTTGCTGGCTGCAACATCATGATATAAATGTTTGTATTAACATGCTCCCTACACGCCCACCAGCAGCAAAGGAAATGAACTCTATACAAAGCTTTAAGACAAGTTGCCAGGTAACGAAACATACGGCCACAGCAGCTAAGTCGTCTGGGGAGTCAACAAGTGTTGTTGCATATTTTGTCTTTTGTCAGAAATGAAAACATTTACAACACACTAAAATCTGATTACGAGTAACAACCCATTTGGCTTCTAGTTCTGCCCTATTCTAACATTTAGCATACAAAACATTTTATATCAGTTGCCATAATCATCGGAAATCATTGATAATTGATAGGTACCATTATTGTACCGTTCTACAGGCCAAGGCTAGACCCCAATTACCTGACGGAACCGGATAATCTGACAGTGACAAGAGCTTCAAACAGAACGAGGACGGACTCGGGACCCACGGCGCGAAGGCCAGGGCAAGTGGTTTATAGTTTTTAATCCACCAGAATCTGATAGTAATCCTGCCCACGCCACTTGGTACCCATATACACCGGTTTTTTTCTACTTCTAAGTAACAGTGTATTCTGTTCCTTAATTTATAGCAACAATTTTTTTTAAAACATTACTCGGCATACCTTTGGGCCCCTCTAGACTCTTGGAAAAGTGTCCCAGCTGTCCCCCTCTTACAAACCCTGCCTTAAACACTGTATGAATATAGTCAATCAGATATTAACTTTAGCCTCTAAAGCGTCCACAAGATATTTAAAGTGATTAAGGGCCATAACTCTGGCAGTAACTATAAGAAATAGTAGCAAATCAATAGGATTCTTCGTCTCATAACCTTAAACATTGTGTATAAATTTAAAGACAATCAGATATTAACTTTAGCCTCCAGAGCATCCACAAGCAATTGTGGACGCCGGACCAACGGACTGGGGCGACAACAATATACGACCACATTTCAATGTGGGCGTATAAAAAGAAATTAGAGAATGAAAAATTAACGATTCTAAAAATTTCTTCCTTGTGCCCCAATAAATGATAAATGATAAGTAAATTTTGAATGTTGACAGGGTTGTTGTAAACTGTTTTCTGTACTGTATACACATGTTTTGACAGTCAAAATATGAACGAAAAGGTCATTTACGATTCGAAAATTTAGAAATTTAAAAGGGGTTCTTTCTATGCTTAATGTGCACGCTCACCAAGTTTTAAATCTAACATTAACAAGATTTAATGAATTTGAAGGGTTCTTTCTTGTGCTTAATGAGCAATCTCACCAAATTTTAAACAATTCAGTTGAGAACTCTGTGTTACCTAACATTAACAAGATTTAATGACTTTAAAAGTAAATGTAAAGAAGGGAGAGGGGGATAACTCCAAAATACACTATTGAAAAATTCAGAATTTCAATAGTGCCAGTTATGCAGAACTTTGTCATATATTGTTTTCACAGGTTTGAACATAAATAGTTAGACAACAATGAAATTGGTTCTTTCTTACAATCAATGAACTGCCCTTGAGAAGTGGTATGAGATGTTCCAGAAGCACTAATATTTTTAAATGCTAATTACTTTTTTCTTCAAACTAGATAAGCATTAACTTGACCAGGTAAATGTAGTCTGTAAAGTGAAACGGGTTAAAACTTACTAATGCATATGTGTGCTCTGCATTTTTACCATGACAGTGTTTCTTAGAACCTTTAATTCCATGTTTAGCTTTAATGTGAGGATCTATAGATGCTAATGATTTTATATTGGTACTAGCTGAAACATAATAAGCGTATGACGTCTATTAAAGGGAGATAACTTGCCATATTGACATAAGGTATTCTTGTCATAAAACCTGCTGAAAATCAGCTGTCAACTTGTTAAAAATAGACTTATAAGTGTCAGGATCTATAAAAAAAAAATTGTACAATATCTAAACACCTAGACTTATAAATGCGCTGTTCAATATCTATACAGCTAGACATAAAAAGCAATTACAAGAAATTAGTGGATCATGAAATTAATGTGACATAGAATGGGACCTGTATGAAATAGCATTATATAACGTCCACTTCCACCTAAGTAATTCGCCGAAAAAGAGAATGAGACCCACAGTATCCTCTTTTAAAAGATATGACTGGATGGCTTCTTCTGGGTGGCTAATTTAATTATCAGCTAATTACATTATTGCTTATATTATCAATGACTGTTATGTTACAGAATAGAAACATGGATTAAAATTTATGAAACTGGTTATACGTCACATTTAACCCTGAGTAATTGCTCACATTAATTTCTTGTTTTAAAGTATATTTTGGGGCTACAAAAATGTTTCACCTTGAAAAATAACATGTCCTCCATTACCACCATTTCCACCATCCGGTCCACCAAATTCTCGGCTATGTTCTCTCAGGAATGACACATTACCATCACCTCCTTTACCCCCATAGACACGAACTTTACAAAAATCAATAAATCTACTGGCCTGAAGTTGCAAATAACAAACAATAAAAAAGATTGAAATTCCATCTTAGTTACTCAGAAGAGAACATTAAAATTGATGTGGTTATATGTTCAATTTTATTTTAAACCAGCATTCCATCCTTCTCCTTTTTACAGAAGAGTTTCCTTGAAAAAGGGGCTATTTAAGTGTGAAAATTAAACACCAAATTATAAAGAGTCTAAAATATTCACCTGTTTCAAATAATCACCAAAACATTTGATAGGGGTTACATAACTCTTTTAGATTGCAGACTATTTTGTTTTCTATTGGCAGACCTGGTCGCCATTTTTTTTTATAAACAATATTTTTATTCAGGTTGTCTGTCTTAATTAAAAATATCAGTGTTAACATCAAGACTGTAGGACTGTAGGTTGTGGAGCCGAATAAAAGAAAGTTTATATTTTTAAAATCATGTTGTAGTTTGTCTATGGTTTCTGTTCGTGCATTTGAATGTAAGGAACATCGCAGGAGGTAATGATCGGGATCTTCAAATATATGACCGCAGAGGCACGCGGGACTGTCGGCAACATGTCTTAGGAATTTGTGACCCTGCCGGTCAGAGCATCGAAGTCTTAATTTACAATGAATTATTTGAGGCTTCCACTGACCGTTATAATAAAACAAAGGAACTTTTTATATCAAATTTGGAGAGATGTTAGGAAAATATGTTCAGTTCTAGAATTCCTTGCAGGGGTACTGAGTTTATTCCACTCTCTTATACTGGATGGGATAAATGATTTAGAAAAAATTTCAGTACAACATCAAATTTCTTTTACTTTGTCTTCATTTCGAAGGGAATATTTGTTTGTTGGTACATGACTAGTTACTAGTTAGCAAAGTCAAATATAGTCACCAGCCTTAGTCTTTCTTCAATCATGTAAGATTTTTATTTGTAATTTTCAAATCCATGTAACTATTGTTGCCTATAGCTGTAAATACTTAAAATATACTTTATGTATTTTATTAGATATCCTTTTCTACTATTTGTTTTCGTTACATATTTATTTAGGAATAACAATCATGTAAGATTTTTATTTGTAATTTTCAAATCCATGTAACTATTGTTGCCTATAGCTGTAAATACTTAAAATATACTTTATGTATTTTATTAGATATCCTTTTCTACTATTTGTTTTCGTTACATATTTATTTAGGAATAACAATAACCAACCTCTGTTTCTTTGCCTTTAGGTTTATGAGGTTTTACAGGTTTTGCTGTTAGGAATCGAAACCTCTCTAAAGCACATTTATTTGGTTTCAATAAAAGCCATCTGCTTTGCCTTAAAAACAACATCGTCAGATATCACATCCGTCTCATTTTTCTGAAAAATTTCAAAATAAAGTTTCAAAATTAAACATGGACCTTATTGTAGAGTCTTGGAGCCCCTGTTGTTTAGTGAAAAAGGCACTGGCTGATTAACCAGGTACTCTCGGCCCCCGGGTCTGCTCTTGGCATTTGCTGCAGACATTCCCCCTATTTTCAGAGTGGTTTCCCCTTGTCAGTGGGGTGCAGGGGACCTAGAAAGGGAGAGAGAGAGAGAGTAATAGGGTTGAACGTTCACTCGTCACAACTTAGGTCATTTTGGAACAAACAGCGGGTCAACCTAGCTGAAAAGTGTACCAATTTTCTTCCATATGGTATCAATGTATGTATATCTGGTATCATCAGAATGTACGTCTGCCGGGTTTCTGGTGGTGGGTGTGGTATTCCACGCCCTAAATGCCATGACCCCCAACTAGGCTAGATTTACACATTTCAGCTAGGTTAACCCCCTGGGCTCCCGCTCTAATATGGTTCAATCTTATTTCAATAATTCGTTTGCACGTAGGAGTCTTTAGCAGTGGGAGGAAAATCGGAGGACCCGGAGAAAACCCACAAGGTTGGACAACCTAGAAAAGTACAGCAGTCCATAGGACAAAAAGACAAAATGCTGTGTAGGCCTACATGTTGGCCTGCACGTAAATGAACCCATAATATACAAAACTGCATCCAGTACCGCTGCAATATTCTATAATATTAGAGGCACTAAAACAGGCGTTATTCTTTAGAATGCCTGTAATCATTAACACTATTAAAGACTCTATGCATGATTTATTGCTACAGAATCCTTTGCAAACTACAAAACTGTGAATGTTGAATCTCTGATATGAATATCAGACCATTAATGTTTCAATTCCATTCAGTATTTACAAATGTAAAACGAATTGAAAATTTCATCGACCTACACTGCTCCCTATAAAAAGTTTCATCTTTAATGGGCCGGTTTTAAATCTGATTGAATTATATGTTAATCAATTAATCTGAGTACGGGTACATATTAGTGTGGATTAAGCCCTGGGAAATTTGATATCTTCCGATAAATGCTAACCATGCATCCTTACTTTAATTCATGACACCATATAATGTGATCACAATATGATACAAATCACAGGTTCTGTGAATGAGTGTGATCAATAACTTCAAAAACTCAGTTTAATGCCTATTCTATTTTTTACACAAGCATATCAATCATTGTGCATTTATAACACTGATCTTCTATTTTTCTGATCATTTCATACATAAACAATTACATGCAGTTTATAATTAATTATCAAACATTGATCTTATTCATATTGACCTTTGGAAGTTGAAGATAAACAACTAAACATTTTGTTATCAGCTGTCCTTTTTAGGCTACATTATGATTAGTACAGTTGATTTTTTAAATAATTAATACGATTAGCCTAAACTAGATTGGTGATCTAAATAAGTACACGACCAGAGGCATATAATTTATCTAAATAAGTTAAAATCAAGTGTATGTCATTTTTTTTTTGTTTTTTTTTTTTGTTTTGTTTTAATATTCATTAAACTACAAATATCTAAATAAGTCCATGGCTTTTCATAAATATCACACTTTTCCTGCAGCCCATTGATACGTATTATTTTATATATAATATTACTGACACACACATCAACAAATATCAAATCATTTTCAAAATTTGTCAGCGTAACAATTCTGCCTGTTCCTTTGTCGTGAATTTTAGCACGTAAAGTTTTACCATGCGTGTCTCTGACTCTACTTTCGATTTAAGGATTTAGGGTCAAATAAAGATCAAGGTCGTCGGGTAAAATATTATATCCTTAATAATTAATTGTATCACTTAATTTTTTGTATTTGTTGCGTTTCTTTTATCATTTTTATTAAAAAGCCATCTTCAATACGTACGTCTCAATTTATGAACATTATTTATCAATCGTTAATTGTTTTATAGCCAATCAGAACTTTGTTAAAACCTTTCTGCGCACGCTAATCAGACGATCAAGTGCGGCGGTCGAGTCGAGAAGTCTCTCTGTCAAATGAAAATGGGGTCCAAAACGGAAACAGAAATTCTCAAATATTCTATGTCAGAAGACGATCCTAATTCTAATATACAGTATAAGGAAGAAAATGACCTTGCTGTAAAACCTCGTTGGGGACCATCACATGCTGGGGCAAAGGAGTTAGCTAGTCAGTACACTGCTGGTATGTGTTTTTCTTCAGCTTGTGGGTGTCAGATATTATAGGTCATGTTTTCTGTTACTAGTGTTGTTATGCAACCAGACCGATTTGAGTATTGTTGACAGAAGACATTTACCCCCCAAAAACCGAATACTACTGACACCACATAGTGACATACGTATACATATGCTACCTGCTCATTTGTGTGATAAACTTAAAACTTGCAGAATACATGTTCAATGAATATGAAATGAAATGAAATGGGGTTTAACGTCCTACAGTAGCCTACTGTTCTGCTCCTTTGCTGGGCTAATGAAGACGGGCATACGCCATACAGTGTGCTATGAGGGAAATTTTGCCCGGGCAGCGGCACTATCGCCTACTCTTATATCAAATTCCAACTGCCAAGGGATCTTTTACATGCTTAATGAATATGAGTTGACGACGTAAACTTCAACTAGGCTACCGATAGGCCTATCACTCAGTAGCAATGCAAAAGCTTTTTTATATTTTTGAATCTGACTAAAACTGAATGTTAACGAGCATTCCAATCCCTCTCCCATTTAAGAAACCCCCCAAAAATTCAGAATCAGTTACGAAATAAAAAAAGTTAGACTTGCACTTTTAAGACCCCAAATTCAGAAATTGATGATGGATGTCAGTATTTAGTGTTTAGTAGTATACACTTTTTTTTAAAATATGAAAAAAAAGTGACCGAAGACCATTTCTCAGCAACTATTGAAGATATTGGCATCAAATTTTCAGGAAATATCCTTCCAACCATATAACTATCTAATACTGGAATTTTTTAAATTTGGGCTATATAATTTATTTGTTTTGATATGTGGTCTGCATCATGGATAAAAAAAACAAATTTGGTTAATTTGCGTTGAAGACATTTTTAAGATAGAATTCACATATGATGGACCTCAAATTTCGGGTAGACCTATTGCTTTATGCCGACAGAATTAATCCTTATAACAACTTCCTACACTGCTCCTTGATTTGTAGGTATCTAGGGATCTATAATGTGCGCCGCCAATCCATACGTACGACCTTGTTTTTCATTCAACTTATCATTGTCAGGTTCTTTGATCCGCAAAACAAAGTGAATTCTGATTGGGATGCAGAACTGGACATCCCATACTCATCTAGCCCATACTCTTTTCTGGCAACAGGGAGCCACGTTAGCTCAGTGGGTAGGACGTTGGCTCACTCAACTGGATGTGCTGTGTTTAATTCCTGCATTGGCCGAGCAAGTTCATTGTATTATACACACCAGCCTCCCCCCGGATGTACGATGGGGGACCTGGCAAGTGACAACATAGTCATTCAGATAGAATGAAAAACTGATGTGTGCATAAATGAACCCTAGACAGTTGGAATTTGAAATAAGAGTAGGCTGTTGCACCATTGTTTTGGCAAAGTTTCCTCTCATAGCACACTGCAATGGTGTGTTCCCCCCATCTACACCTCGCCGTAGGAATAGAACATTAAACCCCATTTCATTTTCTTGTAACAGATTCCTTATGGCTGTCATTTAATCATCAACAAAAGAGAAAGTAATCCAAGAGATAATTTTTAAAAAAAAATAATTTTAGGGAAGTGTTATTAGAATCAAAAAAACATTGTAACAATAAATACAATACCAACATCTAAGGTACATATAACAAAACAATAACAAGAAAGTGGCTGTGGTCTGCATCCACATGGGCTGGAGTTATCTTTTTTCTTCCACATGATTAAGATTTGTTTTTCCGAGTTTTGGCACTAGGTCCAACGGTTGGTGAATGAAATATAGGTTAATGTAACAAGAAAAGAGGTCACTTTAGGAGAAAATATGTTTACTTCCAGTCGTAATACGTTTCTACACTCGACACAAACTCTGTTTTCTCCTCTTCACGAAAAGTAAAATGTCATCGGCAAAAAGTCATACACCTTTCCGAAATCGCGGAACAAAAACGGCATATTTTGCAGTCAGATTTTTTGACAGTGTTAAAAATAGTATCAGTGGCGACCCTAGCGAGCTTTTGCATTGCTACCATCAGTGTCATTGCATTGGTGTCAAAAATTACACAGAACTTCCAACAGTTTAGCAACAAGAACATCGCCAAAAACATTGAGATATGTATTTGTTTTTTGCTACAAATCTACGTAGGATTGGAGACCGTCATTTTGATTTTTACTAAAGTAGAACTAAGGGGAGCCGCGGTGACTCAGTGGGTAAAATGCTGGCTCGTCAACCAGGAGTTCGCTCAAGGTGTTGACCGAGATAGTTCCTCAGGATTTTCCTGCATGGTTTCCCCTGCACTCTGTAAAGCGGCCTCCGATTTTAAAAAAAACGTTCGAATATATCATCGTTACACCCTAATGTGAAAATCGAACCAAAACTGCCAGACAAAATGACCGCCCCTTGTAGGCAAATACAGGTAGTGTAAATGTATGGTATATCAAGGTTGTGGACCTTCTAGAGACCACAATTTTGGTCCGATTTTGATGAAACTTGAAATACATGTTTATAACCCAAAGATCTTGGTTCCTTTCGATATTCACACATATCGGATTGTAACTTCTTGAATTATGGCCCTTGATTGTAGCTTGTGGTCCATTAGAGGTCACAATTTCTATCTGATTTTAATAAAACCTTTGAATATATAACCGTTACACCCTAATGATGGGTGAGTTTGAATGTTGTGAAAATCGGACCCAAACTGCCGGACAAAATTGACACCCTCTAGAGGCCACAATTTTGATCTGAATTTAATGAAACTTGAAATACATGTTTATAACCCAAAGATCTTGGTTCCTGTCGATATTCGCGCATATTGGATGGTAACTTCCTGAATTATGGCCCTTGAAAAATCACTTTTTGTTTAGCTTGTTGTCCCCCATCTTTCGAAGAAAGCAGGGGACTATTGAAATGGGTCCGTCCATCTGTCTGTCTGTCCGTCACACTTTTTGGGACACAATAACTCTTCTTCTAAGAATCTAAGATGTTTATTAGGTGAATGCCTTGATGGAGTTCGAAGATGAGCATTTTCTGCTTAGGGTAAGCAGAGATAAGCAATTTGATTGGTTGATGCTTTGGGGCACAATAACTTTGGTTATAATTAAGTGCGAGTGATGAAACTTGGTGTATAGTTTCATGACATCAATACCTTGACTAAGTTCGATAAAGAGTATTCTCTGCTCAAGGTAAGCAGAGCAATAAGCAATTTGATTGGCCGAGGCTTGAGAACTCAATAACTCTCCTCCTAATTGAGCTAGAATGTTCAAACTTGTTGTAGGCGTTCATTAGGTGAACGCCTTGATTGAGTCCGATGATAAACATTGCCTGCTTATGGTAAGCAGAGATAAGCAATCTGATTGGTTGATTCTTTGGGGCACGATAACTTTGATTGTAATTAAGTGAGAGTGATGAAACTCTGAGTATAGATTCATTATATCATTACCTTGACTAAGTTCGATGATTATAATTATATCTGCTTAGGCTAAGGAGCGATAAGCAATTTGGAACATAACTCTGCTTTTATTAATTGAGGTAGAATGTTTAAACTTGATGTAGATGTTCTTTAGGTGAATGTCTTGACCGAGTTCAATGATTAACATTTCGAGCTAAAGCTCAGCAGAGCTTAGCAATTTCATTGGTCAGTGCTTTGGGACAAGATAACTTCGATTCTATCTGATAGAAAGTGATGAAACTTAGTGTATAGTTGATAATCAGTTTGATTGCTGGATACTGTTGAAAAAAATAAATTAATATGTGTCATCTATTTATTTTGGGATTTCGGCGGGGGACATCAGCCTCACTGGTGGCTTGTGCTCTATCCATCTCTTGCAAAATGTGGGCGTATCTTTCCTGGCAGTGGTAGCTGCTGGTTTTGTTTATTTTTTGTATGTAAATACTCTACATATTGGCAATATTGCAATAATTAACAGATTTTGTTCAAATTCAGCATATCAATAATTTCAATAACAGGGTGGTACCTATTTATATTCTTCCATAGCCAACCCCCAGGGGCAGGGGCAGAGCCAAACCCAAATTTTGTATTTATCGTCTACAGGCTGCAATTCTGAATGGATCATACTTTCCATATTTATTCCTTATACCGTAAAGACATTTATTTATTTTGGTGCATGCCCCGAGCCCCTGGAGCGGTGTCACACCCACATTTGCTTCATCAGCATGAGGACAAAAATCAGACCTTAACCGAGATCGAGCTAACCCTCAATGACCTTATTTGTTATCTGCATTCATTCTCTCCATAATGTGAACTTTTGGACAGTCATGGAGATAAAATAATATTCTTGTGTGCTATATAAGTACATATTAAACATTTATTTTCATCTTTAATTAACAAACATATGAATAACCAGCGGCTGCCAGGCAGGATACGCCCACATTTCCGAGAGATGGATAGAGAACAAGCTAAAAAGAAAGTGATTTTTCCTAAAACCAAGGGCCATAATTCAGGAAATTACAATTCGATATGCGCAAATATCGAAAGGAAACGAGATCTTTGTGTTATAAACTTACATTTTCAAGTTTCAACAAAAATCGGATAAAAATTGTGACCTCTATAGGGTCCACAACCTTGATATACCATATTTTTACGCTATTTGAGAACGAGGGGCGGCCATTTTGTCTCTCAGTTTTGGGCCGATTTTCACAAAATACGAACTCAGCCATCCTTAGGGTGTAACGGTGATATAATAATACGTTTTTAAAATCGGATAAACATTATGACCTCTATAGGGTCCACAAGCTAAAAACGCGATTTTTGGTACAATCAGGGGCCATAATTCAGGAAGTTACAGTCCGATATGTGCAAATATCGAAAGGAACCGAGATCTTTGTGTTACAAACTTACATTTCAAGTTTGAACAAAATCGGATAAAAGTTGTGACCTCTATAGGGTCCACAACCTTGATATACCATATTTTTACGCTATTTGGGAACAAAGGGCAGCCATTTTGTCTGGCAGTTTTGGTCAGATTTTCACGAAATTTGAATCCGGTCATCCTTGGGGTGTAACGGTGATATAATAATACGGTTTTTTAAATCGGATAAAAATTATGACCTCTATAGGGTCCACAAGCTAAAAACGCGATTTTTGGTACAATCAGGGGCCATAAATCAGGAAGTTACGTTCCGATATGCGCGAATATCGAAAGGAACCGAGATCTTTGGGTTATAAGCATGCATTTCGAGTTTAAACCAAATCGGATAAAAATTGTGACCTCTACAGTGTTCACAAGCTCAAAACGTGATTTTTCATACAATCAGGGGCCATAATCCATGAAGTTACAGTCCGATACATGCCAATATCGAAAGTAATCGAGATCTTAGGGTAATAAACCTATATTTCAAGTTTCGTTGAAATCGGATAAAAATTGTGACCTGTAGACTGTTCACAAACAATTGTGGATGGACGGACGGACAGGGGCGAAGAAAATATACGTCCACATGAAAATGTGGGCGTATAAAAATGATATAAAATATTTGGCTAAAACTTTCTGAATTGGCTAATAAAATTTCGATATGGCTAAAAATTTGGCTAAAGGTTTTAAGAGTCTAGGGCGGTCACTGATAAAGAGCTGACAGTTCTCGCTATAATAGTTAACAAGAGCTAACGCTGCAATACACGTCTGCGTTGATTGATATGGTACTTTTTAAAATGAAGAGAAGATGACACTCTCACTCTGGGAAGTAGATTCTGGACTAACATAGTCGTAGAAGGGAAAAAGGAATCTATCCTTCTTAATTTGGGTTTACTAGTATTAGTTGTCATTATTGTGCGTTTTATTTATTTGCTGCGTGAGTAAAGAAAACTTGTTGTGAAGCGTATGTAAACAACTCAGTGCCACACAAAAGGGGCGTAACCATGTTTTAATTCATAACATTGACTGATTTGAGACTAGAGTAATTAATGTACTAAAAATAGACACGCCTTCGAGTCGATCAAAAGAAGCGTTGAACGAGACAATTTCAAGTTTAATATTAGCAGATTTATGAAATAACACCCTCTAAAATTCATTTTTGCCAGTATCATCACATTATTTGCCAATAAAAATAATTGTCGCCATTGGCGAATTGGCGAATGTCTAGGGCGGTCACTGCTTTATAATCTTACATACATGTAATGCATCTTTAATATGTTCGCATAATGTTTTTGACAAAGGGATGTAAGAAACGAAAATACAGCCGAGCTAAATGAAAATTGATAAATACAAATATAAATTTCACGTTTTAATAAAGAAGGCAAGGTATTTGCTGGATGTCACTTTATCAATTTTGCTTATTTTTTTAGGTAAAAGAAGGCAAGGTATTTGCTGGATGTCACTTTATCAATTTTGCTTATTTTTTTAGGTAAAAGAAAACAAGAAACAGTCTGTTTAGTTATCAGTATTGGATTATTTATATATAATTTCATCAATTTATTATGGACATTCCAGCTATGTAATATATACACGATGATAATATCTGCATGTGAGTATTTGTCTTTTATTACTTTTAAAATAAAATATTTAAGTTAGAGTTAGAACAAAAAAAACAATGATCTGACGGTAAGCAGAATTATGGTTGCTGCAGTAGCAGTTGATTAAATTATGAAAAATTGATCAGTTAAAAGTCTCAAACTTACTGCTACTATAATTTCAAAGTTTAATTTTTTTCAGTGTTGGGTATTGTGACAGCTGATTTTTTAAGTGGTTTAGTTCACTGGGGAGCAGATACATGGGGTTCTGTGGACTTACCAGTCATTGGTAAAGTAAGTGATAATTTCATCTATATTTTATAAACATAGGCCTAGAAAAACAAATATTATTTGGCCCCCCATTCCCACAATATTTGAGTACCATTTGAGATTAATCAGAAAATCAATCAAACAGAAAGTACCATCTATGTGCCCTCTATTTCTATACAAAAATCAAAGTTACATTGGCAAAATGAATATCTTTTGCAAAATTGTTTGTCCCCCTACATGTATAGGTATGTACCTTTTGAAGAAAGCAAGGGATTATTGAAATAGGCTTGTCTGTCCGCCTGTGACCCTTTTAGGGACATATGAACTCTGCTTCTAATTACGGTAGAACTATTGATTTTCAGTGATTTCTGATAATTATTTTCAGAGTTTTAACATCTTATGCCATAGACACAAAGTGTTTAAGGTCACGAGACGAAGAATCCTATTGATTTTCAACGATTTCCATGAAATGAAATGAAATAAAATGGAGTTTAACGTCCTACTGTTCTGCTCCTATATACTGAAGACAGGCATACGCCATACGGTGTGCTATGAGGGAAATTTTGCCCGGGCAGCGGCACTATCGCCTACTCTTATATCGAATTCCAACTGCCAAGGGATCTTTTACGTGCATTCCAATGTATACACAGGACCTCGGTTTTGCGTTTCATCCGAAGGACTAGACAGCTGTCCTTGTCAGGCCCCTAGTTCTGCACCACTGACAAGGGGAATTTGGAAACCATGTTGGAAAATCCCGATGAACTTTCTCGACCAATGCAGGGATCGAACATCCGACCTTCAGGCTAGCGAGCCAGTGTCTTAATAATTACTGCCAGAGTTATGGCCCTTGATCACTTTGAAAAATCTTGTGGACGCTCTAGAGGCTAAAGTTAATATCCGATTGACTTTAAATTTATACACAGTGTTTAAGTTCATGAGACGAAAAAACCTATTTATACACCGTGTTCACTCCGGGTTCACTCCTATATATAATCGTTTCAATTGACTTTAGATTGATACACAAAGTTTAAGGTCTTGAGACAAACAAGTATATTGATATTCAATGATTTGTGATCACTTGAACAGCTAAATTCTTGATATTAAATGTTTTATATACTAAACATTAGCACGTGGCAAACAAATTATAACGATTTTCTGATAGGTAATTACTTAATGAGTTGTTACCCTTAATCAGATTTTAGTGTATTATAAATGTTTTTCATTACCAACAAAAGTAAACTCTTGTTGACTGCCCGGACGATTTAGCTGCTGTGGGCGTATGTTTCGTAGCCTGGCAACCTATCTTTTTAAATTTCCAAGAGAGACAACACGCAGAAAGGGATGGACACAGCGATATCAAGGAGGCAAGAAGGGCTGGTCTCGACAAAACACGCTTCTCATTCTCTTTGTTCAGAGGATTTCAAGACACCTGCTTACAAACATGATTTTAATAATATTATTATGTCGATCAAGATATATTAGTTGTGTTATCTTTCTATGTTAATACTGTGCATAGTTCTAGCAATAGAAATGACTGATGTAACCATAGCAACGAAATGTAAACAACACAGCTATGTAGTCTAAATACTTAATGTAAATTAATAACCCCCTTTTGAAGTGTCTTCCGCATCTGTAGTACCTAGTCCTATGTCGATGATTTTACAGTAGATCATAGATAGTCCAAGATGTAGGAAGTCCGTCAGATTTAACGAGGTAAATAAATGTGATAGAAATTTTTTTTAGCAATAGGCCTATACATGTAGCTATACGATGTGACCCTTGTTTTTTGATTGTTGCACAAAGGAAGTAGGCTAGGGCATATAATACTGTATTACCCTGTACTCGGGCCTAATCCGGACATAGCCTGCAGCGATTGTTCTATTTCGCTAGAAATGGTAGAATGTTCCGAACCATCATCGTCACCGTTGTTGCTCGCATTTCTTATTGGCTCGTACTGATAGGGAAGATCATGCGGGGCGAAATCAATGTCTGACAAGCTGTCACTTTCTGCCGATGCCATATTGAAATATACATCGACTGCTACTCAAGTTTCACCTGTTACATCGTGTCAAGCATCCTCTTTTAAGAGTATTCTACATAGAATTTGTCTCAAATCAGCCCAGCCAGTTATGTAATTATTGTTAATGTTTTGTATTTCAGTCTTTATTACGTCCATTTAGAGAACATCATATAGATCCTACATCTATAACTAGGCATGATTTTATAGAAACTAATGGTGATAATTTTGCTGTTGTTATCCCTGGGTTGGCATACATAGCCTATGGATTTATGTTTAGAAGTAATGAAGAAATACAAGCACAGTCCTCTTTGTATTGGTATATATTTTTATTGGCGGTATTTATAAGTATTACTAATCAGGTAAGTACACAGAGTGTTTTTGTCCCCCGCCTTTCGGAGAAAGCAGGGGACTATTAAAATGGGTCTGTCCGTCACACTTTTTGGGACACAATAACTCTCCTTCTAATTGAGCTAGAATGTTCAAACGTGGTGTAGGTTTTTATTAGGTGAATGCCTTGTCCCTTGGTGGAGTTCGAAGATGAGCCTTTTCTGCTCAGGGTAAGCAGAGATAAGCAATTTGATTGGTTGATGCTTTGGGACACGATAACTTTATTTCTAATCACTCTTGTCCTTAAAGCTGAACTCCGATTACAAAACTACAAAAATAATCAAATAAAAAAAATTAACACCCTTAATAATCGCCATACTTGTTTTCAAGTTGTAGAACTATCATGGACGATTGTACAGCGTACAAAAGCAAGAGGCAGGGCACGCCCACATCCAGTTCACGCCTTGTCAACCACACTGTCCACATCCGGCTAGCAATATTTCAACTACAAACCGTGGTTTACTTATTTCGTCTAATTAGTAAAATAATATGTACCTGATCAGACATAATAATTGTGTAGCAATAATATTTTCAGTAAACTGATTGTGAAAAAACGTCAATCAGTCAGCTGAAATATTGCTTGCCGGATGTGGACAGTGTGGTTGACAAGGCATGAACTGGGTGTGGGCGTGGCCTGCCTCTTGTTTTTGTACGCCGTACAATCGTCCATGATTATTCTACAACTTGAAAACAAATATGGCGATTATTTAAGGTGTTAATTTTTTTTTTAATTATTTCTGTAGTTTTGTAATCGGAGTTCAGCTTTAATCAAGCCAAGGATCAAATATCTTGTGTTTCTGAAGTCAATAATAAAATGAATTTTCGAGGAAATTCTTAAAAGAATATCAAAAAAAATTACTGTTAAAACAAAGACAATTAATTTGAAATATACAGTTTAAAATCGATTTTTCTTCTACACTCAAAGCCATTAAAAACGCAATGCCAAATTCAAAGTTTATTTACTGCAACAACTTTTAACAAATGTACATAACAATTGACAAAATCAAGATAACAAGCATCTGTGGATAATTTCATGAAAGAATTCACTACAAATGCACAAAACCGAAACGTCAGAGAACCATGAAACAAAGCAGGGGTCAGCTAAGTCAATATCGGGTATGTCCACCCTGAGCTCTTACACATGCCCGAAGTCGCCTTGGCATGGACTGGCACAGATGTCTCACCACAGGCTCTGGGATTGTTTGCCAATGATTTTGGAGTGCCTGTGCCAACCCTGCAACAGTTCGTGGTGGCATGGCTTGAGTTTAAACCCATCGTCCAAGTTCATCCCAAATGTGTTCGATTGGGTTCATGTCGATGTCGGTAGATACGGTGAAGTCCAGCAGTAAAACTGAGGTTGAATCGGGATTCATCCGAGAAGATGACAGTTCGCCATGGTGTGTTGTGCAGATACCCCTGATTTGCGGCCCATTGCTGTCTGGCAAGTCGATGAGGATGCAAAAGGATTTGACCTTGGTAAGGTCGACAGCAGCGTAACCCAAGAGCAGCCAGACACCTTTGGACTGTTTGAGGGCTGATCTGACGTTGCTGTGTTCCAACAGTTCCCCTGGCAGTAGCAGTAGCTGACTAGAACCTGTTGCGCAGATGCTGTAGTCGAATGTGTCGATCTTGAGCAGCGGTTGTTACAGGTGGCGCTCCAGATCGGGGTTGATCGAGAACTCTTCCAGTGGCGTGGAAGTATTGTCTGAGGTGAGCAATGGTCGATGGGTGGACATTAAAGTGTCTGGTGACGGCTACCTGTGAAGCCCCCTGATCCAGCATGCCAATAGCTCTGTTCCTGTTTTCTTGTGTAAGGCGTGGCATTTTTCCGAAGTGACGAATGTTGAAATTTTGATCTGTAGTTAAAGGGCTAGAGTGCAGGGAATGCACGAGTAAAACGTGGGACATGGGACTGCTTATAATCGTGAAAAAAAGACAAGTGTTGCGTTTGCAGAACAAAGTTCATTACCGAGAACTGATTTTGGGTTCAAACCCATAACTCCACAAAAAAGATACCCTTCACAAGTTTCACCTATGTGCCATAAGATAGGAAAGCCCAAGAAAACGTTTTCCAGAAATATTTCACGAATTAGGCATTGCATTTTTAATGGCTTTGAATATATTAATGTGTAGGTGCATGTAATAAACAGGTTTTAATATAGATATGCTCTTATTTTTTGGTTTTCAGTGTCATAAATGGTCTCATACCTACTTTGGTTTACCACGCTATATAACAATATTCCAAGATCTTCATATTATCTTACCCAGAAAACATCACAGAATACATCATGTGGCACCACATGAGACATACTTTTGTATCACAACAGGTTGGCTCAATTACCCATTAGAACTAATTAAATTCTGGCCAATGTTAGAAAATATTATAGAAAGATACACTGGTTGTAAACCTCGGGATGATGACTTTAAATGGGCCAAGAAGACTGAATAAAGCTACAATTCTTAATATTTATTTTTTTACCTCCTGAGCTACTTTTTTGATGTAGTTGTAACGAACATAATAGAGCTTTATATTTGTGAAATTCTCAGAGCTGTGAACAAAACTGTAAATATAACATGTGTCTATGCTTCAATCCTTCCTGTCTTTAATGGTCTTCTTGTATAAGATTTTTATAACAAATTCCATGACATATTTAAATATTGCTATTGATATATAATTTGCTATTTTAAAAAGCTTACATCATCATGGTAACAAGTTATCACCAGTGATATTCATTTCTTTATAAGAAAATTTGCTTGCATGAGATTATGCTTGACATCACAGAGTATTTTTTTTTTTAAATCTAAAATGATGTCAACGGGCTGATTAAATGAACCTGTGTTAGCTTTTATGGATAAGTTTGTAAGGGGCATAACTCTTATATATGGGGAATGTCTTCCAAGTACAGCTTGCAACTGATCTGCTATCACATTATCATAAAATATTTTTATTAAATAATAGTTGTTTTGGAGTGATGCTGCCATGCTGGGTTATTAGATGTTACATGTTTTATTACGATGTTATGGTTGTTTTTAAGAGTCTACTCGAACTTGTGTGATAATTGTTTATATCATTAGCTTCCATACTCCTGGACACAGGAGTAGGTGTAATCTATTAGACTTTGCATGATCTGTTAAGCAATGGTAATGATGAATTTATGTTGACACTACAACCAAAAGGAATTTTAAAAAATATGTTGATTGCTTTTGATATGTCAACATAGAAACATACATTGTAGTTGTATATTTCTTTCCCCCCCCCCCCCTTTGTCGGTAATTTATCGCGAACACTCTGCAATTATATATGTTGTCTACATTAGTGAGAGAAGGCATTTATTGAATTTCAAGGAAGTCTGATTATAACTTTCAATCACACATTAAAGTTAACATCTGATGAGTTTGTAATAATTATTGAAATTGAGAAGCCTGTCGAATTGGTATGAAAGTTGCTGTTTATATTGCAAGTGTGTTATCATTCATATAATTTAACCAAGTTCATTTTTATGTGTAGATATAGAGATAGATTTGTCATTTCAACACTTTTCTATGTTTTTAATATATTTTTAAAGACTGTATAAATTACTAATAGCTTGTCACAATCACTTATACAAAACTTTATGTACATTTTTTAAAATATCTTATTTCCTTTTTATGGTAAATTAGGGTAAACATATATAATATACCATAGTTTGTCATGTCTCCCGACATTTGTTTATTGTAGTATTTATTTTGAATTGAATAAATTGTTTGTATTATTAGTTATATCAGTTCTTCAGTCCAGAATCTTTTGTCCTGGAGTATTATTATAATCTAGACATTTTGTGCCTTATATCAAAATCAAAAAATTAAAGTAACTTACATCAATATACACAGATAAGAGTTACAAATTTATGACTTAGTTACAAGAAAATCATATGACAATCTAGCATTATTGTATCCAAAATTATGATTAGGAATAATGTAAATCTTAACTTTAAATACAAATAATCACTGATAACACATCCTTCATTATTTAGACCTGTCTTCAAGGTATGTCTATATCTGTCATAGAGTAGTTTAACCCTATTTCCCCACAATATGCTTGGATGTTGATTTTTGTCCTGCAGTAATACTATATTTTATATATATATATATATGTGTAGTTTATAAGTCATTTTGTTGTGTTACTGTTTTGCTATGATATATATATTATTTTCAGATTGTTATATTGTCAGGTCAAATTGTAAATTATTTCAATCAATCATAATTTGATGTTAATAAAATGTCCCAAGTACTTAATGTTTAATTTCTTAATTTTACTTACCTGATGGTGTGAACTGTATGTCATTGTTTTTAAGGTTATTCAATATGTGGTTTGAAATCTTACAGAACTTGTGTGTGCGTTGTATCATAAGGTCTGTCATTGAGTCACCTGGCCTGGTTTCGATTCCCCGATTGTACGTGTTAAGGAGTAGGGTCTCCTGTCCAACCTCGTGGGTTTTCTCTGGGTCCTCCAGTTTCCTCCCACTGCTAAAGACCCCTACACGCAAGTGAATTATTGAAATGAAATAAAATTGAAGCATCTGTTAGTCCAAAAATGACCTAGTTTGTGTGGAGTGGACGTTAAACCCTCTTTCTCTCTCTCTCTCTCTCTCTTAGTAGTTCTTTCTATTTACATAATGGACAGTCTTCGGCCATTATCCATCACTTAAAAACACACTCAAAACAGTTTCAAATCACTAGTTTTATCAGACAGAAAGGAAAGTGTCAAACGAACTGAGAGTGAATCAAAGTGAATGAATATTTTCGCCATGATACTTGGAGAAAAAGACTGCCGGAAACGTAGCCTGGCAGTATTTCAGACACTGGTCGTCGAGATAAATAGAGCTGACCAGATACTGCCTGGCGCCAAATCACTAGCTTATCTGAACAGAGAGGGATGTTTTAAACGGAATGAGTGAATCAAAGTAAATAAATATTCTTGCTGCGTTGAACCAATACCTAAGAACTTTAAGGATCGTAAATTGTTTATAGTAGGTTTACAGCAGAGGATGGGTTCGGTAAGAAATCACCCGGACTCTACAACATGCAAGTTTATGACTGAGTGGGAATCCGGGATTTACTCACCTTAGAACAGTGATTCCCAACCAGTGTGCCGCTAAATTTTGAGTGGCACACTAAGAAAATGCGAAAAACTACGTGATCCTAATTGAGTATTTACTGATGTCTACTGGTAAGTCCATAATTGTGTTTTTTATACGCCCACATTGAATTGTGGTCGTATATTGTTGTCGCCCCCGTCCGTCCGTGGACGCTCTATAGGCTAAAGTTAATGTCCGATTGACTTTAAATTTATACAGTGTTTAAGGTCATGAGACAAAGAAGCCTATTGATTTTCAGCGATTTCCGATAATTACTGCCAGAGTTATGACCCTTGATCATTTTGAAAAATATTGTGGATGCTCTAGAGGCTAAAGTTAATATCCGATTGACTTTAAATTTATACACAGTGTTTAAGGTCGTGAGATGAAGAAGCCTATTGATTTTCAGCGATTTCCGATAATCACTGCCAGAGTTATGGCCCTTGATCACTTTGAAAAATCTTGTGGACGCTCTAGAGGCTAAAGTTAATATCCGATTGACTTTAAATTGATACACAGATGAAGAAACCTATTGATTTTCAGCGATTTCAGTTAATTACTGCCAGAGTTATGGCCCTTGATCACTTTGAAAAATCTTGTGGACGCTCTAGAGGTTAAAGTTAATATCCGATTGACTTTAAATTGATACACAGTGTTTAAGGTCTTGAGACGAACAAGTATATTGATTTTTGATGAATCTTTATGACTTGAACAGCTAAATCCATGATGTTAAAAGTTTTGTATACTAAACGTTAGCATGAGGCAGAACTTTATAAAAACAAAACAAATTCTAATGGTTTTCTGATAATTATTTAATGAGTTGTTACTCTTAATTAGGTGTGGGCGTATGTTTCGTTGCCTGGCAACCTATCTTCTTTATATAGTTTAAGTCATTACATGTGTTTATAACTAGTCTGTGTCAACGGTTGCATGCCGTCTATGACTTGACATGTTTTTATTTTGCAAAATTCAAATATTTTTCATATATATTTAGCCAGGCGTGCCCTTATTTTTGCATGTGTTCCAAGGCACCCCCCCCCCCCCCCCCCCCTGTGAAAAAATTGTCGACCATAAAAACAATAGATATACATTGTCCGTCAATTATACAGCGCCCCTGAGGACACTTCCCACCCCCTCGGTGCTCTGAGCTATAGTTACGGTCCTGTAGTGTAGTTTCTGTGATACAGTCGATATGCCGATTGAAACTTATCAAGGAAAATGTGTCTTGAAAGGCAATGTATTAACCAATTTCTCCATAATTTGCGACAAAACGGCCAAGGTTGAAACCGGACGATAGTTTTTATGTGCATTAGGATCTAGTTCTTTCTGCAACAGTTGGTTTACGATAGCTTGTTTTTCTCTAGTTCAGCTCTAGGTCTCATTACACTCGCTGAACTAGTTTTTCTCCACCTTGAAACCGACAACATTGTCATCTTTATCGCCAAACACATAGTGTATAGGTCTAGTTATGCGAATGATATATAGCTAATTGAAGCGAAAGATTGGTCGAAGCTCCTGCGTAGAAGATAACTTGAGGCGAAGATCGCCAGCAAAGACCCAAATCCAATGGTTTAAATAAAATTAATATGGAATGGAACCGGAACTCGTTGTCCTAGATAAATGGCGGGAAAATAAGAAACAATTTGGCGTAAATGTACATTATTCATCATACTGATTCAAGAAATCTTCATATACCTAATAGTCTTGCGGAATCAGTTTCAAACTGCATCTCAAAATTTCTTTTCGCAAGAGTGAACAGTTCTCTCTAAAAATTTGTTTGAAATTTTAAAAGCTTCTTTAAATATCAACATTCTAACAGGGTGTAAATGTCTTCCTTTTCCTATTTTTTCCAACAAGAAATTACAGTTCTTAATACCACACACGTATCAGAAGAACTGAAACATGCAGTCTTTGTATTTCCAGATTTGTCGTATTTCTTTATGCCCATGATGATGACATTTATCCGACCATTGGCATTCGATACAATCGGATATAATTAATATCGGTCTATTGCATCGCAACCGCAAAAATAAGAATGCAAAGCAATTTAAGGTTTAACTTTTATGTTACAAATAAAATCCGTGACATAATATAAGACAATAAAATCAGTGACATAATGTAAGACAATAAAATCAGTGACATAAGACAATAAAATCAGTGACATAATAGAAAACAATATAATCAGTGACATAATAGAAAACAATATAATCAGTGACATAATAGAAAACAATATAATCAGTGACATAATAGAAAACAATATAATCGGTGACATAATAGAAAACAAGCAGTGACATAATAACAAATAATATATATATATATATATATATATATATATATATTATTATTAATAATATCTGAAGACGCCCGATTATAGCTTATATGATTTAATGTATGTCAGAATGAAGTAAAGTGGAGAATTTTTTATCTGGACAGATTTTTTTGATTTATTTATGGCATTTATCTACCGTAAACAAAGAAGTACTCGTACTTTATTTACTTTAATATATATATATATATAATAAATAAAAGGTAAAAGTATATAGAAAAGTGAGGTTTTTAGAGAGAAAAAACTAATTTCATCTTAGCTAGCGCTTTCACCCACTACGGGGATCATCAGGCATTTATATATATATATTAAACAATATAATCAGTGACATAATAGAAAACAATATAATCAGTGACCTAATAGAAAACAATCATTTAACAATAATACAAACGGTAGTCATACAAATTAAACAATAAATGACTTCTGAATTACGTTGGTTTATTTTTTGTAGCCGAATAACAATTAGAACTAAATATCGCCTTCATATAATAACTAACAGAAATACGTGCATAAAACATATCTGAATCCAGGGGGGTTTCTTAAAACTAAAATTAAACAAAAACAGTTACTTCCAGATATTATAATTGGTGACATCACTGTGAGCATGGATGCCCGGGTCTTTGCCAGATTCTTCGATCATTTTCTCAAGTTGAGTTATATTAGCCTTGGATAATCGAAGATATCTACATTCCAAGATACTCTGAGGATCGAATGGAATTTCATGTCGAATTCTTGGTCTCAATTCCTCTAGTAATTGTTCCAAGTGTTGCAGACGTCGTTTCTTGTGACGTGATGCATAATTTGTCACGCTTTCCCTTCTGAAATGTAAAGAAAAATATTAATAAGGCAAATGAAACTAAGGCAACAACACAAACAATAGAAAGTTTAAAGGTACATGTATAATATTACATAGCCTACCTTCCGCCTTGAAGTTTAGCTTCTTTAATGATTCCTTCCAATTCCTTATAGGCATTTCTGTCTAATTCCGGTAATTTATCCATTGAAGATTTTGGACTTCCTCCGTATATCTGAAAAACAGCATGCGAACTGACTGAATCTTAACTTTTATCCCTTTAGTCACACGTAAAGTAATCAAATATTTACTCTTAAATCATCCAAGAAAACAAAAGCCACAGTAAACATATTATCATACTTAGTAGCCTTTGATGAGTTGTGCATTAGCAGTAATTGATTTCCCTTTATGTGAATAACTGGGTATAATATTATTATTTTGTGATAGCTTAATATTGTATTAGCAGTTTAAATAACATAAAGTGTCCTTTCTATAGTAATCGATTTTTACCAGATTGACTTTCCATATTTATGACTTAATCGGAATCTACTTAATGAAATTGAATGGCTGATAGTAGCCAGTAATTAATAGATTTTATAAATGGTATAATAAATAATAATATAATTTTTTTTCAGAGAGCATTGACTTGGTTTGAATACAAAAACACGGTAGACCATGTGTTCTAATAAGAATAAGCACCCAGTTTACCCTGCACATAACCCATAAATACATGTAGTTAACTTGGCGTTGGTATGACTTTTATTTTAGAAGCTAGGGCTTTGTCATCTTCAGGAGAAGGCTTGATCTCCCTTTAACTCTAGATGTTGTAAAACTCAGTCGCTGCTTCAGCATATTCATAAAGCAATGGCCAGAGAAATCCCTCACTAGCTGGATTAGGTCTAATCAAACGAAACCGTTCGAGGGGTATGCTGCTTCAGGAACATGGGGCTTTCTTAGATCGAGCAATGGCTAATAGCAATTTCGTCGACAAATTTGTTTGAAACAAAAAGTGCATTATCATTTGGGCTCACTCATTGTTAGTCCTAACCCATATTTAGGTTTCCTTTCTTGTCACCAATTAAGCTGACATACAGATGAAGTAATAATTAAACTTTTGACCTTCAATAACGATAATTAAATGGACGACGCATTCGCTGTCTGAAATATAAAAACTGCATACCTCTTGATTGGGATCGCTTCCGCGTGAATTAACATCTGCTCTGGATAATTTCTTGATGGCTTCGTTATAAAATGACCGGATACTTGCAGTGGGGTTGTTTTTCAGAGCTTTTGTAAGACTATACCCTGAAATTATAATACAGCTCCGAAAACATCTTCCAAGGTTATTTCCAGATAATGATTAAATTTTCGGTCACTTTTAGATCATGTGGAATAATTAAAAAAGAATTGCACCTGTATTAGTAACGTTTCACACGTGGAACAATATGTATGCTCATATAGTGTTAACATAAAACGAGTTTTAAAGAAAAGAATGTCAAATTGTTTTGCCGGACTGAGAAGTCACACCACACTCTCCTCAGTTTACATAAACATAATATGGTCAATATGTCCCCCATCTTGCACTAAGCACCTTTTCCAACCAGAAATTGAATTTCTTAAGTTATATCCTTGAAGCTTATTTCTGCGTTTACGGTTGTAGTTATTAATATTTTAATACATGCCCGGCACAAATTTCAATATGCTAGGTACAAATTCAATAATGCCCGACATTTCGTCAGGTGCAAATTATTATTTCCAGGCCTGCTTATGTGCACTAATAAATAAAATTGGAAGTACCTGAATCAAGCGAATCACGACTTGATCGAGCACTTCTATTAAGACTACTGGTAGAATCAGAAGTATCATCTATAGTTAGTTTAACCTCGGGAATCATTGGTTGTTGAGTCACCAAACCACTATCTATCCATGGTAACTTTGCCGTTTTCCCTTTTCTACCTGAAAATATTTAAAAAAAAAAATAATAAAAAAAAAAATAATTGATGAATCCTAGTAACCTGTAGGTAGAATTAAGGTGTGTATCATAATTACTTCGTTTCGTTTTATTTTCGATTCATTTTTAAGTCAAGTCAACAGTCTTACCCTCAGTGGAAGGAATGCTCTTCTGTGCATTAAGGCCATTTTCTTCTTTTGACAGTTTATCTTTGCCATGGTGATCGTTGTCAACGTGATGACCCCCATCCGTATTTCGACCATGGTGACCTTCCTCTGGATGTTTACCATGGATGTCATCCTTGCCAACGTGATGCAGATGGCGTGAACGAGAGCGATCAGCATGTGGATGTTTGTGATGGCTTCTTTTATCGCCAACGTGATGACCAGGGTGCCTAAAGAATGACAATGACGTTTTTAAAATAAGTATACCATTGTCTATTGGCTAATGTTTAATGTAACCATAGGCATAGGGGGGGGGGGGGTACGATAAAAATGGAGGCGCGGAGCTTACCGTGTAGGGACCTCCCCAAGACAATTTGACGACCGCACACGCGTTTTCCTGCTATTCCAGCCCATGAATGCAGCAACTTCGAAGTGGTCTAATATAACCTAATTTAGGTGCCTGACCTGAATTCCAATCAACCAAATAATCGTTTACAGTCCAGGACACGCGACCGTCGGAAGAACATTTTATTGAAACAAACGAGGTTTCCTGCTTCAATGTGGTCCAATATAGCCTAACTTAGGTGGCTGATCTGAAACCCAAACAACCAATTGTCCCTGGGTATAGGGGAGTCGCCCTCCTCGAGAAAAATTTAGAAAATTTCACAGCCGCAAATGTGTTTTTCTGTTATTCTTGCCCGTGAATTCAGCAACTTCAAAATTGTACAATCGTTTTGCAACCGAAATCTAACCGATTTCCGAAAAATGTCACACAAAGAACAGTGGCTTCAATAAAAAAATTGTTTAAACCATAGCCAATTCAGTACAAATTCGCGGTATTCAGTTAATAGAAAAGTAAAATTAGTGTTTATTAGATTTCGAAGACTTTATTTGGCCAACTACATGATATAATAAAAAAAATTTCATTTACCCGCCTGCCCGAAAAATCAGATTGCCCGAGAGTTAAGGGGCAAACAGTTTTATTTTTGCTTGATTCTAAGTAATATTTTCATTCACAATAAATACCTTACCCTAATTGGTTAGGAACACCATGAGGTTCTTCTTTTATTGACTTTGCAAGCTATATATAGAAAAATGGTGTCTTTATATTTTTTTTTCTTGTAAAACGGTGGTAGAATGTAATGGGGGAATGGTCTCAAATACTTTGGATCCAATTGGATTTTTAATTGGTTTCTATGATCCTCAGATATTATTGACGTGGGAAATTGGAAAATATAGATTGTTCTTTTGTATGGGATTCGGGAGATTTTTCATGTCTGAACAAATCTCACTATTCAAATACAACTAAGGCGTAACCGACTCCCTGATCAAAGTAATAATTTAAATTAATTATACACAGGACAACTGTCACATAATCTTGGGATGGGTGAAACTGGAACTTTTAAAATTTACCTCTCTATGTGATGATGGTCCACGTTTTAATTTTTGAACTTGAAGATTTTGAAGTTCTTTTCTGATTTTATCTTCTTCACGGCTACCAAAATAAATTATTGACTAACTCGGTACAAATAACATAGCAAAAAATTAATTAAATTATGATGTTTAACGTCTTACTGTTCTCCTGTCTAGTCGTTCGGATGGGACGAAAAACCGAGGTCCCGTGTACACATTGGCGTGCACGTAAAAGATTCCTTGACAGTTGGAATTCGATATAAGAGTAGGCCGTAGTGCCGCTGTCCGGGCTAAATTTCCCCATCATAGCACAGTGTATGGCGTATGCCCGTCGCCATTAGCCCAGTTCGGAGCAGAACAGATATAAGGACGTTAAACCCCATTTCATTTTCATTTTCATTTCTTTGTATTTCATTTCATGTCCGACCCTCCGTCCAAATAATATAGCACAAGTACAATCTACTCATATACTTTAATTGGAGTTGATACGAGTGGCTGATGACTTACTTAATCGGTTTACTTAATCCACTCATTGATAGTACCGTTAACTTTTCAATTTATAAGTAGTTTGATTATCAAAAATTTGTAAATTGAGTTATTAATATCATATACACAATGCGGTGATTAATCCATTGCTCACACGCACTTAAGTCCATTCTCCTGATTAAATGACATTTGGGAATAGAATTGTTGTGATAATTTTAAGTTTATTGTCGTTAATTGTGAACATTCTTTACGGCTTTTTGAAATTATTTTTTTTCTAAACTTGCGGTGATTATTGACTAGTCACAGGGAATGGTGCTCTGTTTTCATTGCGGATTTCAAAAAGCCTTTAATAAACAATCAGCATAAGTATATTTTTGAAAAAAAATAATTCTAATAGGTAAGTGCCATATTCTGCGCGGTGGGAAATGGTGTGAATCTAAGAAAGGTTAATCTGAAACAAGTTCTTCTAAGCCTAAAAGACTGATCAACTTACTTCTGAACAATAAGTATCCGAAAAAGGCGCCAAACCAATGATGTGGACACGGGGTTAAGCGCTGGGCCCTTATTCACGAAAACTTAAACTAAGATACAATCGAAATTTTAGGAAATACTGCAATTCGATTGGCTGACCAATATGCAAATTGGATATATGCACATTGATTTTACTGGTCAGCCAATCGAATTGCAGTATTTCTTAAAATTTCGATTGTATCTTAGTTTAAGTTTTCGTGAATAAGGGCCCAGGACTAGAGTAACTCACTCCGTTGTTCAAATCCGGGATTCCTCAAAAAGATATTTCTGGCATGAGAGTGTATCTAGTGGTTGAATGGGTTCCGGGATTAAGATTGGGGATATATAAGATCATTAAATCTCTTTAAAGAGTATTTTAAATTAATTATGGTAAAAACGAACGCCCTTGCCTTAACCATCCTTACATAATGTTGAAATACGAAAGATCTTCCATAATTCGACATTATATTATAATATGTAAGGTTAAACAGTAATTCACCTGTATTGTTTCTGGATTCTGTCTAATATTTTTTCTTCTTTTTGAATATTTGATGAAGCTATAACATAACTTGGATGCGGCGCACTTTTCTTCGATAAGCACGAGCGTCCACCAAAACTCGCCATTCTAGCTGGCCATTAGGTAATACGTCAACTATTGTTGATTGTTATTACGTCATTAGTGTTGTTACCTATTGATGAATATTTAGCCATCTACCAAGATTTGTACATGATTTTGTCGGGTATATCAGTCTATCAGGGCCGGATTAAGACCCACCGAGTCCCTAAGCACAAAAAAGGATTTTGGTACCCGCATATAATATATGTAATTCAAAATTTAAACAATAAACAATAATTAACCACACACAACCGCCATGCACGTGACTAGAGTTTTTCATTGGGCCTGAAGTGTTATATAAACTATTAATTTGACTTATCAACTCTCGATGTCTTATGTGTCGGATTTTCACTGGATTTGAATCCGATCTGCTGCTCAACGCTCATTGATGATTACATTCCAAACTGGATAATCGGTACTATGTTTTTTATCGCACCGACTTTAGTAGTGATGATCGAGGCTTGGCTTAAAATTCAAAAGCTAATATCTCGGTTCAGAGTGGAGCAATTAGACTTGAATATTTTACTTACGTTGTCTATTTTTTTTTATCTATAATAGCGATAACAGTCAACTCTTTATCCAATTTCCCACAATTCCGCTTTAATTGCCACAAAACACGTAACAGTATGAAAAAAGCAAAAACAATGAAAAACTGATTGAAAGCTCTTAATTAATTTTATGATTAAATATTTTAAATTTGGCATCTAAAAAAGCTGACATTCTGTGGTGCCCCCATTACCATAATGCCCTAAGCACGTACTTATTTTTCTTAATGGTTAATCCAACACTGCATTCTATTGCATGCTGTTGAGTCTCTCTCGGTCTCTGTTAATATACAGCTTCTGGTTTATCACAATAGTCGATGTCGACCCCACTGTATTCCAAATAACCACATGTTTATGTTTTATCAACATAATAGATACTAATAATGAATCTAACATTTGAAATTATTAGAAATTAATAAACTAATCAACCTTTGAAATCCTTTTTGGGTCGTTGGTGGCGTTCAAAGATTGAGTTTGTATTCACTTCCCTGCCGATAAAGGTTGTGTGAACCAATGTTACCGCAGGTGTACATGATTTTGTCGGGTATATCATTCCATAACATGTTGTAGAGCACTTCTGTCGGTATCTGCGGATAGACATCTTCTGGTTTATCACTCAATTATTAGGAGAGACGAAATTTTAAAATCCAATTCAACTGTTTTCAAGATAATCATCAGTTTATGTTTTATCTAACATTTGATTTTAATTTTTAGTTTTCAAAGATGGAGTTTGTATTCACTTCCCATCAATCATAATGATACAGTTTACAGTCCCTTTTAAATTCAAATCGTAGCCTACATCTACAAAGTCGGATGCCTTTTACTTTAGTTGCATGTTTTGTGCTTATATAATAAGAGGTTCCGTTTCTATGACCCCGGCTGGAATAACGATGAACATTCATATAATATATCATCTTCTATAGAATGCTTGATCAAGCCCTTCACGTAGCCTGCATATTTCGTCAGTAATTTCGATTGGCTACTGACCCAGCTGGGGACCTCTCAGGTTCCTCGATAGATAATATCATCGCAAATACTAAGTCTCGCGCTTTCAAGCTAAAGTTCAAGGTTCATTCTATGTCAAGTATAAGTTCAGGAATTTCAGACTAATCTAGCAATGGCTATTGATGTTGTGAAACTCACGCTGGTTGCTTCAGAAACATAATACAAATACTTGTACATTATAGTGTACTTGAAACAGAACACCTCTCTTACAGATAAACCAATGTTGATAATGCCCCGTAGTACCAGCGTTTCAGAATAGTTTAAGCATACTCTGTCAAGTACACGACCACAACTATGACAGTATCATAATAAAGGAAGTAACTGTATTTTCACTTCTATTGGTTGGCTAGAAAGTTATAGCCTATATGCATTTTTGTATATAGTCAATATACACAGTTGGACCATAGATGTTATTGTAATTATTGTTTAGTCAATAAAATGTGTTATAGAATTGTTATAGTTTAGCTTTATTGTATGTTATTGATTAGCTGATCTAAGATTACAATAATAGTAATCGGCAATCTTGACACCAGATGGTTACTAAAGTTTGACAATAAAATATACTGTATTTATATCTTTATACACGTATAATTATAACTAACCTTTCTTCCTGTAAATCAATAACAGAGTATATGTATACATGTATATGTGTATGTTTTAGAATTAAACCATCTACAAATGTTGTTTCCTGGGAGGTAAAATGAAAGTAACATCATCTGAAATCTGTAAGTAAAAATTTTGTACAGATATTATGTTGCCTGTCAAATGTGTTAAAATGATTATTAATATCGGCGTCACATGCTTTGCAAATTACTTCAAAACTGAGCAATAAACGATCCCACTATAACCACCACCACCTCAAGTCTGTATTAATTTCTCATTCTCTTTTTATGGCCTTAGAATACAATCTGACAAAGAATGGGGAAGTTTACAGTGATATTGTTAATTAAAAATAAATTAATTAAAGTTTTAGAAATCATGATATTGAAAATATCAAAGGTCAAAAGAGATTAGATTGTTATTTTGTTTCAGGCCTACTTCATATTGTAATAGGATTTGTATATTTTATTGGAATTTCATCAAGCGAGAATGTTAGAAATCAAAATGTACGTCAAAGATCAAATATTAGACAATTAATATCACTACAGCAGCCATTTTGTTTAGCAGAGGTTAACAATCATACAGATGATGTAGAAAGTGCCAAGTGTAACTTGCTGCAGTTATCTAAACCTAGGCCTAAATATCCATTAAGGTTCATACAACCAAACAGGGTAAGGGACCATGTTAATATATCTCATTACGTAAGTCATACAACCAATGTATGATCCATTTAAGATGCATTATTTAAGAGCTTAATCTTCCTATATATTGCGCGTCTTTATGTTGGCTTCAAATGTGATATTAATTATTATTTGGACATTTATTCATTTGACGAGTCTATAACCAACTCTCTAGAACATCGGGTGGTCGAGATTTAAATGGGTTAAAGGCTCAATACCACTGAATAATATGTTCCAATCTTTATTCTGGTCAACAAATTGTACTATTTTACAATATTCCAATTAATTGTTGATAAAAATTTCATCTTAACACACCTAATTTAAAAAAAATGGAAAAATTCAACTAAATGATTTGAAAAGCCTGACGTAAAGCTTTTCAAATGTGACTTGGATTTAAAAATATTTTTGAACCCTCTGGACAAGTAAAATAGGATTTAATGGATAATTTACACAACAGGTAGGACACTAACACATCTAGTACTTAGAATAAGGCTATTTTTTTATTTTCTGGAGCTGTCAAGCCAGCAAGAGTGTTATTGTCCCTTTAAGAACACCCGCGAGATTTAAAAATGAAGGGTCAACTGGATAACCGCTGCTATGATAATAAACAATCTAAGCTACAATATATGTCAAAACTTCAAACACTGAAAACTTAGCTCAGATTAAAGTAATTTGAATAAAATTTTCAATATGGCCTATATTTATTTTTCATTATGAATTTTTGAATTATTATAGCAAGAACGGTCAGCTCTTTATCTAAATCGTACATAATAATTCTTTAATAATGTATCTTTACTGCCATTCACTGTTACACTATGGCGGTATTAGATTCAGAATTATAACATGCTTTCGTCTAATTTCTAACTTCTATTCATGTAATTTCTAACTTAAGACAATGTATGGTAGTCCCGAAATGTCTTAGTTTGTGTCGAGTGGACGTTAAATCCAATAAAATACAGTCGTTTACCTCGTTTAATGGTCTCGAGCTTAAGACTTTGCGTAATATATTGTAAAAACACTCGGGCCTACGGTCCTCTTGTTGGTACGATATATTACTTAATGTCTCGCTCTCGACCATTAAACAATACATAATGATTCCGACCAGGGCCCTGTTTCTCGAAATCTTAACTAAAGATAAAAATCCAAATTTTAGTAGATACTTCAATTTTGATTGGCTAACCACTAAAATCAATCTTAATATTATCCAATCAAATTACTAAAATCATGAAACAGGCCCCAGGTGTGCAATCACCAAATGAGCACGCAGTGGCGACACCAAACGGCTGCATAATGATGGTTGCCAGGCATAAATGTAGAAATTCTAAATTTGTTTGATGTTCATGCTAAACGTATAAAGTGTCAATTATACAGTACATTGTCTTAATTTAAAAATTAAATGAATAGAAGTTAGAAATTACATGAATAGAAGTTAACAATTACATGAATAGATGTTAGTAATTAGACGATAGGACGTTAGAATTTTGAATCTAATATACCGGCATAATACAGTGACGGTGTGTATTCTGCCACACAGTGACAGTGTATTCTTTAATGAAATATGAATCTTTACTTTGAAGATTGGTTATGTAGAAGAAATTCAACTTGTAGAAGGCAAGACACATACACGTAAAACATTGGCCCTCGACCCTCCTGTTTATGGTAATTAAGATTTCCTGACTTAACATTAACTAAATGTTATTTAAACAATGACTTAACATTGTGGGTTTATCATAGAATTATTACTGATCTCAACTCACTTAAAATACCCTAGAAAGATTAAAAAAAACCCTCATAGTGTAAACATCTTTGCTCTTTGACAACACCCATAACGCTTTTTTCAGTCATCTCATTTAGAATCATTAATATAGTAAGCATGCTTTAATAGATAGGAGATTCGTAACTAGAAAACAAAATCATACAAAATGTGATTATCTATGTAAATGCTATTGAATTTTATCAGAAATACCCAACTTTTTGACACCAGAGGAAACTGATATCATAAAAGGAATCGCAGAAAACAAGCAGTTATCACAGAGTAAGTTGTTTGGAGATGGCCAGGGGACGAGAAAGAGTGAATCAGCATGGGTTTCAATCAGAAAATTAAATAAGTCTATTACACGTTTGTCTGAGAGGTAAAGCTACCATCATTGATTATCTTGATTATGTGCGTAGATCTTATCCCGACTCCTACGCTGGAATTCACTATAGGATACGTAAATATATTGAGGTGTCATGAAATTTTAGGAATGCTACTTCATCCCGTAAAATTATCTTGTTTTAATTGTCCAAATACGTTCAATTTAATTTCGAGTATTTTGACACCTATGCCATATGATCCACCGTTGACCTGTAATTTTAATCGAAAAACTCACAGCAAATTAAATGAAATGCATAGTGCTCTTGAATTCGATCATATCCTAAACCATTGTTGGTTTTCTCGTATTATCTTTAGATATGAAAAATTAACTGAACTGCCGTCGTGGTATGTAAACCATGCTGAAAAAATGCAGGTAAGATTCCGTTGAGAGATGATCTAACTCATTCCGTTGCGAGACGATCTAAATCGCACCGTTACAACATACTCTAACTTACTGCGTTGCAAGATGATCTAACGCATTCCATTCCAAGATGAACTAACCCATTCCCTTGCCAGATGATCTAACTCATTCCCTTGCCAGATGATCTAATTGATTCCATTGTAAAATGATCTAACTGATTCCGTTTCGAGGTGATCTAAGGTATTCAGTGTAGAGATGAGCTATAATAACGCAATTTATGAAACTAACATTCCGTGCAATATTTTCCATAATGCAGACGTAATATGATCGAGCGTATATAGAAGCGTATTGGTATGGAAGGGTATCGCTGCCAATATTAAATGCTCTGCTACAATGTCTTTTCTATTGATTATATGTAAAAAGTACAATGTACAAAGTCCTAATAACGGGAATGATAAAGTCAAAATACCTCTAAGGCAAGAGTTAAATGTAAAACGTCAAATGTTAAGTGTTAAATGATAAATGTTTTGTGGGAAAATGCTTTTTTTGACGTGTCTACATTTTACATTTCTCTCATTACATTTTACATTTGCTCTCTGCCACATCCCAGTTGTCCTTCACGCATTCTACATAGCATGTTTCGCACAGCATCAACTTGCATATGCAAATGTAGGATTTCACGTGACTTATTAACATATACGGAAACCTGGCATACTATAAGCCAGAACAAGGATATTCACGACACATAACAGGAAATCACCCAGCACGTAATAAGAAATTTACTTACCTTGACACTTTGGATGGTACTTTACCATGATTACGATGGATGGGGGTGGGGCTGTGCAATGTCCAAATACGAAAATCCAGGTATCATGTTACATATTAATGAAAAGCACGTTCATTTCTGTTTGTAAATATGTAAATAGTTTTCTGGTACAATCACACTATTAAAGGGTATTCAAGTAAAGATACTGGTCTAAATACGAAATTCCAGATACCATGTTACGTATCACTGATTGCTCTTTTCAAAAATGCAGATAATTTTCTGGCACATTCATATTTGCTTAACTTTACAAAATAAGATTAAAGTTGAAGTGAAAGAAGGGGGGGGGGGGGACTAAACTAAAATAATGATACAGGGCTTAATCAAAAATTCTCTATGTCCATACTAAAAGATGTATAGTCATTCCTCTCTTTAAATATATTATTTATTTGTTGGGCACAATGCTTATATATTGTTGTTTTTTTAATGGATCAAAGTAGGCTACTCAACTCTGTTTATAGAGAGACCGGAAAGAGTGGGAGTGTTTAAAATATCAAAATACGGGTATTAATACGAAATTCCAGTTATTGTGTTATAAATTACTGGAAAGTATGTTTCTTTGTCTGTTTGAATCTATCGATCAATTATTTCCTGGCACATTCATGATTACGCACGGTCGTCTAGAGGGTTTCTTATGGTGTGCCAGCTTGATTTCTGTTGTCGTGCGGTGAATATCCTAGTGTGCTGATTTATAGTGTGCCGGGTTTCCATATATGTTAATAAGTCACGTGATACCCTACATTTGCATATGAAAGTTGATACTATGCGAAAGTTGCTATGTAGAAAGCGTGAAGGACAAACGGGATGTGGTAGAGCGCAAATGAGAGAATGTAATGAGAGAAATGTAAAATGCTGACACGTCAAAAAAAGCATATTCCCACAAAACATTTGTCATTTAACACTTAACATTTGACGTTTTAAATTTAACTCTTGCCTTAGAGGTATTTTGACTTTAACATTATCGGTATTAGGACTTTGTACATTGTACTTTTTACATATAATCAATGGAAACGACATTGTCGCAGAGCATTTAATATTGGCAGTGATATCCTTTCATATATTGGGGCCAATAGCGCGATAGATACCGCAGTATTAAGTTGGTAATATGTCAACATATCATGGTTGTTCTGATGAGTAAATGGAGTCAACGCGCTATGTTGCATGTCGTCATTTCGTATGACTTATACCCTTGAGAAGATCGTGATTAGGGTCGGGGGGGGGGGATAAAATTAAGTCTATGTCTCGTCTGGTCTATTTGTCTACTCGGTTCGGTAACAAATCCTGTAGATTGGTATAATTTGTAACGATATGCAAAATATCGATATGTGCACCGGGCGTTAGCATAGATAATTATACACAAAAACTGTATCAGTTTACATTATCCCCGCGATACGTGTACTATATATTTTAATATTAAAATACGTAAAACAAGTCTGATTGAAAAGACTAAAATTAATAACAATATTGTACTTTCTATTACAGATTGTAAAGTATGAAACTGGTGGATATTATTATACACATCATGATTCAGGTCCATATTATTTACCTGTTCATGATTTACCTTGTTGTAATCAAGTTAAATCTTGTACTACAAACCTTGAACAATGTTGTCAGCTGTGCAGGTAAATACTAAAACTATCATGTTCAATTTCTTAGATAAAATTAGAATAATTCTATGACAGTCGCCACATCTACAGGAAAAGTTACTTTGACGACTGCTCTACAGCAATTCGCATTATATCCCCGTACTCATTTGATACACCTTTCCCGTTTCCAGTTGTTTCCTTCGAGTTTATAACTTATTATTTGAACATTTATTATATGACAAGCACATAATCAACTCTCTGGGCCATCTGGTGGCTCCGATTTTAAGTAGATTAGAACACGGCGGCGTTTTAAGAATGTAACGATACAATAGATAATCGATTGGTAAGTACCCTTGCGACGATAATAAACAATCTACCCAACAATTTGTTAAAACTTCAAACACTTATAACTTCCCACATAATTAAGTAATTTGACTGACATTTTCAATATTATAGCAAGAACGGTCAGCTCTTTATATATAATCATTTATCTATGCATCTTTAACTTAAAAAAATATCTGGGAAAGGGGACTGAATGGCCGAATGGTTTAACACATGCATTATTTAGCATAGGGGGAGGGGGCAGAGAAAACCCACAGGCTGGACAGGCGACCCTACTCATTGTCACGTACACAAGCTTGGGTTGAAACCACGTGAGTCAGTGACAGACTTTATGATCTAAAGCGTTAGACCACCCCCTTTATCTAAATTACAACCAGGCGGAGGGCACAATTTATTGTAAGGTTTCCGAGTGATATTCTTAAAAGTTTTTTTGATGGTAGTTGATATAAGTAAACAAGTGGTAATACCCAGGCTAATAGAATTTTCCACGTGGTACTTTGACAATCAAATTGATATATACTAAGTTATTGCATATTATATTTAAGAGTGATGACTGTAATGGTTTACCTGAATGATGTAGAAGAAGGGGGAGAAACGGCTTTCCCCGTTGCAGATACGGATACAGAAACGTTACATGTAAAGAAATATTATATTTTCTTGAACTTCAAAGAAATAGCTTTTAAGATATTGTCCGTTAATCGGTTGAAAGATGTACATTTCATATTTAGTACTCGTGGATGTACTGTGACATATTTACCTTTTTTTTTTCTTTTTTTGTCTGTCAACGTTTTTTTTTCCTTTTTTTAAAATAAAACATTACGGCTTCGTGAACGCGGTCGACTGTAGATGTATCAATGAAGATGTTTGGAAACAAACGATGAAGTCTTAGTTTTCTATTTATCTTCTCGTAGGAATATTTGTCTGATGTAAATAACAGGAATCTGACCACCAATTGTTTTAAGTCTTCTCTTCTGGTTTCACCAAAGACAGGAACGGCCGTCATGTGGTATAATCATGAAGTTGATGAAATGGTAAACGAAAATACATTTAAAATGGCACTGTCCAAGTATAATTTTGCATCATATATTTTGCTGAAATTTTATTGAATACATGTACAGGCATAAGGGTTAACAAATTCCAATATTTATATCAATGGTATTTAATTATCAGATTTCTCCAGAACGTCTCTTTCGGATTGTGGCTGCTGATCATTAATGCTTAAAATGTCTTTATAATTTTAGACTGGACTAATGGGAAATCTGATTTTGCGATCATATCATGGTGGCTGTAATGTTCTTAAAGGTGTAAAGTGGATTATAAATTTATGGATATGGTTTAATGCGTGATGATTATGTATTTGTATAATGGTTTTAGAAAAAAGATTAAAATATGTTTTTGCACGGAAACTGTTTACTGATGTTTTTGTTTGCTTTTGTTGTCACGAGTAGTCCAGAGCAGTCCACCTATCAACGATTTTAAATGGAATTTTATAACCATGTGGACAATATTCTGCTAATTTGAACAAATTCTATATAGAACTCTCCCCTGCATCGCGTTGCCCTGCTTTTAAATTTTAATGAAAAGTCAAAACTTCTGTAATACTGCCGTGTATTTAACAGGCCTAAGTCTGAGATTTAAGTTTATTATATTTAATTTAGCGCTAATTACTGTAATATATGCATAATCCAATGGCACTGTTCAATTAATAAAACATATAACTCATTATGTACATAATGAAACCATAAGGTCTGGCATTGAGTTAATTTAATTATGTGCAAAATCGCAGATATGCAGGTATCGCCCTCTCTCCATTTCAAGGGATTGTGTGCGGTTTTAGTTTTAAAATTTTTAACAACTTGCAGGTATGGCACAGTAATGTAGAATAGCATGTGAAGAAAACTGGGCCGTTTATACTACCTTGAGGAACAGAAAAATTTATATCGACTGGTGTTGAATTAGTTTGATTGATGTTAACATTAAAGCCTCTACCAGAGACATAGGAAGCTACCGATTCTTTTGCTTCCACAAACTCAAAAACACTTTTGAAGGATTTCACAGTATCAAACGCAGCACTAAGATTTATGGCAACCAATAGAAGGGGATAATTGATGTTCCATATTATAGGATGTCGTTATATATTTTAAGGATTAATGTTTCTGTAAGTCTATGAATATACATTTCTTTACAAGGGCATCTGCAATTGCTTTGTTTGGACTGGTCAGGTTTAGAGAGCACGCATCTCCACATTTCCAGGGAGTTGAATTACGTCAGTTTCTATAAAGAAGAAACATATCATGCTTACCTGCGTCCGGTTTGGATCGGTCCATCCTTTAGTTAGAAAACAGTATACCTAAATCGTGATATTTATTCAAGTAAAATGCTAAGTCCACATAATATACAATCGGTACTCAGCCAGTATCGATCCCTACAAATATAATGAGTATATGAGAAATAGTGTATAACAAATACAACAGCAAATCAAATGTTTATATGAATAATACACATTATAGAAGGCGCTGAAAAGTGCTTTAGGGAGAGTTACATAAAAATTACGAAAAACAGTATAAGCGGCCTGGTAAATTATTTAGCGACGGACGTCATATGAAAACAGGGAAACAAAGATACGCACCAGGTAGCTGAACCGATGCGGTCTTACTCGCACTTACAATCGAGCGCTCGAGATACTGAGTCGATCGCTTGAGATAATTAAGTCGAGCGCTCGAGATAATATAACCGAACACATCTCAACCAATGTTTTAAGCTGTATAATTGTGTGCATAAACTTGCAGAATAAAGATATTCATTAAAATTTGTTCGTTTTTACAACCCATCGACCCCCCACCCCACACACTCCACCCTATGCTCATCACCCCCACTCGGTATTTCCCGTTATATTTACCCCCTTCCAAATGGGGAGTATATCACATGTTATTATACAAATCAATAATTCTATATATCGAGGTTACAGAGGTTATTTCCTTTTCTCTAGTGCGAGTTATAAATAGACAATTTTTCCCTTAATTTTTTTTCTCCCCTCTTCCTGCATTTTTGGGTTGACTTTTTGGTCTAGAATTGGAGAAAATGGATCAAATTTGCAATTTCATAGCAGTTTTAATACTGATGATATTACAGAGGAGGGATGGGGGTGTAAAGTGTCTTTCTGCAGAGCAATTATTGTGTCGGAAGTGAGATTTTCACCCCAGTCAACATCAAATCCCCGTAGCAAAAAAAAGAAACGGTCAACGCTCTACAAGATTATGATGAGGAGATTGCCAAATGTGGTCCTCATTGTGCCTATAAAGATTGGAACCAACGGAATGCTGAGCAAAAAACTACAGCCTGTGGTGTTACAGCCATTTAACATTGAAGTCAGTGGGCAAATAATTGCTAGTCATAGACCATACTCACCGGGGGGGGGGGGGGGGGGGGGGTATTACATAGCAGATACGCGCCTATTTTATTTCACATAAGTGACCAATAAGGAAAAGGAACTGTGTAATACGTCATTGTGATGATATTTAATATCGAATGTTTTCAACAGTCTAACAAATCATGTATTGTAGTGCACTATATCGGAAGAATAAAGAATACATATATTATATCAATGTTTGCTCCCTTCAATCTTTTGTGTGAAGAAACCAGTTTAGTCTCACCGGAAGTAACAACCATAAACAGAAATATTTCAAGATGAGTCAAACTCGAACTGGATCAGAAATTCGACAGTCGTAAGATAGTTTCATTTCAGTTATTCAATATACTATTCCGAACAGGCCTATATTTTATTGAAATTAATTTATTCTTTCCAAAAAACGAGGCCTGTAACATTGTAAATAGATCTTGAGCGTAATTTACAAATTACAGTTAATAACATCTCTGCGAGTGTTCCCGAATCCCATGCATTGCAATTGCAATGTCTCGACAGACGCCAGTTTCCAGTGACGGTGCATGGAAAGACCTGGAAATAGAATATTACAAATTATGCATTTCATGTATATGTGGATATTCCTTTGAGACATTGTATTGACAATCGAGCGGCGGGAGGTTGTTTGACCGAGCGAGGAGCGACTGTAGCCGTAGGTCCCAATTCACGGCTATTGTATTTAAGAAACGTCAGATGGTATTGGTAGGTTTCTAGTAACATGTATTTCAATATAATACATCAGAGACCGAGGCTAGCTACAGATATTTGTAAAAAAGTGTTGGTGTATTAAATGTCCGTCAAAGCTGTTCATTGTTGTTAAAATTTTTGGACAATATGAATCTAAAATTTTGTGGCTGAACAGTGAAATGTAATGTTCAATTAATTCAGAAAACAAATTTACAATATCAAGGCCAGGGTAGATCATCTCTTGTCTTGGATACATTCCGATTAAAAAGAGGCTTATGAAAATATTGGAGCGGAGATTATACATGTAGATCGTACTGGTTTGTTTTGATCATATCTTGTTTGTTGGCTAATGTCTGCCAAACAATTTTTTAACTCGTCATCTTACATCTATGTAATACTGAACATAATTGAATTATTTTCGGACTGATATCCCGTAGAGTTTCAATTATCACGATATTGTACTTTGAAATGCCGGTAATTTTTATCTATATGAAATTTTTGTCAGTTCAGCAATGAAAGTTTAATTGGCTGCAATTTTTCAGTGAGGCACAATCAAAAATGATTCAGGATCGAATAACATCCATTGAACGTCATCTTGGTACACTTTGTGATACTCTGTCATCATACACAAGAAAAACAGCAAGATTACGAGATAAAGGTAGACATTTTATTATAGATCATATTTCCGGACATCTTTTCCATTTTCATCATACCACTTCCAGTACATTATTTTCTACTCTGAATTTCTTGATTAAGCTTAATTATGTAATGCAATTTATTGCTATGCTAAGAATATAGAGTAAACTTACTAAACTGTCATCCAAAAGTAATATATACCACCACTTTGATCAGTAATTATAAAACAGCAAAAACCAGTTTAACAAAAAAAAAATTATATTTCATTAGAGTAGCCTATTCATATCTGCATAATTTGAATGTAAACACATTTTATCAATAACAAACATAAAGAAATTAAATGAACAATGAAATTTACACAGTGTAGAGTCATGTAAGGTTGTCTAATAAGTAGCGAGTATGGCCTCCTTGAGCATTGACACATCCAAGAATATGTCGGCACATGGATGACATCGGGCATATAATGACGTTCCGTGAAATCTGTTGCCATTCATCAATCAGACACTGTTGTTGTGGGTTGGCGGGAGGCACAGGTCTATTCCTAATCGGCCTATCGAGATGGTCCTGCAAAAGTTCAATCCGGTAAAAGGCCACGGTAAAACGTGCACATTCATGTTGGTCAGGTAGTCCTGTGTCAGCCTGACTGTATGAGGTCATGAGTTGTCATGTTGAAAGATGATACCATGTGGCTGTTGGTGAATAAATTGAGGTTGCCATGAATGATGACTAGTCTTGTTTTCAGTTCACCACAGATTCCTCCCCACATTCATAACACTACCTCCGCCATACGCCAAGACTTTCTGTACACAGTTACCCAGCACGTCTGTATACTCGTTGACGGCCATCAGCTCTGTACAAGCAAAATCTGCTCTCATCAGAAAAGAGGACACATGACTAGTCTCCGACTTGCCAAGGTCGAACTTGTCTTACCCACTGGAGCCTGTTACGCTGGTGTTGTTGCGTCAATAATACCTTGCAGTAAGGACGTCATGCTCTAATCCCCTGCTCACACAGTCGTTGTGATACTGTCTGATGACTGATACGATGTCCGAGCAGTGTCGCTGCCATTGCTGTTGCAGGGATGAAGCGGTTTCTGAGGTGGATGCCTCTGGTGTTGTGGTTCTCCTGCGGCGTGGTCACCTGGGGTCTCCCACTTCACGGCCTGTCTACTGTCTGACCTGTCTGCCGTAGACGCAACAGCCTGGTGATACATACACGGGTGCAGCCAAAGGTTCTTTTGACTTGGGCATGCGACGCTCCTTGTTGGGCCATTCCTACAGCTCACTCTCTCTGAACTACATTTTTCTTGTGTGCTTTTTTATGCTGTGACAATGTCTCGTGTCTTCAGTTAGTTTTATACTTTTTTATACTGGTTACTTTTTCACAAAATGAGAGTTTGGGCAAAAGGGTTCGCAATTACGAGAATCAGAACATATTAAGACAAGAGCCATTAGTTTTTCACATGTTTCTGTTCAGTTTCGTGGATCTCGGTTCAAAACTAAAATTTTAAACGACAAATATATTTGGTATACTTTCTTTTGGACGTCAGTATAGTAGGCTAGGTATCATTTAGCGACTATACAGTAGCATTTATATTGCTGAGTAGGCTTATCAGATACTTTGCTGTTGACTAGTGTTAAAGTTCTTTTAGTGGTTTTCTAGCTGGCTTCTGAAATCCTTAGTTAATGAGTTTGCATCGTAATATTTATTGTGGGGTTTATTTTTGCCAGGTGATTTGCTTGCTAAAGAAATAGTGAATTATGCTGAATATGAAAAGCTAAATCCATCACTGAAAAAAGGTTTAACAACATTTGCTGAACATTTATCAGCTGTACAAGATCACAGACAGGCGGAGGTTAGTACAACCTATAGTGTAACATAAGAAACGTAAGGACAAAGGGTAACAGAATCACATTACAGAGGCCTATAGATATATTGCCATATTTAAATGTAAAAAAAATTAATGACTGAAAGGTGTTTTTTGTTGAATGTACAATCCAAAGCAGGCATTTTGATCTATGTTCACCCTAGCCCATGGTCAATTTGTGTATGCAAATGAACTTGCCTCTAAAAATGAATGGTCTGACCCAAGAAGCCTTAATGGCGTGGAGGCGGCATGGCTTCATTTTGGTGAAGTCATCTCTGCCATATTGGTTAACCCAATACAGCATCTCTCTAATTATTTTGACAATATGCCAGGCTGTTTTGGGTGTGAAAAAAAAATAAATATAATATTTCATGTGACCAAAATCCTTTTGCCTTCTAGTTCTAGTCAACAAAATAAAGTGCCCGAAATCCCATTACTGTTTAGCCAATCTGCATTGTGTGACATTTTTTCGGACTTTAAATTAACTAATGGATAAAACATTTAAATTGGTGTAATAAAAACTTTCTGGCGCCACTCTAAGGGTAGTGACTCTGCTTTATGGGTGTTATTTTTTTTTCTTGCCTCAATCATTTGCTTTATCAGTTTTTCAGGAAGTAAATTTCTGTGAATGCAACTGATTGAGCTCAGATGTGCATTGGGTTGAATTTATTTTGCAAAACCATATAATTAAGGCCATATTTGAGCACCTTCAGTTTGCTGTATTTACGGACTGAATTAGAACCCCCGATATATACGCCAACGAGGCTTTCGATTTCTGTCGACCGGCTTTGCCTGCCGTGGCCTCGAGGAGTCTAATCAGGAATTTTATTGACCATTTCATTTCTGCTCCTCTCTACTGAAATACAATGTACCAACGCTAGATAAACTCCCTGCTTGGATTCAGTGAGATTAAATACACATACATGTAATATATTTCAAATCTAATAAAATGAAATGAATGATTGCTGTAATACAATACCATGTAATTTATGATTTGATTTGTTATGTTGTGCCAGATAAATATATCTATCAACCATACTGACATACAACTTGCATTTGTGTGTGCAACGGAAAATGACCAGAATATGCCCGGTTTTAATGTTGACATTTTCATAAATCTATACAATCTGCTGTTTGAGATGATATTTTTGATTCTATAGCTTTTAAAGACATTACATGGTTTATTATAATTTATTGATTTATTATTTATATCTGTATACATGTATGTTGTAAAACAAATTTCACCTGGGATAATTAGGTATTATGTTACTCTTGTTCTTAAAAAAAGGTAGTTTTATTTACTCCACACAACCGATTAATTTTAATGTTTTGGGTTGACCATAATGGCATCACTGGCCTCATTCGTCATGATGGTAAAAATGACGTTATGCCGTCTTCAGTTCATTGAAACTTCTTGGTCTGACCCTTGACTTATATTTATGTTATGTAATTTTACATTTAATCTGACAGAGAAATATTTAATTAAATTGATTCCAGGTTGAAAGATTAGATGCTAAATCTGTTCTACCACTCAGTAACTATGGATTATTGTGTAAACAAACAAAGGTAAACAACAACAAAAATAAAACACCTGATACCACTTCTAAATGTATAAATGAGGAGTTCATTTATTTGCATTATTCATTGAACTTCTACAATTTCAATAAGTACTTCTAGAGTTATGGCCCTTGTTTTACATTGCAATATCGTGTGTAGTTATCATCCAATCTGTGTAAAAATTTATATTCATTACCCTGTATGTCTCTCATTTCACTTTGTAGAATCTTGTAAGCATTCTTGACGAATTATGATCCTTGCTTGTTAAAATGTTGTGGACATATAATATATAGGTTTATGAGTTCCAATCTATTTAATCAGTGTTGTTGACATGTTGTATGTTAGTTTTAAATGTTTATATCTTCAACATTTAATTTGTTTATAAATTTCAGAATGAACTCAAATCAGCTTTTTCTGCACATGATAAAGAACAAAGTCAAAGAAAGAAACTAGAAAAGATTCAAAATAAAAATCCTTCAGATAGAGAACAAATTGTATCCTTTTGAACGGGTTAATCGATATGAAGTATTGAAATCCATGCTACTAAAGCAGTGGACACATTAGCCGAATCGTTCGGCCGAATGAGTGGACACACTAACTGAATGCTTCGCCCGATTCAACCTGTCGTTTGCATCACCTTTCACGTCACATGATTAAACATGGCGGCGTCTATGTCTTCAATCTATCACGTGACTTCTGGATATGAGTGGTGATTGGCTAATGAATTCTATATTCGGCCGAATGCTTAGGCGAAGCGGACACACCAGGCGAATATAATTCGGCCGAATATATCAAACCTGTTTGATTCGGGCGAATAGAAATTCGGCCGAATGACAGTGGACACACTAGGCGAATATCGACGCCAATTGATTCGGCTAGTGTGTCCACCGCTTTAGGTTAACAATTATGAACATTTTGTCTGGAAGAAAAGTGAAATTATCATAACAAGTTGTTGATGATATGGTCTGCTATAAATCTACTACATGTACTATATCACTTTTCTTACTTCCTAATATAGATTTGAATAAGATTGTGTAGAGTACATGTACATCGCTATTGTTCATGAAAAACTGTAAACTGATGCATGATATTCTCTCCTGCATGGGTATTGATGTATAGAATTTCAAGTTATTTCCTTATCTTTGTTTTTAGCAACAGGTAATTATAATGATAATTGATGATGAATGATAATCTACATTGCTGTACATTTATAGAACATTATGGAATTCTTCAATATTTCTTTTATGGCATAGTATTATAGTATTTTAGATTGTATAACATCCTCTTGTTATTTTTTTTTTTATTTAACTACAGGGCAATTAAGATATTTAAAACAAAGTACAAAAAATAGAGAGTCATTTGTATGCAAATTTATTTAGAATACTTAATTCATAGCAAAAGTTTATTCGGAATAGAATAAGAATAATTAGTTAATTTTAGGCCAAGAATGACCTACAGAAGGCAAGTGTTGATGCTACAAGAAGTGAACGAGCTTTAGAACAACAAATGGAAACATTTGAAAGTAAAAAATTAGCAGATGTAAAGGTAATTAGATACAAAATTAGAAACTTTTTTATGCATAGTGTCATCAGAAAGAAACATATAACAATATTACATGCTGAAATGGATATTATTTATCATCGAAATTCAAACTGGAAAAAGCTGTAATCATCAAATAGATCAAAAAGGATTTAAATTATGGTTTCTTGTTATAGTTTTCTTTGAAAATTGGTATAGACTATAGATATAAGAAGAGATAATTGAACCAATGATAACTAATTCAGGTATTGAGATATATACACCATCAATTTCTGCTTTTTGTTTTCTAGAAAATTTTGAGTGATTTTGTAAAGATAGAGATGATATTTCATGCTAAAGCTTTAGAAGTTTATACACAGTGTTTTCAAAGTCTGTCAGACATAGATCCTGAATGTGATTTAGAAGTAAGTTCAATTCACAGTAAATCTACCAATATAGGAATTTTAAAAGGAGGTGAAGTTATGAAATGGGGAATGAACCTGCAAAACGGAGATTACAGCCAGGAAATGGGAATTGCTAACTTATATGATAAAAATGTATTAAGAAATTGTATTAAATGAACATTTCTATTACACAGTTAAATGAATTTAATTTTCTTTATTTTTCAAGGAATTTTTAAGACAAATTCATCCAAATGGTGGTAGTACTAAAAGGATGTCTATTGCCTCTACTGTATCAAATATATCAGGGGAAACACCAAGATCCACACCATCTAGTCGTCGGCAAGAACAGAACAATACTCCTACTAAACAAACAACACCAAAACAAAAACATACCCCCAAACAGCAACAAACAACATCTAAAACACAAACAACACCAAAACAACAAACTACACCTAAGCAACATCATACACCGATACAGGTTACCCCAAAACAACAATCCACTCCCCCCAAACAAAGTGCTATTAGTGTAAGATCCCAGAATTCAACACCACCTACATTAAAAGGTTCCTCTAATAAAGCGAACAGTTCACCTGCTAAAAGGATTATTCCTGTAGGGGTAAGTTTAAAGTACAACTACATTCTACATTTTCCCACATTCTGCTTTAGATTGGCCAATCTACTGTGGACATTACTTCCGGTGATACTAGGGGGGTTGGATGACTGAATGGTTAGCGTGCGCGCACTGTATCATAAAGTCTGTCATTGAGTCGACTGGCCTGGTTTCGAATCCCCGGTTGTATGTGACAAGGAGTAGGGTTGCCTGTCCAACCTGGTGGGTTTTCTCGGGGTCCTCCGGTTTCCTCCCACTGCTAAAGACCCCTATGCCCAAGCGAATTATTGAAATAAAATTAAACCATATGTTAGTCCCGAAATGACCTAGTTTGTGTCGAGTGGACGTTAAACACCATTTCTCTCTCTTTCTTTCATTGAGAATCATAACTAAAGATATATGGTGAATATAAAATAAAAAACTTGTGTTTATGTTATTTCTGGCTCTGTATATATGTAAAAATAATTCATTGGATTTTACACTGCAATAAGACTGGCAGAAATCAGATGTAGGGCTTTCGCATAGCCCATGTGCATAAGTGATACAATTCACTTGCAAACTGAGGACTACATTAATACAAATTTTTGCCATTAAAGCATACAAGTCATCATTACTCTAAATTAATGTTTAGTATGCAAAGAATATGGTTAGAAATTATATACAGTAGTCATTAATTAGCAGGTGTGTAAATAGCTGTAAAAGATGACACTACTGGTGTTAAAGTGTGACTAATATCCATCACTATTGAATACACAATGGTGATGTATATCAGTAATAGTCACAGTGGCATACACCTACTTAAAGATGTCTTATGCAAGAGGTAAATCTGCCTATTGCAGGTCTTTCTTTAGGCCTTAAATGTTATATAAATTATTAATTAGACATTTATTAACTTGCCAAGACCGTAACCAACTCTGGATGCCATCTGATGCTCGAGATTTTCAATGTATTTAAACACATTGGCGGTTAATGATTTAAAGATACATTATATAAGATTTAGATAAAGAGCTGACCATTCTTGCTATAATAGCTCAAAAATAGATAATGTAAAATGAAAAATTGCAAATTTCATTCAAATTACTTCATTCTGAGCCAAGTTATCACTGTTTATATGTTTAATTTAAAAAATGGATAATCAAGACTTTGTTTACTATCATAACAATGGTAGCAATAACAATCAGACTCTGCTATTCTCCAAACAGCCCTAACGTAGCTCAGAATGAAGTAATTTGACTGAAATTTTTAAGATATTCCCTTTTCATTATCTAGTTTTTAACTGCTATAGCGAGAACTGTCAACTCTTTATCTAAATCTTACATGATGCATCTTTAATATGACTACCCACTATTTTAACTGACTAGGCTACTAAATATTACGCATATTTAAAGTCATGTGTCATAATTAAGTGGACGATATCAAGTTTACAAATGTAAGCAAATAGGGTAGGGACCCTTTGGGACCATACCTTTTCATTAATGTCACCCGGTGCAAAGTTTCTTAAAGAGTGAGTCCATTTGCATTAATGGGATTTTCTATCGGCATCATTTTTGCCATTATCAGGAATAGCTCAATTATTTTAAACAGCATTTCTACTATTGTCCTCTAAAGTTATAATTCATTTTGGTCTGTTATGTTTAATTCCTATAAAATGAAATTAATTTGCTCTGTCCTATGTATTGTTCTGACCTCAAGAGCAAGTTAATAAGTAAACTAAATTTCTACTTAGACAACTAAAACCATTACAACAGGAAAATTTTGATATTGATGTCCTAAAATGTATATTTTGTAGACATTAAAAGATGACAGCGAAGAGGATGATGATGATGATGACGATGATATTAGTGAGTACGAAGATGATGATGATAGTGATTGGGATGATACAACAGAAGCCAGTACAGCTAGAACACCAAATGGCAAAGTGAAAAAATAGTTAGATATTAGTTGATTTAAAGTATAGTAGTATTATCCGTCCATATACTTCCATAATATTCTGTCTTTTATTATGTTTATACAGTGCTCCCTTAGAGTATAGAAGTCCTTTTCATGAAAAATTAAAAATTATGCACAGTATAATCATCAGTTCTAAAAGTTTGCAACAGGACAAAAAGAGGATATTGATTTTTCACTAATCTGTTTCTTGTGTGGTAGAGCTAAATCTGTGATGAAGTAAAATATGACATTAAATTATCAAAGGTACATATGAATTTAAAATTAGGTAACTATCGATGGACTCTTATTCTTAAATGTAGTTTTAAGTGAGCACATAATTCACTTCAGTAAAACATAATGTATGATATATTATTAAAGGTAAACAAATGCTTTTTTAATCCACTGTACATTTAAATCAAATATGAACAGGGTTTTGACATTTTAAACAGAATGTGTGTAGTTCTGGTGTTTACAGAAGTTGCATATTACTGTATATAAATTTATGTCTGCATTTTTAAATCTTCTTGCCTTGGGTATGCACATGTTTGTGTCAACTTAAATCCATCTATGTAATATACATATCTTCATAATATCCATATTTATCATACATACATGTTGTGTATAAGGCCATGGTCATAAATCATATTGTAAGTTAACAGATTGATATAGATTTTATATGAATGCAATCCAATTTGAATATTTTATTTAATCGTCCAATTAGCATCGGGTTGCCTTAAATTTTAATTTCATTTGAAGGCTTTTAAATTTGATTACAACAAACTTTCTTATAGTGCTATGATAAATGTTTCTAGTGTTGTGTTGAATTAATCTACAGTTTTTATTGTCATCACTATATATTTGTTATTTATTTACATGTTAAATCTCATTAAGAAAGTTATAGCATAATAGATCATTAAATCCAAAAGCTCTTATCACACTAGATGGATTTCTTTTTAGCTGGTAGTGAGCATCATCAAAATTTCTAAAGAATATGTTGAATTTGCTGGTGCCAATTCGTTTATAAATTTGTCTTATTTTAGCATATATAAGATTTAATTATTTGTCACCAGTGAAAAGACTTGGCTCCCAGGAGCTACTGAATGCACCTAGTGTCTTAAAGGCTCTATTTTATGTTATCATTTATTAAGAATTTATTTTATTTAAATTAAATACTTGTATAGAGAAAATAATGTGATAATCTCTGGTAGCATGAACTTTTATTATAATGTTTTATTCTTTCTACACACTGTTTAAATTGTATATAATAAAGCATGATTATTGTCCTTGTTAAACTTGTCTTAATACATTAACAGGACAAATGAAGATTGACATACACCATGCAGTGCACTGTGCGGTTTGCCAGGACAGTGGCCCTGAGGCTTACTGTTATTACTAATTCAAACTGTCAATTTTTCTTTATAAACCACCCTGGTAGGTCGAGGGGAGGGTGAGGGCGAATGGGTAACTTGTGCACTTTGCATCATAGGGTCTATAATTGAGTCAGGTAGTGCTGTTTTGATTCCAGATAAAACTAGAGAGGGTGAATATTGTGTTCAGATCATTCATGTGACTAAAAACCTTGATGTAACTGTTGAAACTTCGCTGGATTGTTAACCTAGCGGTTCAATTCCAGTGTAGGCTAAGAAAGTATCTCAGAATTTTCCAGTGTGGTTTCTCCTTGTTAGTGTTGATGGACAGAGGGCCTGGAAAGAACAGTGTTTAGTTGTGCGGTTGGCACGAAAAACTGAGGTCCAGTGTGAAGGTAAAGGAAGCCTTGAAAGTTGGAATTTGATGAAGAAATGTTGCTGCCAGGGCAAAATTCTCCTCATACATAGCTTCTGTCATTATTAGCCTGGTTGATGGAGAAAAATTTTGGGGTCACAAAAAATCTCTTCTTAATTGAGTTAGAATGTTCAAACCTGGTGTATGTGTTAACAGGTGTATGCATTGATGGAATTCGAAGATGGGCATTTTCTGTTAGGGTAAGCAGAGATAAGCAATTTGATTGCTTGATGCTTTGGTACACGATTTTATTCTAATTAAACATGCATTATGCAAGAGCAAAATCAGCCTATTGTAGGTCATTCTTTAGGCCTGAAATGTTATAAAAACTATTAATTAGACATTAATTAACTTATTCAGACCATAATCAGCTCTCGATGTCAAGGCTTGCCTGCGATATTTGTTGTATTACAGTCCGATTTGCTGCAAAACTTTCCTTCGTGATTAACGATTAAATGGATAATCAAGACTATTAGTTTTGTCTTATCGACTTCAGTAATGATGATCGAGGCTAAGCGGAACTTTCATCCGCTTAGTTCTCGGTTCATAGTGGATCAATTTGACTGAAATTTTCAGCAAGTTGCCTTTACATTATGTAGTTTTTAACTATTATAGTGAGAACTGCCAACTCGTTATCTAATCTCCCATAATGTATCTTTAAGTGAGAGTGATGAAACTTGATGTTTAGTTTCATTACCTCAATACTTTGACTTAGTTCGATAATGCGCATTTTCGGCTCAGGGTAAGCAGAACAATAAGCAAATTGATTTGTCAAGACTTGGAACTCCATAAGTTTGTTTCTAATTGAGTGATAGTGGTGAAACTTGGTGTATAGTTTCATTACATCAATACCGTAACAAAGTTTGTTGCTGAGCATTTTCTGCTTAGGCAATGTAGAGACTTCAATCTGATTGGTCTAGAATTTGTAACACAATAACTCTTCTTCTAATTGAGGTAGATTGTTCAAAAATGGTGTAGATGTTTATTAGGTGAAAGCAGAGACAAGCAATTTGATTGGTTGAGGCTTTGGAACAAATAACTTTGGTTCTAATTGGTTGAGAAAGATGAAACCCAGAGTATACATTTATTGTATCAGTACCTTAACTAAGTTCGATGATAGGAATTTTCTAAGTAGCAATAAGCATTTTGATTGGTCAAGACTTTGGAAACTAATAACTTTGCTTTTAATTAAACATACATTATGCAAGAGCTAAATCTGCCCATTGCAGGTCTTTCTTTAGGCCCGTGTTATCAAAATTATTAATTAGACATTAATTAACTTATCTAGACCATAATCAACTCTCGATGTCAAAGCTAGTCTGTGATATTTAATGGATTAGGATCCGATTTGCTGCTCAACTTTCATTGGATAATCGAGACTATGTTTTTATGTACCGAATTATGATGATCGATCGAGGCTAGGCCGAAAATTAATTGCTAAAATCTTGGTTCAGAGTGGATCAATTTGACTGAAATTTTCAGCAAATTCCCTTTACATTATCTAGTTTTTAACTAGTATAATGAGAACTGCCAGCTCTTTATCTAATCTCCTATAATGTGTCTTTAAGGTAGAATTTTTAAACTTGGTGTAGATGTTCATTAGGTGAATTTCTTGACTGAGTTCAATGATTAACATTTTCCACTAAAGCTAAGCAATTTGATTTTAACTGATGGAAAGCGAGGAAACTTTGTATAGAGTTCCACTACCGGGTGCTTCAAAACCATGACTAAGTTCGACGTGTACATTTTCTACTTAAACTAAGTATAGATAATCAGTTTGATTGCTCAATACTTTTCAAAAAGATAAATGTGCAATTAATTGATATGTGTCATCTAGTTATAATTTGGGATTGTGACGGGGACATCAGCCTCACTGTTGGCTTGTTTTATTGTTGAATCCATTCAATTTTCTAACACTGAATAGGTCATCTTACTTAGCTATCATATTAAATATGATATGAAAAACAACATGTTGATTTTTTTCATTCAAAAGTATATAATATTTTACTTTTAATAAATTTTACAAGCAATATAGTACATATTATTATAACAAAAAAATAAATTACATTATGAGGTTACAAATGACAATTAAAAAAATGAAATACATATAGACTTGTACACAAAGTAAGTATTGAATAAATTGTATTATATACTAATAAATATCACAGATGAGACAAAATAGACAGTAATCTACAATACCTGATAAAATATATAAACATAAAATAGTCATGTCGGAAATATACTCTCAAAAAATACATGAGATCACATAAGAAATTGCTGGTTAATTAATTTAAACAAAAATTTTAAATTTATAATTGGTCATAAAAGTTGATGAAGATATGTTTGACTAAAATTATGTATTATGAAAATATTAACTTGTACAATCTAAAATAATGATATTATCCCTAGTGTATTGTAATTTTTACAGATAATTTGAACTACAAATAAATAAATATAATAAATATTTAAAGATCTGATGTACAGTTTGAACAGGCTGAGATTGTTCAGATAATAAACAGTTTGAAAATAAAGAGATAGTTAATTAATGTTGAAATATCAGGAAGGAATTACAAACCATGATTTGTATTATTAATTAAATTAAAGTAGTTTTGTAATGAAATACAAATGAGTTGCTATTGATGTTAACTAGTAATTTTTAATATTCCAGTATTTCTGTTTTTTACTTTATCCAGTTACCAAATGCCACTTCAAGATTATTAAAGGACAATATTGGTATCAGTCATTATCACATATGTGATAAAACTGGTTTAACACGTTCCAAATATAATTTTAACACAGCGATCGCTATGATAGATGTGTAATCAAGGTTTCAACAAACGGAAGTGACCAACGCAAAAGGAAAACACGAGTTATCCTTCTATATAACTGACAGAAGTGACGAGTGATAACAGATATACGGGCTAATTTCTGCTCACTAATAATTCCTTCGAAGACCAAAAGTTGTTATATGAGACTGTGAGAGGATATCTGACAATTCAAAACAAAAATTGACTGTTACTAGAAAAGAGAAAACGAATAAATATAGAAAAAGTCATTACCATGTTTTTATTACATATAGAATGAATAAACACACGTGAATAAACGGACTGTTTCTATTTTTCTTGTGTTCTCTTATCTAGTTACATTCAATTACTTTTTTTAATTGTTAGATATCCTGGCAATCTCACATAACAACTTTTGGTCTTCGAAGGAATTGTTAGTTAGCAGGAATTCACCCGTGTATCTGTTATCACTCGTCCGTTCAGTCAGTTATATAGAAATATAACTCGTGTTCATCACTTCCTTTTGTAGAAACCTTGATTACGCATCTATCGTAGCAATGATCTCTGTGTTAAAATTATATTTGGAACGTGTTTAACCAGTTCAATCACATATGTGATAATGACTGACACCAATATTGTGCTTTAAATTCTGAAAGTGTTGGATCACCGTTATTTTGAATATGATGTTATTCACAATTAATTAAATAAGGGTGATAATCCCTCTTAATGTCGCAAAATTTAAGTGATAAAAAATACAGAGTTTTGCTAAATAAAATTTACAATTGCTTCCTAGAGGTTCTTTATTTTCAAATCATTCATTCAATTTTCTCAATAATCCTGAAGTTAAAAAAAACATCTTTCATGCTTGTATTGATCAAAAGGAGATTGCTATATGTATGATATAAGAAATGGTGACTTTATCGTAACCTGTTAGCTTCTTCATCATCATCTTCTGTATCATCATCTTCAAGATCACCGTACATAATATCAGTCTAAAATTCAAATAAAATTATATTGACATTAACTGTAAACAGTCATCGATAGATTTTTTTAAAATTACATACAGAAAAGCAAATACAGCAAAAATATTACTGTCTAGTCATTGGAATGGTATGAAAAAAACGAGGTCCTGTGTAAACATTGGCGTGCACATAAAAGATCACTTGACAGTTGGAATTCGATATAAGAGTAGGCTGTAGTGTCGCTGTCCAGGCAAATTTTCCCTCACAGCACACTGAATGAGGTGTGCCAAGGGCAAAACAGTGGGACGTTAAACCCCAGTTCATTTCATTTCTTTTTCACCCACAAAAATATGTCTTTGAAATTAAATTTAAACAATACAAAAGGAAATTTGCAAGTATGTGATTTGCTACACATTTAAAGGAGGCAAATCTGAACACAATATCATCCACAATCTTCGACATTGCAAACAAGACTTGTTGTTATCTTACGGTGAAAAGATGGGCTTCTGATATCCAATATTTAAGACAAAATGAAAATTTTAAAATTTGCAAGCGAATCGCGTGCCAGAATGCTTTCGAGTGCCATTTGTAATGAAGCGACTTGATGAACGAGACCAAACATACAATACAGAAGAAGACTACCGGTGTAGACTGGAATAACCAGACACCAATTTGGACTCTTCGCGTATTTCGCGGAACATAAATGATTAGAAAATTACAGTAAAAACAGAAACAATTGAATGTAAATCAGTTTATATACATTCATAATACATTATTATTGCGACCCATTTGTGTCCATTTCTAAGAGCCAAAGAACAGAGATTTAGTTCCTTTAAGTAGATAGAAGTAAAGATGCAGGAAGTACTGATAGAAAAAACTACTACACAGGTTTATGATGAATAAAACACATCACAGTACTTCATTTTTAATAAAATAATGTGCAACACTGCTAATAATACAAACTGTATTTAGAACACAAAAATAAATCACTTCAGTGCAAAAACAGAGGGGAATAATGCTGAGGGCTAGAAGCATTTATCTTTCAGACACCTGCACAGCCATCCATGCGTTAGAAAAATTAATTAGTAGATGTATTCATGTATCCCCCCAAAAAATGATGATGCTATTGTCCCTCTGGTGCAAAGGGGAGAAAAAGATAGGTTGCCAGACAACGAAACATACGCCCACAACAGCTAAATCGTCCGAGCGGTCGACAAGGGATGCCGCATATTTATTCCTTTGTAGGTAATTGGGGCCTTTACAAGACAGTTCCATACAGATCAGATTATAATTTTTGTCGTTTGAGGGTTCACAAGGTTCTACAAAGTGAAACAAAGGCCTCAACTCTGGAAGTAGTCTACAGAAATTGTTGAAATTTGACAGGCTTTTTGGTTTTACTAATTTAAATAATGCATATAAATTTCATACAGATCAGATGATCACTTTTGTCATTCAAAGGTTCACAAACTTTGACAAAGTAAAACAAGAGCCATAACTCTAGAAATTATTGACGGAAATTGCTGAAATTCAATAGACCTCTGTTTCACAAATTCAAATGATGCATATAAATTACATAAATATCGGATGATAACTTTCATCAATCGAGCATTAACAAGGTTGAACAAATTGAAACAAGGGTCATAGCTCTAGAAATATTTATTGTAAATTGCTGAAATTCAATAGGCTTCGTGGTTTCACTAATTTAAATAATGCATATAAATTTTACAAAGATCGGATGATAACTTTCGGCGTTAGAGTTTCACTAATTTAAATAATGCATATAAATTTTACAAAGATCGGATGATAACTTTCGGCGTTAGAGTGTTCACAAGGTTCAATAAAGTGAAACAAGGGCCATAACTCTAGACGTAATGAACGGAAATTGCTAAAATTCAATAGGCATCTTCATTTCACTAATTTAAATAAAGCATATAAATTTCACAAAGTGAAACAAGGGCCATAACTCTAGACATAATGAACATAAATTATTGAAATTAAAAAAGCTTCTTCATCTCACTAATGTAAAACATATATATCAATTTTAGAACAATCGGATAATAACTTTTGGAGTTAGAGCGTTCACAAGAAATTGTGGACAGACGTAAGGACCGATACAGACGGGGCGACGGCAATATACGTCCTTATTTCCATGTGGGTGTATAAAAAACTGATTTGAGGTCATCTAAAGGATTTCAACATCAATGTCAAAATTAACAACTAGGACTTACAATAATTTACTTATCAATGCAGTCATCTATATAGCTTTAACATAAAATAGGTTTGATATAAAAATATAATCATATAAATCAACTAATGTATTGATACTTTCAACATTGCGTCTACCTGGGCATTTCAATTCCCAACCTGTACATGACAAGGAGTAGGGTCAATTATCAATCCTCGAAGGTTTTCTCCGGTTTCCCCCACTGCTAAAGACCCTTTCGTCACATGAATTATTGAAATGACCTAGTTTGTGTGGAGTGGAGTTAAACCCAATTTTCTCTCTCTCTCATAAATATTGAAGAATACAATCCATAATCACCATCGCAAATGACCTAGTTTGTGTAGAGTTGATATCAAACCCCATTTTTCACTCCCATCCATAAAATGTATGATTGTGACTAAAGAAATTAAATTTACAGATCTTTCATTGTTATATATTGGGTTATAAACATAAAAATCTACTTTCTTATTTTCAATGGTCAAAATCCAGCAGTCTTAACCAATTTTTTTTTTAAATGTTAGACATGTTAGTAAGAAAACATTTTATATACATACATTTCTATTGTACTGTCGTCGTGGTCTATTGTCCTGGTCTCTTTCCTCTGAAAACGTTGATTCACCCGATCTATAAGTTCCGGTACCAATTGTTTGATCATATCCTCCTGTACTAGACATCATGGTTCCTTGCAACTCTTGTCTTGTAAATCCTCCAGTTGCTAATAGTCTACCACTAAATTCCTTCAAAAATAGTGAAATAGAATGACACAAATCTACACTAGAAATGTGGGTTCAAAACTCAGTGAGAAGTGATATAGAGTGTTCTAGGAAGAAGAACAAGCAGTTTCCACTCAAAATACACCTAAATTATGCAAGAGATGGACAGATAAGCCCAAAAAAACGATTTTTTGTACAATCATGAGTGGCCATAATCTCGGATGTGTCAATATTGAAAGGAAATAATATGCGAAATTAAAAACACGAATTAGAATTCAATATTGGTCCATTTCAATCAACACTGATGTGGTTATCTTGCAGTGAAAATATGGGATCAAAATATCCAATATGTAAGACACAATGAACATTTTATAATCAGCACACGATTCATGTATTCCATGGTTTCTGGCGCCATTTGTAATGAACACAGAAAAACATATCCTACAAGACAATGTGGAAGTAATTAGTGATGACTGATTCACAACTACAAAAATTTTAATAATTATAAAACATGAAGAATGAACTAAGCAGGCATAAACGACTGTCGGCCGTTCAATTTGGACTATTCACCAAACATAATTGATAAGAAATCAGAATATTTTTTGAAAAAAATTTAATACAAATCATTTGATATATATATTAATGTTACATTAATTTTGCTTTAAGACCCCTTTTCGTCTATTTCAAGATTTCGAAGAATAGAGCCATATGCCCTTTAACACTCGTTGAATATGCTGTCAGTGGCCCTGATGAAAATGTAATTCCAAAAAGACTGTAGAACGATAAATAATTTGCCTACTTACTTCTAAATCTTGTGATTCATCAATAGCATAGATATTCTCAGCACATTTAGCATAATATTCTAAAGCTCGAGCATGAAAAGCCATCTCAATTTTCACAAAATTTGCCAGAGTTCTCTAAAATATAAAAATATTAGAATATACATTTATTGGATGTAAAAGCCAAAAGACCAGTCAGAAGGTGGCCTTTAAAATCATTAAGCCCTGCGGGCTACAAACGTACATTTAAATCATCTGAAACATACTTGGAATTAAATTCTAACACCAAATTTCTAGTTCAGTGCCCTAGATGAAGGGTACATTAAATATACAAATATGTTCTTTTTCTGATTTATTAAGCATGTTTAAAATTCCCCAATACACAAAAATATGATAGACAAAGTCCACTTATGTGTACTGATGTATACTATTAATTTGGAACATTTTTCTTTAATATAACCATTCTGGAACTTTATAATCACAACTATCCTAGAAAGCTAAATCAACTTTATGGTTACCAAAAGCTAACACAAAAGACAATACAATAATTTCTTCAAATAACAAAACAGAATAAGCTGATAGTCATTTGAACCCTATCTACTTCAGTTCATTTTATTTTACCTTAAGTTCTATTATTTTTTCTTTTTCAAATTTTTCCATCTCTGCTTCTAAAGCATGGCTGTAGTGCACAGCATCATGTGTTGCACGTTCTAATTCTGTTTGAGCCTTGAAAAAAAACAAATCAAGTAAATGACATTTATAATTTCAATATTGGTATTATTAGTCCTATTCCTATCATCCTTGAAGTCATTGAAAATTACCAGATACAGTAGATAAATAAAAGTTTACTGAGAAATACAAGTTGTTTTTTTTACACAGGAATTTTCAAAGTGTGACATGTAGAAGCAAATTTTAAAGCATATTTAATTAATAAGGCTGTTACTCTAAAAATGCATTAGTGCATTACACACCCCTTGATTAGGCTAAAGTTTGTAAATTAAAAAGTTGACATACAATACCAAACACCAAATATAACAACACACAAGATTAGTAAAACACTACCTGATCCTATAACAACAATCAAGGGAAAAAAGAATTTTCTAATGAATCATGTGAACTAGTACCACAATTTATGTGCTATATTCCTAGGCTAATTTTTATAAAACTTATCTTGATAAAAGTACTGTTAACCCTTAGAAGCTGGAATACTGTTTGTCTCACACAGTATTCAAAGTGCAAAAGTCAGAGCATTTAATTGTTAACAGTTCTTCCTGGGGGGTTTTCAATGGCAAGAATTCTAAAAGTTTTATCAAGTTTGATAAATACTCGCTCTGCTCAATAAGTATTGCTCTCTAAATTTTTATGTTGAGATCAGCTTAATAAGTGGCTTGCTTTTTGTGACACTTCTGGAGTTACTGTAAGGATATCAATGTTATCAATCGAAAACTGATGTAACTAAATTTAATTTCTAAATGATAATTAAATTAAAAGATGCATAAATGTAAAATTATAACAAAGTGATAAAGGGTTTTTTTTGTATTTTTTTTTTTGGGGGGGGGGGGAGATTTTATTTGTGATATGTGACTGTGAATATTGTGTATCTATGATATTCTAAAAGGGTGTGATTTGAGGATAAATTTCACAGCAAACTGCACTACATTCAATTATTTGAATAAGAAACAAAGATACAATTTGATGACTATCTCCAGGAGCCTTTTCTTTCAATTTATCTAGTTGCTGTTTCTGTTTCCATTCTTTGCTATGAGATGCTACTGATGTCTTCACAATACTCTTTATAAGATAAAAAGCAAATCTTATTTTAGGATATCAAAAATAGAGATGTTTACAATGACAATGTTAAACTATAACATATACTTTAGGAAAATAGATACAGTTACAGTTCATTATTTTATCCAATTATTAATGTCTCTGACAATGTCACTTCAATAAACATTTAGATGTACACTGACTTTTGAAGCATGTTTTGTTAAAAATCATATCCTCTAGCTGGTAAACACTTCATATCAGAGAGAGAGAGAGAGAGAGAGAGAAAGAGAGAGAGGGACTAACATATAGTTCAAATTTATTTCAATAATTCATTTGTGTGTAGGGATCTATCTATACTCTATAAGTAACTGTGAGAGGACCCGCAGAAAACCCACAAGATGATGATTCAATATTCATGACACTGTAGCGAGAATTTTGCATCAGTATCATATCTTTCACTTGTACCGAATTCAAAGTATTAGGTGCCTTGAAAAGGGGCCTATATCAGCCTTAAATGTACATGTTGAGTGCATTTTTCACCCCTCGCGCAGATTGCAATCTGCGTTGTCGTGTAGCGCAGAGTGTACTTTGGCTGCACAGATTGGATTCTCAATGTTTTTAAGGATCAAAGTAGGATGATAGACGTCACACGTAGGATCTGTCCTCTATCAACAGTAATGATTTTTCAAATAATTTTCAAAGTCACTGTAAAATTAGCGTGTGTGCTAAGAATAAGATTTAAGTTTGAGTCCGCAGATAATCTGCGCCATACGGGAACTAATCACGTGACAGAATGTCTAAAAATATTTGCTTTCATTACGGTAAATTTTAGTGTTAGTTTTGTATACCAGTAGTTGAAATAAATACATTAATAATAAACAGTCACCAGATTTTTAAATATGTTATCAAGTGCAATGTATATATGTGTTTCTGAATTCTGGTTTCAGGGTAACATCCTTCCAACAACTATAAACAAATACTTACTTTCATGTTTTTACATATAGTACCATAACAAGCTAATGGTCTTACAACCTTAGTATCTAATCTGTTAATCTGTAAAATAATTTGTTCAAATTACAAAAAAAAGTTCATATTCAGGAATTTGTGGGATAAGGTTTTTAATGTTAAAGAGAAGCTATAGGTATCATTGTAAATATTTATTTAATCAACAATATTTGCCAAACTAACTCATTCAGTGCCTTAAACATTAAACATTATCAATATTATCAAAAAATCAACCTGAGCATCCCTGTAATCTTGTATTGCTGAATAATTTTCTGCAAATTTTATCAACGAATTCCTAGTTGTTACGTTGGCCTTCTCTGCCTCACAATACTCCATTAAATGTTTAGATAGTAAGTCACCTGAAGAAAAATTTATTTTACTTTATTGCCAATATTTGATTCCGATTTTCAGAAATTTCAGCATAATTAAAAGGAGATGCCATTTACCAGATAATGACATCAGTTTTTATCAACGATTTTGATTACGCTATTATCAGATTAATTACTGATGAGTATATTGTTTTGAGTGGTGTTATGCATGTTATTCATTACACGAACACTGATATACCCGATAACTACTATACACTTAATTTTACGTTAGAGAACAAAAATTTGTATTAAATTTATGCAACTAAGTCATACTTAAAGGAGCTAAATCTCTAATATTTGGGACCTAGAAATTGACACAAATGGGTCATATAATAATGTAATATGAATACATTTAAACTGATTTACATTCAATAGTTTCCGTTTTTACTCTAATTTCAAATCAGTTATATTCGGCGAAATATGCCAGAAGTCTCAATCGAATGGCAATCTCTAGCGACTGGTTATTCCAGTCTACACCGAAAGTATTTATTGTGCATGCACTCCAGATAAGAATATTGCGTCACCGTTTGACATGACTTGTGGAATATGTCTATCCCCATTCTTCGAGTCCCTTGTTACAAATGGCGCTGAAATGCATATTTTATGGTACATGATTTTTGTACCAATGGTAAAATGTTTATTTTGTCTTAAATATTGGATATCGGAAGCCCATCTTTTCCAGGTAAGACCACAACATAGGGCTGGTGTCGGTGAACAGCACATGCAGCATGAGTTACATGAAAATCATGGAGACCACATTACCATCTCAGAAGTCAGGTTGTGTTTTTGAGAACATTTCCTGGGTTCAATTCTGTGTTTGGGAAGGAGTCTTATTGCTCAGGTAAAGTTGGAGATGTGGTCACAAATATACAATGAAAGCATCTGGCAAGTTTTATGCAATGTGTCTATACAGAGTAACAAACCAACCTGACGTTTCTTTTGCTGCTTAATATATATGCACAGACATCACAATTCGGAAATTTCTGAATTTGGCACTCTGTATAATATATACAAAGCTCAAAATTCAGAAATTTCTGAATTTGGCACGCTGTATAAAATTAATATATAACTTATGCTTAAGCACAGTTTCTATGTCACAATTCAGGAGTTTCTAGAATATATGCTTATATACAAGGGTTAGGGTCCTGAAGGGTAAGGGTTAGGGTTAGGGAGTGCCAACTTCAGAAATATATATTATTTAATAATTAGAAATAATAAAATATCGAAAATGTCCATTATATAAGTACAGATAATTAAATAGAAATTTCCTGAATATATCAATTTCAATACTATTTACCTTTATCTCGTAATCTAGCATTTTTCCTGGTGATAGAAGCCAGGGTATCACAAAACAAGCCAAAATACTTCTCTACATGCTGTATTCTATTCTGAGAAAACTTGGTTTGATTTTCACTAAAATAATTAATCAGATATCATGATGGTATTAAATTTAAAGAAACAGCTTTGAAAGAACAAATGGTTAAAACATACTACTACTACTATCTGGTGCTTTAACGTCTGCTTCCACAGAAGTGATATCGCAGACAAGACATAGGAGAGCCGAAGCTTCTTCCTGTTTTTAGAATGTGATTTTGCAATCTTTCCATTTGCAGCCTTAGGCCATGATGTGGGTTTAGTAGGAAGTTATTCCCTTTATTTAATAAAAAAACATATTGTTTGGTTGTTGATCTGTGGAGACAGCATATATATGCGGACATATATGCCTCTCGTCCCTGGATTGGTAGATGTCATCTTTGTGGGTCTAGTGTTTAGGTGCCAGACCTGTCTTATCATGGCCTCCCCTTACTCAACTATCCCACTCTGCAGGTTTGGTGTCTTTTTAGCAGAATAGTGTTTAGATGACGAGCCTATCTGACCGTGACCCTCCCTTACACCACTATCCTGCTAATTTGGTATATTTAGTGTTTAGATGCCGAGCCCGTCTAACCGTGGCTCCCTCTTACTTCACTATTCTACTTAATCCAACCGTGGTCATTAGATCGTGGATTAGTTCGAAGATTCGCGGCTTAAAGGTCTGGTCTCGGAAAGAGTAGGTTCCTGGTGTTGAGCAGTATGTTGTTGGTCTCCATCATCCCCACTAGTCCTCTTCTCTCCGCAGTCTACCAGAACATGGTTGCTGGTACATTCTTCTCCGCACTCACCGATGATGAATGACTTGATGTTTGAAGTCTCACAGACGCTCTTTCACCGTAGTTTCGATACAAGTTTGCATATATCTCTTCTAGGGTGATTGATCGCTGTCTTCGTGTAGATTTTGTCATCCAGCCGGAATCTGTACATGTATGTGTCAAGTTCAACAAGCTTTAGTTCCCAGATTGAATTGACCTGTCTTTTAACCATACTGTAGATTTCTGTGGTGCTGTGTCCCCGAGACCTATCTGCCTCCTCGTTTCCTCCGGTGTCCAAATGTGATGGAATCAACACAAGCTCTAGTTTGCTTCCCTTCTCTAGGACCCTCTGGTACAGCTGCCTGATTTCCAAAATGACTTCTGGTCTTGAGTCTGAGTTGTTATTTTGGATTGAAATCAGACTGCTCCAGAAAGTCACTTGGAATGATGAATTTACTAGTCTTTTGATGGGAGATCCATGATATAGCATCACAGATGGCCACAATCTCGGCAGTGTACACCGAAGAGTTGATCCTGTTCCCCATTTGGCCGGTATATTCCAAATGAGCTGGTGCCCCTTTCAGAGGGTTAAAACATATTTTTATTTCTATTTTTATACTAATTAGTACTAGTAGGCTAGTAGATATGCATTACTTTTTCAGCCGATAAGCAGTAGCAAATTGTTTGTTTAGTTAAACTTTGAAATCAGCCCACATAAAATCATATAATACTAGTGACCGGCGCACCACTAGGGGGGGGCTCAGACAGTGTTGCGCTCAGCTATGGATGATTTTCAACCCCACTCCATCTGTTTAGGGGTCATGTTTTTGCCGAGCTAGTACAGACTTTTCCGATGGAATTTGGATCGGAAACCACATGGTTCTCTCAGAGAGTATCCAAGAATGTCTGAAAAATTGGTTAATGGCAGTTGACATGCGGTAAGTTGACTTTTAATAAATTGCTGAAGTTTTCTTTTTTATTAAAATTGTCTGATACGCGCATACGCTCAAAATTTTACTTATAATTAAGAAAATAAACACTAAATTAGAAATCTAAAATATTCCCGAGGACGGAAACCCCCGTGGAAAGTGGCAATTCCTGGAAATCGGCACCGTGTCGAATTCCAAAGAGACGCAACTTGATCACATAATGGGTACAGACCACAGTTAATACTTCAACTGACTTTGACAAAAGAAATTGTTGATTGTCGTCCAGTGTGTATTATTAGATTTATTAGTGTAATTTATAATGTAGATGTAATTTTTGAAAATTGAATTAATACAGCCCATTTTAAATGACAGCATTTAAAAAGTTCCATAATCCTTGGGAAAAAAATATATTTGTACCTGTTGCATAAATGGTATTATTTTAATTTATCAGGATTGTGTATGAAAGAGGAGTGTGAGATTAAAATATTAATAAATCATAAATACATGAACAATACAGTTTGGTATGAATAATAATATTGCTGTGTTGCTGATACAAATTTTTAAAATCTTTTGTATTTTCAGTGGCATGGTATAGACCCGTGTTTTGGTTCCTAGGGGAGTGCCAGCTTGGTGGGAAGAAAGTTATATTCCATGTTGATTTATTTAATACAGTTAGCTACATAAATAAAAATGATCCTGATTGATAAATAATTTGTTTTTTTGAGGGGAGGGTATTATAAACATTATGATCAGGAATATAGATAAATGATTTTATTTTATGTATTAATATATTTTTATTTTATTTTAAAAAAAAAATGGGGTGTGCGATTGTATTTTTTTTTTTTTTTTTTTTTTTTGGGAGGGGGGGGGGTATTATTTTCATTTTATTTTTATCCTTATTCTGTTTTGAATACTCTACATTGGTTTTTTTTTTTAAAAAAAAGTGTTGATTATATTGTATCATTATTGATTATGATTATGTATAGTTCAAGTAATTATTTAATATTCTTAACATATATACCAGTATTACAAATCACAGAAAAAAAACTATTCAAGTTATGTGTCATGTGTTTGCATGGTTGTGTTGATACATAAATAAGCTTCATTTTGGGGACATAATTATGGAGTGGGGCTGAAAATTGAAGCAAAATGGCTGATTTCGCGAAAAGGGGGTCTGCCAGTTGGCGTTACTAAATGGACAGTAACCCCCGTCAATTCTGCTTCAATTTTGAAATGCTGAGATGTGCGGTGTACGGAAAATAACAATTAGGTTATCGACAACAAATTAATATTTAAAAATAGCTGCCGGTAGCAATAGTTCAAGTTTATGTAATTAATATCTAATCTTATGTATGATTATTGCAAACATTAGAAAATAAATGTCTCGAGCTATGTGTAATGTGTCTGCATGGTTGTGTTCATGCGTAAATAAGCTTAATTTTGGTGAAATAATTATGTCTCTGGGACTTTTGGTTTCTGAGATATGAAGTGGGGTTGAAAATTGAAGCAAAATGGCCAATTTCTCGAACAAGGAGTCTGCCAGTTCGCATTACTAAATGGACAGCAACTCTGTCAATTCTGCTCCGATTTTGATAAACTTGGTAATTGTTACGTACAATAGGATAGGCCTACTGAACTGAGATGAGTTTTCCGAAAATCAAGCTTCTGGAGAAGAAAATAATATTTAAAAATAGTTGCCGGTCGCTAATAATACAAAAGGATTGATTTGTTTTAATTCGAAATTAGAAATAAACATTTTGCTCAGCGGTAATTTCTCTTGATTTTTTTAAATTTTTTAAAAGCTAAAGGCAAAGGACATGCCTGAGCAAGTGAAGAAACGCTTGGATTTGGAATTGGATTTGAGTTTACCTTAGTTACCATCAATTCTACACCTTTACCCTAAAATTATTGAAATATGAGTGATACTTACGTGACCCTGAATTCTTTGGTGTTGCGGAGCATATTTCAAATAATATTTTCCCTACGTGTAATCAAAAAAAAAAAGACATTAATTAGTTTGATTGTCATAGAATGTTTACTTCGGCACGCTTCTACGAAAGACTACTTTAAAAAAGAAGAGTACGGTTTCCTTACTTATCTCCCCTTTATTAACCTAACAGGTGCGCGTATTAAAGTATTTTTAATGTAGTGTCGGATTTACCATGGTGCAAATGTTGAGGCTACACAATAAATGAGAGAAAAAAATAAGGTATATTATTAGTACTTTGCATTATTCTATGGAAGAGATAAATGATATATAGAGTGTTAATCTTGTCCTCGTACGGAATGCAGGGGTGGATCCAGGGGTGGATCCGGGGGTGGGGGGCTGCTCAGCTCCACATGTTTATAACCACAGGCCCGGCGGAATGGGGGTGCCCCAATAATTTGGCCGCAAGTACTCTTTTCTCTGGGTTATTGCACGCAAGTAATTATGCCGTTAGATAGAACAAGGTCTAATTTTAACATAGAATAGTAGACTTCTAGAACTTAGGCTTAGGCCTACCCTATTAATATTATGCTCTATACTGATCCCTGGGTTGAGAGACCCCCAGTTGCGAGCAAACGCGCACGGGCTCGATGAATGTAAGGCGAGGGGGGGGGGCGGGGTCAGAACATGAATTGACCCCCAAAAATAATTACGGGTTACGTATGGTGGTGCCGGTCGTCTGCGAAAGGCGAAGGAGCAGAGCTTACCAATTAGCCCCCCCCCCCCAGCCGCCCTAAAGATAATTTGGAAAATTTGACGGTCGCAGACACGTTTTCCTGGCGCGAATCGTGAAAGTGGGAACCTGGCATTAAGACAGTTGTATTAACATCTTCTATTTCTATGTAACACCCCACTGGTTTGCGCAAATAAAATTAATTGTCAGACCGTCTATGCCCCACTCTATGCCGACCCGAATTCCAACCATCCAATCAGACTGTTGCAACTGCATTCACAAAACATAATCGATCCCCCAAAATATCGCACAAAGTAGAGTGACTCCAGACAATCTATAGTCAATTCAGCACTCAATTAAAAGCAAAGTAAATTTTAGTGTGTTATTAGATTTCGGGCACTTTATTTTGCCAACTAGATGAATTATTAATTTTTGTTTTCACTTTACCCGTCTACCCGCCCCGCGAGGGTCACGATTAGTTAACTGAACAGTCGATATTATTTCAACCCCATCTCACTTCCGTTGTATCTATGACAGATTAGGTTAGAGTTTTTCTCACATTCTGTCCCTGTGTATCTATCAAATAATTCACTGCTATCAGTTATGATCAGTTCAAACAAGCGGTTGCCATGCAAAATACGCGCACATTTTCCAAGAAATGTATGGGGAAGAGGTAAAATCAATTGGGCTCATCCTCTCATTCAACGGCCTAAAAATTCATACATATCTTTCGTAAAAAGCAGGGGCTATAGCTCCAAAATGTGAGGTCTGCTGCGTACCATCTTTTGATTATTAACACATGGTTTAAGATTCATCTCATGAATCGGACAAAAATTGTAGCCTCAGGAAGGTCCACAAACTACATTCATATTTTGCTTAAAAGGCAGGGGACCAATGCGCACCAAAATTGAACTCATCCAAGAGCTATAGTGATACTCGTTTTAAGTTTATAATCGGATAAAACATCTGACATCTAGATGATCCACAACCCTGGTATTACATATTTTTATACTATTTGCGATTTTCAGGAAATTCATAATTATGATGTAACAGTGATACATTTGAACGGTTTTGGAAATAAGATAAAAAAAAATGGTGACCTCTATATAAGAGGGTCCACAAACTAAAAACGTAATATTTCGTAAATTATATCCAGAAAACTACGTCCAATACGCGCCAATATCGAAAGTCCTAGGATAGTAGCCCCCCCCCCCCCAATCCCGAATTGCTTCCGCCGGCCCTGAAACAAAAGATCTTGGTTCCTTTCGATATTTGCGCATATTGAATCGTAACTTCCTGAATAATTATGGCCTCTGATTGTACGAAAAATCGCGTTTTTAGCTTGTGGTTCCTCTTGGAGTCACAGTTTTTATCCGATTGAAAAAACTTTTGAATATATCACGTAACATCCTAATAATTTTGATTTCTAATCCAAGAATTATTTACTTACGAAAGCATATCATTTAGCATATTCTTCTCTGATTTCTAACTGTCGATGGTTACTTGCAATCCAATTTCTCTAAATCGACATTTAAGGGGTTTTTTTTCAATAACCCACCCACCCCCTTTTAATGACTAAAATTATCCATCCATTTTAGATTTATTCTATTCACATCACCTGCATTTCTCTCAAAATTATGCCGAAAAGATGGCAGCGACGACAACAGTCTCAAAGTAGTGAAGATTCGAGAGAAAAATAGAATATTTGGTCATGGGTTGCTCAGGGTTGATATAAACATACTTGTTAATCTCGGACTACTATTATCTGCATATAACGAATTTTACTGCGCATGCTCTCCAGATAAGAATGTGAGGTCACCGTTTGACATGAGTTGTGGAATATTACCACCCCCGAATCCCACCCACCCCTTCTTGTATGAAGAAACTAGTCAAATAAAAAGGATCTCCAAAGCCCTAATACAATTTAAAACAGCAAATCAAAATCGTAGTGCTTGCTATATGAATTCAGAAAATAAAGACATTTTCTGTATAAATTTTTTATTATATAGTAATTTTTTTATTGCCCATTACTGATAAGTATCAATGAATTCATTGTATCACAAAATTAATTGTTAAAAGGATGTATTTGCGTTGTCAAATTTAAGGGTCAACAACAATCCACAGATTTGCAATCCATTTTTCACCCTTTATTACATCACATCCACCATGATATGAACGCTCTATGAGATCTCCTAATCCAGAAAACTGTAAAATAACATTACACAAAATATGAACAAGCGGTTGAAATGCAACATACGCCCACATTTTGCAAGAGATGGACAGACAACAAGTAAAAAAAGAAGCGATTTTTCGTATAATCAAGGGCCATAATCCAGGAAGTTGCGGTCCGATATGCGTGAATATCTACAAGAACCGAGATCATCGGAATATAAACATACAGTTTAAGTTTCTTTGAAATGGGATAAAAATTGTGACCACTAGAGGGTCCACAACCTTGGTATTACATACTTTTACACAAGTTGCTTACAAGGCGCAGCCATTTTGTCGAGCAGTTCCTTTCCGATTTTTAAGAAATTCGAACTCAGCCATCATTGTGGTGTAACGGTGATATATTTGAACGTTTTTTTTTAAATCAGATAAAAATGATGACCTCTAGAGGGGCCACAAGCTAAAAACACGATTTTTCGTACAATCAGAGGCCATGATCCAGGAAGTTGTGGTCCTATATGCGCAAATATCGAAAGGAACCGAGATCTTTGGGTTATAAACATACATTTTAAGTTTAATCTAAATCGGATAAAAATTGTGACCTCTAGCTAGAGGGTCAACAAGCTAAAAACGTGATTTTTCGTACAATCAGGGGCCATAATCCATGAAGTTTCATCCGATACATGCCAATATCGAAAGGAACCAAGATCGTTTGGAGATAAACCTATATTTCAACTTTCGTCAAAATCGGATAAGAATTGTGACCTGTAGGTGTCCACAAAAATTTGTGGACTGCCGGACGGACAGGGGCGTGGACAATATATTACGTCCACGTGAAAATATGGGCGTATAAAAACAGAATAAAAATAAAATATAATTTTATTGCTGGATATGCTTAAAATTGTATTTATTTTGGTAATGCAGTTCTTAGAGTATCTCTGAATATGATACAAGCATAAGTACATTGCTAGTCACGTCTCCTCTACCACGTGCTTCTAGCGCCTCTGCAAAAATCGTTGTGGAGAGGGTGAGGGAAAAGGAGAGACAGGGTATTAATAGGAGATACATTAGTTATATTGGTCGATAGGTGGAAAACTTGGTGATTACGCAGCTAAAGTCACCAACATTGCAAACTACACAAAAGTAAAATGATCAAGACCATATTGCAGTTTTAGCCCCAAATACCATTCATCCCAATGAATTTTATAATGGAAACAATCATTTGCTCACGTTTGAACAACATTATTTACCCTTGGATTTAGCTTGTGATTATACCACATGACAGCCATTCCTTTGCTTGGTGTTATAATAAGCGATGAATTATAACAATGTTTAGACAAATCATACGGCTTTTCTTTTTGGTATTTCTGAAAAGCAAAAGTGCAATGACAATTCGAATGACATATTCTTTTATCTTTAAGTACATGCTGGATACAGGACAGTTTTGTCAAGATGCGTTTTGTTAAATTATTTATATATATATAATACTTTTTACTGTGCCAACCATTCTAACCCGACCGTTCATACCTTTAACGTTTCGTCGCTAGCATCTGCAACTGGAAAAACAGTCTCACCCCCTTCATTGACATCATTTAGATATACCATCACTGTTATATATCTAAAATAACACATATTTTTAAATATTTAAACATACATTATGCAAAAGCTAAATCTGCCTAGTGCAGGTCTTTCTTTAGGCCTGAAATGTTATCTAAATCATTAATTAGACATTAATTAACTTATCCAGACCATAATCAACTCTGGATGTCATCGCTAGCCTGCGATGTTTATTGGATTAGGTTCGGATTTGCTGTTCGAATTCCATTCATGATTTAATCATGAAATGGATAATCGAGACTATGTTTTTTATCGTACCGACTTTAGTAATGATGATCGAGGCTATGCCGATCGCTAAAATCTCCGTTCAGAGTGGATCAATTTGACTGAAATTTTCAGCAAATGCCCTTTACATTATCTAGTTTTTAACTATTATAGTGAAAACTGACAGTTCTTTATCTAATCTCCCATAATGTATCTTTAATGTTATATTATAACATATCATTGAGATATACCATCAGCGTTATATATCTAATATTATATCGCCGTTGTTGTATCACAAATATTAAATAAAATGTTATCGTTACACTATGATATATCATTGTTACATATTGTACTATATCATCTGTGATATATAGAACTATTACTGATATATGATTAGCACGTGCGCTCATTCATAAGATCTGTCATTGAGTGACAAGGAGTAGGGTCGCCTGTCCAGCCTCGTGGGTTTTCGATGGGGCCTCCGGTTTCCCCCCACTGCTAAAAACCCCCACGCGTAAGCGAATTATTTAAATAAAATTGAACCATATGTTAGTCCCGAAATGACAAAAGTTTGTGTCGAGTGGACGTTACCCCTCCCCCCCTCTCTCTCTCTCTCTCTCTCTCTCTCTCAATTACATATTACCGACAATCAAGTAAGCTCTGTCGGAATATATCCTGTATAAAATGGGCTGTAATATTCGATCTATTTGAAAATTTAATCACAAACCTGCATAACTGACAACAAAATTTGCTGTTTTCATCACACTCGACCTTACCACAACATGGACGGTTGGCAACAGTATTATGTGAATCAGTATGTGTATAATAATGGCCGTGTTTTTTATATTGTACAACCTGTTTAATATATAATTTGCAAAAGTGATATTAAATTATTCTGGACTAAATATCGGAACCCCAAACTCCAGAACTCGAATGGATGAGGTGGCCGCGTGGTCTTATGCATGCGCTGTAGATCATACGGCCAGTTATATGTCCAAGCAATAGGTTCGATCCATGGTTCTTACCTGAATGTGACAATGAGTAAGGTCGCCTGCCTAAACTATCTCGATAACAAAATACCCGTTCGATAGCGAAATTAAATATACCATTAGTTTTGAAGTTAGCGCCGAATGAGCGTTAAATCTAGGCCAATACGTTGGAATATTCCAATGTTGATCATATACCAAAATCACCGAATGCCAACACGTTATTTCAACAAAATTTTCTGATGGAGTGAGGAACCCTTAGTCTGCCCGTAGAATTTCAAATGTGCCCACTTTACTACTGCAATCAGTGCCGAATTTACCATTGTGCTTCGGTGTGTTTAAGGATAGGACCCCGTTGGCCAGGGGCGGGGACATTTTCCCTGGCAATTAAAAAAATGCCTAAAACTTGTTTAAAATAATGATTGATCAGGTAACATGTCTTATTTTAACTACTAATATTCTGAACATGTATGCCGGACTGCCGGGCCTACCCCCTTCATTGCCCAAGTAAGGGGACTCATAATTTAACACTCATTTGTCCTAAATCCGACAGGGACTGCAATGCTATTTTGCCGATATTTAGAAAATGCAAGGCCGTAGTATCGAGGAAATTGAAGAAAATCACGGAATGGCCAACACATTTGTCATACAAAAAATTAATAAATAAAGTGAGTACCTGAAGCATTTCAGCATTCTCTATATACTGTATTGGTAATTCTGTTAACCGTTTGAACCTGCAACTCAGTTTCACAAAAAGTTAAATATATGTTTTTTTACCACATACGGTAATCTAACACTTGAAAGTTTGGCAAATGTTTAAACACACCACATGATAAATAATATATATGTATAGTTTAGAAAATATGCTGGTGTCAAGGTAAGTGGATAGGCATTCAAATATTAATAACCAGCGGCTGCCAGGCAGGATACGCCCACATTTTCGAGAGATGGATAGAGAACAAGCTAACAAGAAAGTGATTTTTCCTACAATCAAGGGCCATAATTCAGGAAATTACAATTCGATATGCGCATATATCGAAAGGAACTGAGATCTTTGTGTTATAAACTTACATTTCAAGTTTCAACAAAATCTGATAATAATTGTGACCTCTATAGGGTCCACAACCTTGATATACCATATTCTTACGCTATTTGGGAACGAACGGCGGCCATTTTGTCTGTCAATTTTGGGCCGATTTTCATGAAATTCAAACTCAGTCGTCCTTAGGGTGTAACGGTGATATAATAGAACGGTTTTTTAAATCGGATAAAAATTATGACTTCTATAGGGTCCACAAGCTAAAAACGTGATTTTTCTTACAATCAGGGGCCATAATTCAGGAAGTTACAGTCCGATATGCGCAAATATCGAAAGGAACTGAGATCTTTGGGTTATAAACTTACATTTCAAGTTTCAACAAAATCGGATAAAAATTGTGACCTCTATAGGGTCCACAAGCTAAAAACGTGATTTTTCGTACAAACAGGGGCCATAATCCATGAAGTTTCGATCCGATACATGCCAATATCGAAAGCAGCCGAGATCTTTTGGGGATAAACCTATATTTCAAGTTTCGTCGAAATCGGATAAGAATTGTGACCTGTAGAGAGTCCACAAACAATTGTGGACGGACGTCCGGACGGACAGGGGCGACGGCATAATACGTCCACATGAAAATGTGGGCGTATAAAAATGAAATGTGGTTTTATGGCAAGTCAGCACCAACCGAGGCAACCAATCATTAAAACTGGTACCACCCATAGCTATTTATTTGTATCAGAATGACAGATTAGGATTCACTATATGGGATCAGTATCAAGAGTCATTAGGCGGTCACATTTGCTCGTTCAGTTCATAGAACTATTTGTTTCTATGGTAAGACGCTGGCTCACTGAAGTCTCGGGTTCGCTCCCTGCGTTGGCCAAGAGAAAGTCTAGGGTGTTGACCGAGAAGGGCCCTCGGGATTTTCCTGTGTCATTCCCCTTGTCAGTGATTCAGTTCTAAAAAGGGACAATGTCTAGTCGATGGAAAAACGATGCCCGTGTACACATTGGCGTAAAAGAACCCCTGACAGTTGGAATTCAAAATAAGAATAGGCTGATAAAATCACTGTCTGGGCAAAAGTTCCCCAATAGCATACCCTATGGTGTATGTCCGTCTTTGTTATCCTGGTCTGTGAAGAAAAATAGGGCGTTAAATCCTATTACATTAGTCACTATCTCAAGCAATATTCACGTATATACCGTCTGCTTAGTTTTTTAACAATCTTATCATAATCTGTATGATGTATCCATGTAGTTTTACTTTTTCTTCCAAATCCTTTATATGGAAAGGTTATTCCATCAGCATGAGAAGTACTCGGCTCTAAATCCATTTTTACAGCATGGTTTCTTAACTTGTCGGCCTCATCCTCTTTTAAGAAATCATGTATGACTGAAATGAGAAGTTTTTGTCAAATGAATTCTCGCATTCTCTCAATGCAGGACAATAATAGTAGTGAGGTAAATTCGCGCTTTTGGTACTGTTAAGAGACGGACAGTGCCCATGCATACTTCTTGCGGTGTTTTGTTTGATTAGACCTAATGCTAGAGAGGGATTTCTCGGGCCATTGTTTCAGGAATATGTGGCATATAATTCCAAACCAATAGTATACCGAGTAAAAGTGTGGCTGTGGTGTTTCTGTATTAAATTAAGTTTTATGGGACGAGTTTCATTTCTAGGAACCAACACATAGTTTAGATTTTTATACTGTTTGTGACATGGGGTCAAATTTCGAATAATGAAAAAAAAAAGCCTAAGTGGATAAAGCGCTTGATCGAACTCCATCAAGGCAGGGCGGTCCAGAAAGTTCAGGTTGTAGTGACAATTCATGACTATTTCTGGTCCCTGACTCCCTAAATTGAGCGCGAGCAGGGGTGGAGTGGGGGGGGGGTGCTGGAGACCTGCCGATTCGGTTCGGACAAAATATAGTAAAGGTTTAGTAAATGTCTTACCGTACACTGGGGGGTCTTTAGCACGGGTCACGCGTCTTAAAATCCGATCACCAAAATTGAAGGTATTTTCATCCCCAATCTAAATAAATAATAACAGTAATAATTAAATTTGTGCTCACTTTGACTTGACAATTATTTAACAGCGTACGTAGACTTAAGGACTGATCAAATAGGCTGGCAGGAGAACGTCGGATTCATGAGAGCGGGGAAAAATCTGAAACAAATGATTCTTGCTTTTTATGAAAGGTGTATTTGAGTACAACTTCTGGAAAAATGCGCCTAGTGCAAAACAGGTTACAGGCATTCTGATTTTCGTACCTATTAGACTTCTAAATGACACCTTTGTGGAAATTATTCTAATTTGTAATATATGTATTTGCGTGAATCCGTGAGCTGAATTGAAACGGTATGTAGTATTAAAGTAGCTAAGTCTCTAACTCAATATCATCCAAAATCCTAAACATTGAAAACACGATTTATTTGTCAAATTAAATCAACATTCATGTTGTGATCTTACCGGAAAAAGATGGGCTTTTGATATCCAATATTTAAGACAAAATAAACATTCTACCATTGGTACACGAATCATGCACCATAATGCGCTTCAGTTCCAGTTGTATCAAGAGACTCGAGGGACGAGGCTAGACACATTGCACCAAATCAAACGGCGTATGTAGACTGGAATAACCAGACGCTAGAAATTTGCACTCGCTTGAGACTGCTGGTTTATTTCGCCGACTATAACTGATTTGAAATTGGAGTAAAACGGAAACCATGAGCATTGAATGTAAATCAGTTTATATACATTCATATTACAGTATTATATGCGTTGCGACCCACTTTTGTCAATTTCTTGGTCCCAAATGTTAGCGATTTAGCTCCTTTAAATAACTTAGTCAATTTGTCGGCTCCTGACTGCGTCACTCGTATTAGGGTCATTGTCCGCAGAAACAACAAATCGATCCAAAATTCAGTGAATAGGAAACCAGCCCACAACAATCATTATTTCCATTACAAACCCAACCACCCGTATCAGACCAAGAAAGCCACAACACTCGCCACCCGTTCCCTTAATATTTGTGGCTATGATCTCCTCCATAATGGAATCTCATTCTCAACGAGTCTTTTAAATATTTAACCTCAAACAGCTAATCAACACCTCAAAGTCAACAAAAACTGATCCATTAGTCATTACACATCCGGGTCAACATACAATTCAATGGCATCATCCTAACAAATCAAGGGGCCACGGTGATTCCCCCTTCTCAGTGATGCAGGACGGGGGGCTTGACAAAGGACGGCTGTCTAGTCGTTCGGATTGGACGAAAAACCGAGGTCCCGTGTACACATCGGCATGCGTTTTACGATCGTCATTCATATTAGTCTCGGTTACCCAGTCTTCAACGTAATATTTGTCTGAATGATAGAGACTACATTCATATTGATGTCGGATACATAAATAAATCATCCTTAAAATGTGCCCAAGGTAGATTGCGGTAGATTTGTTTCTTATGGTCCTATGTACATACCTCCTTACAAATTAGCAATAATCATTTGTTTCGGATATTTTTTTTTCCACAGGTCGGAATGTCTCCTACCAGCCTAACTTCGTTTAAACATCTTACATGCTGACAGTCAGTGAAACAGCAACACAAACGATGGGCACCAAATAGGGGGTAATATAGGGAGTCACTGCATACGTGCAAAAAAAAGCAAGCTAGCTACCATTTAGTTTTCAACCGTTTGTTACGATACGTACGGTCTACTGGTTTATTGACTATCAGCGAAACAGCCAACTTGACAGCCTGTCAAACAAAATAGTCACTTGACGGTCACTTGAACTCCTTAAAGATGCTTTATGTAAGAGATAAATGAGCCTATTGCAGCTCTTTTTTTTGCCTCAAATTGTAATATAAATTATTAATTAGCCATTTATCCACATAAGCCTATAATCAGCCGATATAATCTGGTCTTGATTTGTAATGCTTTGAAACATGATCGCGATTCAATAATTAAATTTAAAATGGATAATCGAGACTTTGCTTACTATAATAACAATGGTTAGCAATGAAAATTGAGACGGGGCTATTCTAATCAAAACTCCAAGAATTCATAACTCTGCTCAGAATAAAGTAATTTAACTGATATTTTCAATATTAATATCCCCCTTTCGTTATCTATTTTTAAACTAGCTCTTTATCTAATCAGTTGGCATATTACCTCACCAGGTTCTATCCACGCAATGTGGCCATCTACTTTTTTCATTATATTTCTCACGCCTTTTGAATTATCATCTTCATTTTTTGTCTGTATGCATTCTTGTTGCTCATTCAAATCACATGCATCGGGGTAGCCATTATAGTCGTAGTTGGTAGACAGGCTATATGGTATTCCAGTATATATTAATAAATAAATAATAATCCTCAACACATTATTCGCCGATGGGCAATATTTATTGGTGAAAAGTCTAATATTCTTGTTGCTAGGAATCATTGTAATGCTGCAATGCAAAACAAAAGCAATTTATCATATAGACATTTATAATAATCACGTTAAAATACACAGTATTAAATAATCTTTAACGTTATTCTGCTGATAATAAAATGTCCGCGATGGACTTCCGTATAACAGCTAAAACTTCCACTTTTTTATTTGCATATTACGTCCATTAAGAACATTATACAAAACATGCACATACATCAATATACATATGAACTAAAATATATAGTTTCTAACACTAATTACTATAAAAACTCATTTTTGCCTACAGTTGACCTTTGGAACAGTCTTTCTTATGATACGCAAAACGCCTCCACTATACAAAATTTCAAAATTAAGACAAGTGTGAACGATCATAAAATACCCAAATATTATTACTGTGGAGAACGTAAATTTCAGATTATACATTCCAGACTTCGTAACTGTAAAAGTGATCTGAACTTCCATAGATTTTTAATGCATATTTCAGATAATCCGACATGCAGATGTGGCCATACCCAAGAAGACAGTGACCACTATCTTCTGCACTGCCCAATTTATTCGACTCAGTGTATCTCAACATTAAATACCCTCCCATTTAAATCCAAACACACTAAAGCTTTCCTAATATGGTGATCCCAACGAAAGTAACTCGTACAACAAAGTTATTCTTAGTTAAGTTCACAAGTATTTTAAACTAACCAAACGCTTTGAATAGATACAGTAATTGACAAGCGACAGTGATTAATGTTAAATAATGATGACGATGATGATGACGATGATGACCATGAAGATGATTTATCTATGTATTTACTTAAAATTACAATTTCATATTTTTAAGTTGTATTTTTAAAATGTATTAAAAGAAAGCCCTAAAATAGATGGTATCTATAAACAGTCCTACCTTGTTAAAGAATTCACTATTGCCAGTTGAGAAATTGGCAAAAATATCATTTTCAACTTCAAATTCAAACGTTTGAAGATAGCTATTCCATGGTGGGGATTAGGAATACAAGGGAGGTAATTGTGTTATTTTTTCCAGTGTGAAGATTTTTAAGTGCGAGAAAGATCACCTATGATCGCATAATAGTGTGTTGACAACCTATTGAGCAAATGACATAGAAATAATTATGTTTTGACTTTCTTACAAAATATGAAATTGTAACTTTAATTATTTATTTGTAAAAATGTAAGACATACACCTTTGAAATTGTACATTTTAGCAATGTTATTGAAATGTATAATTTACATGGAGATGAATTTATATAAGCTATAGCTTGTTTTCAGATCCATTATATCAGTATGACTATTGTAAATAATCATGTTATAATAGAAACAAGCCAACAGTGAGACTGATGTCCCCCGCCGAAATCTCAAAATAAATAGATGACAATTATTAATTAATCGCACATTTATTTTTTTCAAAAGTATCGAGCAATCAAACTGATTATCAACTATACACTAAGTTTCATCACTCTCTATCAGATAGAATCAAAGTTATCTTGACCCAAAGCATCGGCCAATGATATTGATTAGCTCAGCCTAGCTTTAGCTCGAAATGTTAATCATTCAACTCAGTCAGGACATTCACCTAATGAACATCTGCATCAAGTCTAAACATTCTACCTCATTATTAAAAGCAGAGTTGTTACGTCCCAAAGTCTTGGCCAATCAAATTGCTTATCGCTCCTTAGCCTAAGCAGAAAATTATCATTGATATAATAAATCTATACTCGTAGTTTCATCATTCTTACTTAATTATAACCAAAGTTATCTTGCCCAAAGCATCACCAATCAAATTGATTATTTCTGCTTACAGTAAGGAGACAATGTTTACCATCTAACTCCATCAAGGCATTCACCTAATGAACACCTGCACCAAGTTTGAACATTCTACCTCAATTAGAAGGAGAGTTATTATGTTTCAAAGTCTCGACCAATCAAACTGCTTATCGCTCTGCTTACCCTGAACAGAAAATGCTCATTATCGAACTTAGTCAATGTATTGATGTGATAAAACTATACACCAAATGTCCTCACTCTCACTTAATTAGAACTAAAGTTATCGTGTCCCAAAGCATCAACCTATCCAATTGCTTATCTATGTTTACCCTAAGCAGAAAATGTTCATCTTCGAACTCCATCAAGGCATTCACCTAATAAACACCTACGCCAAGTGTGAACATTCTAGCTCAATGAGAACGAGAGTTATTGTGTTCCAAAGTTTAGACCAATCAAACTGTTTATCGCTCTGCTTACCCGAGCAGAAATGTTCATTATCGAACTTAGTCAAGATACTGATACACCAAATTTCATCACTCTCACTTAATCAGAACTAAAGTTATGTCCCAAAGCATCAACCAATCAAATTGCTTATCTCTGCTTACCCTAAGCAGAAAATGCTCATCTTTGAACTACATCAAGGCACTGACCTAATAAACACCTTCACCAAGTCTAAACGTTCTAGCTCAAATAGGAGAGTTGTTGTGCATAGGCGTACGGGGCAGGGGGGGGGGGGGGGCAGCTGCCCCCCTAACATTCGGGCAAGCTGACTTTTCGGGCAGAAGGGTAAAGTGAAAAAATTTTTTTTATTTCATCTACTTGGCAAAATAAAGTGCCCGAAATCTAATAAAACACTAATTTTATGGGCTGGAATAGCAGTAAAACGCGTTTGCGGCCGTCAAATATTCTAAAATTCTCTTCGGGGGTCCATACAAGGTCAGTTCTGCTTCTTCACCTCTCGAAGAAAACCGGCGCCGCTGTCTGTAAACCTGAAATTTTTTCGGGTATTTCTAATTTTTCTTCCCTAACTGTCATTGAGCCCTAATAAAACACTAATTTTACTTTTCTTTTAATTGAATACCACAAATTTGTACTGAGTTGACTATGGATTAAAACAATTTGTCTGGAGCCACTCTACTTTGTGCGACATTTTTCGAGCATCGATTATTATTTGTGAATGCAGCTGCAACAGTCTGATTGGATGGTTGGAATTCAGATTGGGATTTCGGTTACAAAACCATTAGATACTTTTGAAGTTGCTTACACGGGCTAGATTAGCAGAAAACGCATTTGCGGTGGTTAGATTTTCAAAATTTTCTCGGGGAGGGTGCGTCCCTAGGTTGAGGCCCCCCATACCCCGCGACGATTGATTGGTTGTTTGGAATTCGGGTCAGCCAGGTAGGCTATGATGGACCAAATTGAAGTTGCTGTATTCACCGACTGGAATAGCAGGAAAACGCGTATGCGGCTGTTAAATTTTCAAAATTTTCTCCAAACGGTCCCGTCTCCGTGGACTGTAAACGATTGATCTTTTGTTTGGAATTCGAGTCAGCCATCTTAATTAGGCTATATTAGACCACTTTGATGTTGCTTTGTTCGCGGGCTGAAATAGCAGGAAACTATGTTTGCAGCCATCAAATATTCAAAAAATTTCTTGTTGGGGGGGGGGGGGGGGAGCGGGGGGTACAATACAAGGGGAGCTCTGCTTCTTCAACTTCTTCGCCTCTCGAGGAATATCAGCGCCGCTGTCTGTACACCCGAATTTTTTTCGGGCATTTCCGGTTCTGCCCCCCTAACTGTCATCGAGCCCGTACGCCTATGGACTTGTGTTCCAAACTCTCGGCCAATCAAATTGCTTATCGCTCTGCTTACC